GGGAAGAAATATCTTGGAGTCAGAGGTGCTAAAGAAAAGCAGTTGGGGGCCCTATAGCAACAGTTACAGAGGGCATTCGACTTGCATGTGACCAACCCAGCCTTGATCCCCGACATCCCATATGGTCCCCTGAGCACCGCCAGGAGTAACTCCTGAGTGCAGAGCCAGGAGCAATCCCTGAGCATTGCCGGGTGTGACCTAAAAAGAAAAAAAAAGAAAAGAAAGAGAAAAAAAAGAAAGAAGGGAAAAAAGGAAAGAAAGAAAAGCAGGTAGGATTCTTTATTGGTCACTCAATCCCCCATCCTCCTCCCCAGTGAAGTGACATTTCCCACATTCCATTTCCATGCTGGGTTCCAGGGCCATTCTAAATGGTCTAAAGAAAATTCCTTTCTGGAGCTGGAGAGATAGTACAGTGAGTATGTGGCCAGTTCAGATTTTATCCCCAGCATCCCATATGGTCCCCTGAGCACCACCAGGAGTAATTCTGAGTGCAAAGGCAGGAGTAACCCCTGAACATCACCAGGTGTGACCACAAACAGATCAAAACAACAACAACCAAAAAAAGGTATTTCTTCCAGGTATCCAGGGGGTGGGGGGGGATAGGGGGGAGATAGATTGAGAGAGAGAGAGAGAGAGAGAGAGAGAGAATTCCTTAGACTCGAGAGATATAGTAAGGCATGCAGGGTTCTCACCTTGTATGCAGCCAATCCCAGTGTAATCCCCCACACCACATAACGTCCCCTGAGACCCACCAGGAGTATTCCCTGATTACTGCTAGGTGTGGGAAAGAGAGAGGAGGAGAAGAGAGAGGAAAGAAGGAGGGAAGAAAGGAAGTAAGGAAAAAAGGAAGGAAGAAAGGAAGGAAGGAAGACCACTGTCCTATATCTTTAGCCCCCTTGAGTGATGATTTTTTGTTTATTTTACTTGAAAGGGATGGTAGGCAAAATAGGATAGTGGTTAGGGCAGTTGCCTTGCATAAGGGGGACCCAGGTTTGATCCCCAGCAACCCATAGGATCCTCTGAACTCCTTCAAGAGTGAACCCTGAGCACAGAGCCAGGAGTAAGCCCTGAAAACCTTTGGGTATAGCCCATAAACAAAAACAAAAGAGGAGAGTATGCCAAGTAACTCTGGGATCCTCTCCTTAGAACCTCCTATTTGAGTGAGAATGTTTGTGTCAGTCATACACCAAGCAGGTGTATTTAATGTGAATAAGCAGATGTATAAATACCAAATGTATTTAATGTGAATCAGTCTTTATTTTGCACTGGTGCGGTGCATTAACAAATTCAACATACAAGATAGCATTACATAGTTGTAGATTAGCGGTACAGCGTTATGCAATGTCACACGATTTAGGTTAGCTTCTTCTTTGTTTTTTTTTTTGTTTGTTTGTTTTTAACTTGACACGTTTTATTTTTGAGTTTCATTTTTACAAGAGAAGACACAAGGTAAAGAAAGACTACCACATTGGAGAAGGGTCAATGGTGAAGGCGATGTCACTGTCACGGCCGGAATCAAAGCCTTCCGGGGAGAAGGACTTACACTATTTCCTGTCCTGAGCAAGCCACCCCGTCCGCCCCACACACCAGTTCTAGCTGCGACTCCATACACTGGCCATGTGCATCTTGGCTGAAAGTTTAAACCAACTTTTCTCTTTTTGGGGGTGGGGAGACACCCAGCAGTGCTGGTGGATGTAGGCAGGCAGGGTCGCGAGCTGAATCCTGCAGATGCAAGGCGTGCATCTGACCACTTGTACCAGCTCCCACATCCCCGGACCTTCTGTCTGGGTTTTTGAGGGGGGCCACACCTGGCGATGCTCATGGCTTACTCCTGACTGTGCTCAGGAGTGGCCCCAGGGGGTGCTCAGTAGTATCAGGAATCAAACTAGAGTTGTGCCAGAGGGAGCAGCTTACCAGCTGCCTACTTGCCTTCCCTCCGATACTGTCTCTTTGGCCCAACCCTGGCTGCTTTTCAGCCAATTTGAATTGAATTTGCTGTTCATGGTAGTCAGCAGCCCTAGCCTAGGAGTGCTAAGATTCTCTTAAGGACACAGTTACAGCATCCTGTTACTGTTTTTTGCTTGTTTGTTTTGGGGCCACCCCCCAGCTGTGCTCAGGGCTTACTCCTGACTCTGTGCTCAGGCATCACTCCTGGCAGGCTCGAGAGACCATATAGGATGCCAGGGATTGAACCTGGGCAAGCACCCTACCCGCTGTACTATTGCTCCGACCCATGTTATTGTTTTAAAAATAAAACCCAACCCGCTGGCTTCTAAACCTGCTCCACTGAGAACAGAGCGAAGGCAGGCCAAGGGCTTCTGATCTGAAGAGAACCTTCTGTCTTCCCAGATGACTCATGCTAGCTGCAGAGAAGGACCGACTCCTGGAAGACTGGAAGTGACCATTCCCAACCCACTCCTGACCACGTGCCTTGTGCAAAAACGAGATTGTGCCTCTCTTGTCTTCCCCCTGACATGGGGGAGGAGGTTGTCCTCCTCCGTCCTGATCACTTGCTCCGGAAGGAACAAATGGAAAAAGCCAAAGTAAGTAAGAAACTTTGGGACCGCAAAGTCAAGGCCACGATGACCAGGCCTGAGGTAGGAGGAGGCAGGAACCCTGGCGGCCTGCCTCTGGGCCTCTCATTCTGAGAAAGGCAATGAGGCAGCAACCAGGCTACAAAACTAGGGGGTCCCCTGCCCTGGCACCTCACCACCCCCAACTGCTCAGCAGACCCAAAGAATGCAAGGAATAAAGCTACCAGGAGGGGCGAGGGTGGGGTGAGGCCAGGTCCCCAACTTCAGTCAGAAGGCGCTCAAGGCACCCACGGGGGACAGGGCAGTCCTTGCCCCGCCGCCGCCGCTGCTTTGCATTGTTTCTGGGAAGGAAACCTCAGTGATTTCTGATCTTTCCACATTAAGGCGATGAGGAGGAACCATTTACATTTCTTCCTAACGGGGCTTCAGAATGCTCCTGTCAGATGTACGTTAAACTATCTCAAAATGTATTTTTAGAAATCAAAAAATTATTTTCCTCTACGTATGATACAGTATTTACATTCTGTGGAGTGCAGGAAAGACTGGTGGTGTGAACCAAACAGATGGTGGGGGTGAGCCAGGTGCTGTCCTGGGGGCCGCAGGCCCCTTGCACCTGCTCGACTTTGCCAAGAACCCAGAGGAAACACAGTGGCCAGAGGATCTAAGGGGAAGATCGGTTTCAAAGGCCCAAGAACAAAGGGAACATCAAAGGTGGTGTGGCCACACATCCACAGAGAGCAGGCATTTTCACCCACGGCAGCAGGTTAGAGATGGTCCCAGGAGGACATGGGGCTTCTCTTGGGCTATAACCCTGCAGCCTCAGTTCCAGCTGCTGTTGGTGAGTTCTTCAGTCGGTCAGAAACGCCTCCTGCCCATCCGCTCGGCTCACTGGCAGCCAAACATCTGCCACGGGAAATGTCTCCACCCTGAATTCTAATCCCAGGAAGAGGCTAGGATTAGCCTCATCCCCGTACCGTCCACATCAGGAGGACGACCGATTGCTGGAGGGCTCCTGAACTCCTGAACCCCAAGAGCTAAGCACTTTTTTTGAGGGACAGTCTATTTTTGTTGTTGAGTTTGGTTTGGCTTTTTTTTTTTCTTTTTTGCCACACCTGGCACTGCTCAGAGCTTACTCATGACTCTGTTCTCAGGGGTCTCTCTTGATGGGGCTTTGGGGGCCACATGCAATGCTCAGGACCGAACCTGGGGTTGGCCGCATGCAAGACAAGTGCTCTACCCACAGTACTCTCTCTCCCTGAGGGAGTTTGTTCTGAAGAGTCAAGTTTGCCTTTACTATCCATTTTGTCACATTGTTAGTTTTAACAGCCTCTATTTGAAAAAAAAAATTTTTTTTTTGGGTGGGGGTTTGAGCCATCCCTGGGGTACTTGTGGCTTACTGCTGGTTCTGTGCTCATGAGCGCCTCCTCACTGTGCTCAGAAGAACATATGTGGCACCAGGGGATCAGAACGGGGATGGGGCAGATGCAAGGCAAGTGCCTTCCCCTGTAACTATCTCTCTAATCTGCTAGTAAGAGTTTTAAGAAGAATTTCTGAAGGTCCTTTCCCTTATCAAGGAAAAGGAACCACTTCAAAGTGTCTTGGGAAATCTCTAAGGCTTCCCAGTGGTCAGCATTTCTGGAAAAGCAGAGGCCAGAGTCCCACCCTTCTCATCCCAGGCTGACCAACTGCAACCAAAGCCCCTGCAAAGGGGCTGGAGCTGCAGCACCGCTGGGGAGCAGTGGGTTGTGTTCCCTACGCTTTTTTTTTGGCTTTTTGGGTCACACCCAGCAATGCTCAGGGGTTACTCCTGGCTCTACTACACTCAGGGATCACTCCTGGCTGTGCTTGGGGTACTATATGAGATGCCAGAAATGGAACCCAGTTGGCCACATGCAAGGCAAATGCCCCTACTTGCTGTCCTACCGCTCCAGCCCCTGTGTCCCTATTCTGAATTTGGGGTCTCCAGAGCTCGTCTTAGAGAAGTCCTCGAGAGCATGAATCACATTCCCCCTGACTTGCCTGGCGTGCCCATATGTGTTCTCTCTGGTGGACGGGGCGGTTCCCCCAGTGTGGGAGCCCCGCAGGCAAACAGGACCCTGCCTGATGATTACTCCACCTGCTCCACACTCCAGACCTTGGGTTCAGCCAGGGAGCAGAGATATTGAGAATGAACAGGGAGGGGGAAACAGGGGATGAGGAAAACCATGAGATTTTACAAGAGCAAAATATTCTTCTGCAGAGGTGGGGAGTGACACACCTCTTCAGAGAAGCCCGAGAGGAAAAAAAAAAAAGGCCAATTTTTAGGTTATCAGCAAATACGAGATTCGGCACAAAAACACAATTTTCATGGATTCAAACCCGTAACTTGATATTGGCAGTTAGGTTAATTTCTTCAGTTTGTATTAGACATGCAAGATAAGGTTACATTGTTATATATAGATTTGTAAGAGGTCCTTCCCTCTCTCCTTTTCTTTTTTTTCCCCTTTTAATAAAACAAAAAAGAATTTCTAGTGCCTTGCAAAGGAGGAAAACCATCATCACTAAGAACTGATCTGCAGTATGGTCCTGGGAGGGGGAGGGTGGGGTTGGTTTTATTTTGTGGGGCTTGTTTGGTTAGAAATTTTCTAATAGAGCTAAAATGAGGTTGGAGTCCACTTTTGTCTGGGGTATCCCCCCACCCCCTGCCACAGTGCCCCCAGCCTGGCCCAGGGTGACGGCGGCTGAGATTAGTACTCGCTCAGACTGTGCCACTTGGCCACCGGCTTGCGGGGGCTCTCACACACCTCCCTCCAGTGCTCGGCACCCCCCGCCGTCAGGCTGTGCGCACCGAGGATCAGCCTCCCAACCACGGCGTTCTTGGTGGTGCGGTCGAAGTCGATGACCAAGAACTCGATGCTGATGTCAGGCAGGAGGTCGCTGGGGATGTCGTAGATGAAGGACTCATTGAAGACGGGGTTCAAAGTGCACTTCTTCACGTGGGTTTTCTTCTTGGCAATGCGCTTCCTGCCGTAGTAGACATTCACCTTGACGTAGGGATCTGTGCCCCCGGGGAGTTGGGGGAGAGAGAGAGAGAGAGAGAGAGAGAGAGAGAGCAACCCATGACACAGGCCTCTATGGGGGAGGTTGGTCTGGAGAGTGAGGGGCCACCCCATGGTTCTTAGTGATTTTTTTTCCCATTGTTGTTTTTAGGCCATACCTATCAGTGCTCAGAGGTCACTCCTGGCAGGGCTTGGGGATCCCCTGTGATGCCAGGATCAAACTGGGATCAGCTCTGTGCAAGACAAGCACTGTCCCCTTCTCCTCAGGCCCAGTCCTTAGTGATCTAAGAACCAGGATGGGAGGCACCTGCAGTGGGGCGTAGGGCCCACCAGCAAGCTGGAACAGATCAACTCTGCAAGTCAGGCTCAAGAAAGCCCGGGGCGAAAAAAAATAAAAAATGGGGGCTGGAGCAATAGCACAGCGGGTAGGGCGTTTGCCTTGCACGCAGCCGACCTAGGTTCGATTCCAGGCATCCCATATGGTCCCCCAAGCACCGCCAGAAGTAATTCCTGAGTGCATGAACCAGGAGTGACTCCTGTGCATCGCTGGGTGTGACCCAAAAAGCAAAAAAAAAAAAAAAATCCCGTGGTGTTAGGGCCCAGGGACAAAGGGGGGTGTGTGTGTGTGTGTGTGTGTGTGTGTGTGTGTGTGTGTGTGTGTACTTCTGGCTCTGTGTTCAGAGATCACTCCTGGTGGGATTCAGGGGACCCTATGGGGTGCCAGGGATTGAACCTGGGTCAGCTGCATGGAAGGCAAGTGCTGACCCCACTGTCCCACCTCTCCAGCCTGGATGGTCATTTTGAAAAGTCTCCCTCTGAGTTAAGAGCTCTGGGGCTGGAGCCATAGTACAGTAGGTAGGGCTCTTGCCTTGGATGTGTCTGACCCGGGTTCAATCCCGGCATCCCATATGGTCCCTCGAGCAGTGCCAGGAGTGATTCCTGAGTATCAACTCTGGGTTGAGGGTGAGGAGTAACTACTGAGCATCTGCTGGGGTTTGGATCATAAATAAAACAAACCAAAAAAAAAAAATCTCAGCATATGGCCTGTAGACCCTTCACCAAATATGAAAGGCCCTGTTTGTTTACACCTCCAAATACCTCACCTGACTAAGGAAATCTACTGGACCCAGCTTTTCCTCTCCATTGGAGAGAGAAAGAGAAAAAGAGAGAAGAGAAGAAAGACTGTTAGGAAGGGGATGCTTCAGTGCAAGGAACTGACGTCCCTGGATTGAGCGTGAGAGATTTCGAGATGGGCTCCACTCAGACCTCAGAAGCAGGCTGAAGGGTTTGGGGGGATGCAGCAAATCAGGTGAGCTCAGGTTTTGCATGTTGGGAGGACAGGGTTCAATCCCTGGCACCACATGGTCATCCCCCGCCACCCCCCCCCCCCCACCCAGCAGCATCTCTGGGAGTGAGCCCAGAGCAAGGGGCAAGCCCTGAGGACAATCTGGTGTGGTTCCCAAACCAGCCCAGAAAGAAGAAGTAGGTTGAAGTAAATAGCTGCTACCTGAGAGACCGGTGATGTCCATCTTCGGCAAGTGTCTGGCTTTGAGGACCACCACTGTCATTCTCTGGGCCACAGGCTGGTATGACAGAGACACCTGGAGTTCCCCTCTGCTAATGCACTTCTGGGAAGAGAGATAGTAGGTTAGAGCAAGGCCGAGGGAACAGGAGAGGAGAGGCTGCAGGGAGAAGACCATGTGCCCAGTTTCCATCACACAGGACTTACCAGCCCACTGGACATTGGACAGGAAATGTTCCCACTGTGTTCCCGATATCAGACCCAGTCATTCCTGGGGAGGGGTAGCCTAGTGGTAAGCACAGACCTCCTCTCTCTCTCTCTCTCTCTCTCTCTCTCTCTCTTTCTCTCCTCTCTCTCTGTATTTTGGGCTACATTTGATAGTGCTCAGGGCTTCTTCCTGCCTCTGTACTCAGGAATCATTCCTGGTGGGGCTGAGTGACTGTACATGGTGCCAGGGATCAAACTTATCAGTCAGCCACATGCAAGTTCCTTACCTACTGTACTCTCTCTGGCCCTTCATTTCCCATCTTTACATTTCATTCTAGGCTCTATTTTGAGCTTGGAAAATGAAAACTCATTTTCATTGACAGAAATAGGATGCTGGCCTTGCATGCGGCCCACCTGGATTCAATCCAAGCACCCCAGAGGGTCCCCTAGCCTTGCTAGAAGTGATCCCTGAGTGCAGAGCCAGGAGTAAGCCCTGAGCACAGCTAGGTGTGACCAAAACCAAAAGAAAGACCAAACCAAAACAAACAAAAAAAACTTTAGGGGGCAGGGAGATAGCTCAAAGGGCTGGAGCGGTACTTGGAATGGGAACCTGGAATGCAGGAGCCCCAGGTTTGATCCCTGGCCTTCATGTTTCCCCAAGCACCAGGGGAGAGAGCCTGGGGAGGGGATGATGATTTGGGGAGCAGCCTCTGCTTTGTAGGTGTGGCCCCAAAGCAAAGCCAAACCAAACCCAAAGTAACAGCATTAGTCCTCCAATATGTATCTCCTTCCTAAAGCCAGGTAGGTGCCGGAAATCCACTATCTACCTGGCCCCTTCTTCTTCTTTTTTGTTCTGGGTCACACCTGGCAGTGCTCAGGAATTACTCCTGGTGGGGCTGGGAGGACCATATGAGATGCTGGAGATTGAAACTGGATTGGTCGCATGCAAAGCAAGCATCTTACCTGCTGTGCTAGTGCTCCAGCTCCAAGTAGATTATTTTACTTAAAAAAAGGGGGGTGGGGGGAGTGACTGGAGCAATAGCACAGCAGCTAGGGTGCTTGTCTTGCATGCAGCTGACTCAAGTTCAATTATCACATCCCATATGTTTCCCCGAGAACCACCAGGAACAATTCCTGAGTTCACAACCCTGAGCGTGGCCAGGTGTGACCCTAAAACAAAATGAAAAAAGAGGGTTATGGGGGTTAAGGCACTTGCCTTCCATGTAATAGAACTAGGTTTGATTCCTGGCACCACATATGGTCCCCCTGAGCAACAGAGGAATGATTCCTGAGTGCAGAGCTGGAAATAGACCTTGAGCGCATCCAGATAAGACCCCTCTAAAATATAAAATAAAAATATTTCTTGGATCTCTATTCATCCAAGTGGCATATAGAAGCGTCTCTCATAGGACACAGAATGTGATTAGCTGAAATTTAAATAATCCTTTAGCTTTTTAAATGAACTTACAAAGACGATGGATGGGCTTATAGCTATTCTTATTGTTTTTTTTGGGGGGGCCACACTTAGCTGTGTTCAGGGCTTACTCCTGGGTCTGTGTTCAGGGATCACTCCTGGCAGTGCTCAAGAGACCAGAGCTGGTACCAGGGATCAAATTGCAGTCGTAGTTGGTTGTATGCAAGGCAAATGCCCTACCCCAAATCCATTGCTCTTTCTAGTCCTGGGTTTTGTTTTTTAGGCTACACCTGGTAGTGTTCATTGGCTACATCTGGCTCTTTGCTCAGACAGTGCCCAAGGGACCATGCAGTGCTGGGAATATAAGCCCAGCCTCCTACTCGTAAAACATGTGCTACCTGCCCATTGAGCTGTCTCTTGGGTCCTCCAAAAGAAGGACTTTTGAAAATGCTTTTATGGTTTTTCTTTATTAGAGCAAAATCACACATAGCATCCTTTTCCATAACATACACAAAGTCAGCCCTTGAGTATTTCAGCAGGAAGATCCCCGCCTAACGAGTTTAGAATTATAGGTTGGCTGTCCCTGCTGACTTGAATACTTCTGTTTTCTTTCTTTCTTTCTTTCTTTCTTTCTTTCTTTCTTTCTTTCTTTCTTTATACTTTTTGACACAAGAACACAATCGATCAGAGAATGCAAACTCATTTTTTCTCTTAGTCATAGACAAATGGAATCAGGAAAATAAACCTTCATTTAAAAAAAAAATCAGGCTGGGCTGGAGAGATAGTACAGTGGGAAGTGTGCGTGCCTTGCATGCAAAGAACCCAGGTTGAATCTCCAGCATCCCATATTGTCCCCTGAGCTATGATGAGTGACCCCTGAGCACAGAGCAAAGAGTAAGCCCTGAGCACTGCTGGATGCGACCCCAAAACCAAACGTAACTTCCCAGGTTTAAATCCCTGTGATCCTCTGCACCCTGACCCCCATGGGGTTCTTAGGAACTAGATAGACAACTTCTGCTCATCCTTTTAATCAGGTTTCCCCCTAAAATCATTCCTTAGGCCATTGTTCTCCCTCACCCTCAGCCCGCCTTCATTGTGCGCCATTTTTTTCACAGGTAGAAGGCCCCTTTCTCTGCAGCCACTTGCTAGGGTACAAGCGTGCAGTTGAGGGCCCCCTGAGTGCCGTTTCACTCTACATTGAGGGCCGAGCTTAAGGTCCCAAGGCCCCGCCTCTCCCCCTTCACTCTAATTCCCTCTGCAGGCAGCTCTGTCAAAGGCTCTTTCTCAAGGGCCCTTTGTGCTGGGCTGAGAGTGAGTTGTTTCCCAGCCCCTTGGTCTAGAGAGGCAAATACAGAGTGTTTGTGTATTGGGGAGGGGAGAGTGGGGAAGGGAGGGGAGCAAGTAGAAGGATAAAGGGAAAAAAGACTTTGAGCCTTCCCTGACAGGCCTGGGAAGTTTCTCTTTCCAAGAGCAGACGGTGCTGAGGGCCTCAGGAAGACTCTCAGAGGAGGGAAGAGATAGGGAAGTCCATCAGGCAGGAGAAATATCTGCCCTAGACATCGCCTTAACCACAGCCCTTCGCCCAAGGCGGTCTCCTGAATCCTCAATCAATCTTTGTTGGGGCCTGAAGCCATAAGGGTCAGTTAGTTCCTTAGAAATCACAAGCATGGGAAAAGAAAAGAAACAAAACCCCTAATGTTCACCAATTCCCTCGGGTCTGGTCTCCACTGTACACGTGGGGCAACTGTCTTTATTGTTTGTTCCTTTAAGGTCCTGGAAAATGGACATTCCTTTCTCTTTCTCTCTTTTCAGATCCTCCTGGCTAGACTCTATGACCTCTAAGGTCCCTGGGAATTCTGAGACTTTAAGAGGCTTCTTATTCCCATGACCACTGTCCCAGGCCATCAAGACCAGAGCTGCAGCCAAAAGGGAGGAAATGTTCTGGGAACAATGACCCAAAGGAATGAGAAAGAATCCAGCAGCCAGCCATCTATACTCGACTGTGAATTACTTCTTTCCTGCTGTCTCGTCATTATCCCCAGACCACTCTGCACAGCTTTTCTCCTTACGAGGAACTGATTATGGGAAAGGTAATTTATTTTAACGTCTATCTAAATAAAACATTAGGAAAAAAAGCTGGAGATAAAAAAGCAAAAAAAAAAATTTTTTTTAGAAATGTTTTAGAACTAGATAGCTCAGTAGGGAACTAGATAGCTCAGTAGGTCAGGGGTAACCCCTCAGCCTACCCTCCCCCCCAATAGTAAAAGAAGAGAGATAGTTCTATATAATACACAATACTGTAATAGGAGCCACACCCAGCAGTGCTGTGAAAGGGGGATATGTGATGACAGGGACCAAACTCAGGGCCTTATATACCACTTGAGTCACACCCCTGGCCCCTTAAGAGTTGTGGGAACGGAGGCCGGAGAGATAGTACAGCAGGGAGGTATGTTTGCCTTGCATGCAACTGACCCTGGTTCCATCTCTGGCATCCCATATGGTCCCCTGAGCACCACCAGGAGTAACTCCTGAGAGTGCCCAGAAGTAAGCCCTAAAATACAGCTGGGTGTGCAACTCCCAAAAACAAAGAGTTGTGGGGCAGTTTTAGGCTACACTAGTGGTACCTAGGGGTCACTCCTGGTGGTGTTCATGGGACCATATATAGTGCTAGAGATCAAACTAGGTAGCATTGGCTGTGATGAGTGTGAGGCAAGTGCTTAACCCCTCTACTGTCTCTCTGGCCCAAGGTTAAATTTTCTTGTTTTGTTTGTTTTAGGGTCACACCTGGCAGTGCTCAGGGTTATTCCTGAGCATTTGCACTCAGGAATTACTCCTGGTGGGCTTAGGGAACCATATGAGGTTCTGGGGATGGAACCCGTGTCGGCTGCATGCAAGGCAAGCACCCTACCTGCTGTATTACGGCTCCAAGCCCTCGAGGGTTAATTTTTAATGTGTTTATGTTTCTGAATGTGCATAAGATCTGAGAGTGTTCTTCAAAGTGACCTCATTGGCCCTTGAGAGCTAGCCTAGAGGAGACAGAGGCGCAGAGCTGGATGATGACAGGGACAGAGTAGGAAATGATAACAGCCCAGGGCAGCCTTGGTTGGTTGGTTGGTTTTTTGTTTTGAGGTCACATCGGAGAGTGCTCAGGACTTACTTTTGGCTCTGTGCTAAAATATCACTCCTGGCAGTGGTTGGGGGACCATATGGGGTGCCAGGGATCAAACATGGATCTACTGGGTATAAAACAAGTGCTCTAGTCACTGTATGATCATTCCAGCCCCTTCCTGGCCCTCTGTTTATTTATTTACTTTGGTTTTGGGAGTCACACCTGGCTGTTCTCAGGGCTTACTCCTGGCTCTGCAACTCAGGAGTCACTCCTGATGGTGCTCAGGGGACCATATGAGATTCTGGGGATCAAGCCCAGGTCAGCTGCATGTAAGATAAGAGCCCTATCCATGGTACTGCCTTTCTGGCCCTGGCCCTTTTCAAAAAATTTGTTTTGGGGCCAAAGCGATAGTACAACAGGTAGGGCATTTGCCTTGCATGCGGCTTGCCTGGGTTCAATCGCCAGCATCCCATATGTTCCCCCAAACACCATCAAGGTAATTTCTGAGTGCAGAGCCAGGAGTAACCCTGAACAACACTGGGTGTGACCTCCCCGCCATCCCCCCCCAAAAAAAATAAAAACCTTTTGTTTTGTGCTATACCCAGCAGTCCTCAGGTCTTACTTCTGCACCTGTGCTCTGGGATCACTCCTAGAATGGCTTGGATCAGCTGTATGCAATGTAAGTGCCTGTCTGTTGTAATATCCCTCTGGACCCCTCCTGGGTGCCTTAAGTAGACTGTACTTATCAAGCAGTGGCCAAGACAAAAAGTGAGGGGGTGTTTTTGTTTTGTTTTGGGGCCACACCCTGCAGTGTTCAGGAGTTACTCCTGGCTCTGCACTAAGGAATTACTCCTGGAGGTGCTTGGGGGCCACTATGGGATGCCGGGAGTTGGACCTAGGTTGTCCACGGGCAAAGCAAGCGCCCTACCTGCTATACTATTACATTGGCCCCCTTGTTTTCTTATTTTTGAAGGTGAATTTTTTTTTTTTTGCTTTTTGGGTCACACCTGGTGATGCTTAGGGGTTACTCCTGGCTCTGCACTCAGGAATCACTCCTGGCGGTGCTTAGGGGACCTTATAGGATGCTGGGAATCGAACCCGGGTTGGCTGCGTGCAAGGCAAACGCCCTACCCGCTGTGCTATTGCTCCAGCCCTTGAAGGTGAATTTTAACAAGAGGCAGGAAATGCAGCTGCAACTAGGGGCAGGGAGTTTTCTCAAGAAACACAGTTCTCACCAGCCTCTACCCAGGAATCTTTGGACAAAGTCCCATTTGCTAAACAGCGCTTTGTACAGAGCAGAAAGCAAGGGCCTTCCAGCATGGGGCAGGGCAACACTAACCCAGGGAGCCCCCCACGAGGGCGGCGTCTTGGCTGCATGGAGAGAATTTGGGGGGAACCCTTGGCAGTTACCCACTGGGAAACAATGGCCTGAATGACAAGGACTGCTGCCACCATCAGCACTGGGTGGGGAAAGCAGGAGGCCAGGGCGGAGAAAGGCGGCCAGGGGCCTCTCCCAGGTCTGGGGTCGCTTAGAATCCAGCCCTGGCATCCTCCTCCATGAGAGAGTTAATAAACTGGAAAGAAACTCAGCCAAGAGGCCCCTGGCAGTTGAGCACATGCCATTGTCTGTGCTCCTGGATTTGTTTTGTTCCCAGCTCAAATTGGTCCTTTTTCTTGCCAGCCTGGGTCCAATAGCAGCTTGGCTCCAAGACACCGTCTGTGCTCAGCCTCAGCTGTGAGTGCATGAGTGTCTGGAGAAGTCCAGTCAGTTGATGGCTCCCCGAGACTGGGGGTACCAGAAGGTATTGGACAGGACCCTACTGGGAGGGCAGCTAGACAAGGAGGGACACAGTGGACCTGTTGTGCGGGAGTCAGGAAACGGGAAGAAAGGGGGCAAAACCCTAAGAAAAAGAGATGAGATAGGGCTTGCATGCTGCCGACCAAGGTCCAATCCCAGGAACCAGATATGATCCCCCTGGCAGAGGGACCCCTGAACACTGCTGGGTGTGGCCTCAAAACAAACAAGTGATTCGGGGACAGGGGTTATGGGGAGAAGGTGTCTATGCCTCCTGATTCTTTTTCTGTTGCTTGTTTGAGGGCCATACCTGGCAGTGTTTAAGACTGATGCTGGTTCTATGCTCAGAGATGACTCCTGGTGCTGGGGGTCAAACCTGGTTTTGCCAGGTACAAGGCAATCACCTAGCCCGCTGTACCCTGGCCCCTGGGATTTGCATTGAGATTCAGGTCTGACTCCAAAGTCTTTTCTCTTTAACTACCTATGTCCTGAGAGAGAAATGGAAAGGTCAAAATGTCACCTTTCAGTGACACCTATCACAATGACACCTATCACACGGTAGCTGTCAAGAGTGTCTCCTCCACTAAGTTAAATCTCAAGGACAGTCACATGCCAGGCGTCTGTCTCATCTGAGCCAGTCTCTGCTGCCTTCGTTGCCGGGAAACAGCAGGTTACATAACTCACCCGCCTCAGCTCGAATGGGGTACGTGATGTCAGGCATCTCCGGGAGTCTAGAGCCCGTGTTTACTGCAGAGCTATACCATAACCTCCCCTGCCCAGGAAGACCCCTCCTGGGGGATTGGGGGTGTCCATCTCTCTCACCCCTGAATTTGCAGTGTGGAGGCAGGGGAGGGAGAGGAGGAGGGATCTCATCCCTTTTGTAATGCCAAGGGGAGAGCGGGGTTCTGTGACAAAGGGCTGATGAGGGGCCTGGCTTTTCTATATGTAAGAAACCCTTCTGAAATAGGAGACATTTACCAAGAAACATCTTTTGGTGTTTTGTTTTGTTTTTAGGCCACACCCATTGGTGGTCAGGGGTTACTCCTGACTCTGCACTCAGGAATCACTCCTAACGGGCTCAACGGACCAAGTGGGATGTCAGAGATTGAACCTGAGTCAGCTGCAGCTGTGAACAAGGTGAGTGTCCGACCTGCTCTTCTATCTCTCCAATCTCATCAAGATCCATCTGAAGAGGACTCATTTTTCCTTGTTCTTTTTTTTTTTTTCATTTTCTGAGTCATATCCAGTGTCACTCAGGACTCACTACTGGCAGGACAGGGGGGACCATATGTGGTGCCGGGGTTGGAACCTGGGTTGGCCAGGTGCAAGGCAAGAGCCTTACTTGATGCACTATTGCTTCGGCCCCTAACAGGACTCCTGTTAGCATGCCTAGGTGGGGAAAGGGAGTTTGAGCTGTTCTCAGAGTTTCTCAGCTGGAAGAGAATACATTCTTTTTTTTTTTTTAACTTTTGTTTAATTGAATCACTGAGATAAACCATTTCAAAGCTGTTCATGATTGAATTTCAGTCATACAGTATTCCAACACCTATCCCTCCACCAGTGTACATTTCCCAAAACCGGTGTCCCCAGGTTCCCTCCCATCACCCCTTTCCTCCCCACTGCTTGCCTTTATGGCAGATGCTTTTCTTCTGTCTCTCTATCGCTGTCTCTTTCTCTGTCTCTGTCTCTCTGTCTCTGTCTCTCTCCTTTTGGGTATTGTGATTTGCAATATTGATACTGAAAGGTTATTAAGAATATTCCTTTACCTACTTTTAATAAACACTCCGTTCCTGTCCAGCATGATCATTCCCAGCTATTATTGTCATACTGGTCTCTTCTCTATCTTACCTACCCTCAGCCCCCCACACTCTTGTGGTTAGATCCAACCACTGACCAGGAGGACACATTCTTTTGAAGGAAAAATGAGTCTCCATATCTGTTTTGGGGTGAGACTCAGGAATGGGCAGGCCAGCCTGCTCCAAGCTGGATAGAAGAGCATTCACTGTGTGAACTTCTAGAAGTTCCCTGGCCATCTCTCTCCTCAAGAAGTTGCTTTCCCCTCCCCTCCTCACCCTTCCCCCTCCTTCTGCCCTATTCTGCTGGTCCTCCACAGCCAAGCACATTCTAGCCCATTCTAGCACGTTCTTGGTGCCTTCCAGCCACGTGCTCCTAGTCTCCCCTGCCTACCATCCCTCCTGGTGCCCTCTTCCTCCTTACCTGGATGTTCCTTTTGATGATGTCCCTGGTCAGCTGGACCTTGCCAGTGCTGGGGTCGACCCCGGCCAGTGGCACCATGACCTCCCCAATGACATCATCCCTGGAGAAGCGGTCGAAGCTGAGCACGAGGAAGTGCAGCACCAGGTCCTGCAACTGACTGTAGGGAATGCCGTAGAAGGTGAAGGTCTCGTCGAACACAGGGTCCAGGGTCTTGCGCAGCACCCGTGTCTTCACCCGGTGCCGCTTGTCCGGGAGGATGGTCATTTTGATGTAGGGGTCAGAGCCCTGGGTCTGGTCGTCCATCACCGGCAGCCCATGGGCCTCCTGGATTGTCACCACCAGCGCTTTCTTGGGGAAGTTATAGTCCACAGAGAAGGTGAGGGAGCCAAGCATGACGTCCTCCTCGGGAGAGGAGGGGGACGTGGTTTTGCTCTCACCAGGGGTCAGGCCGGCATTGGGGCTCCTCAGCTCCTCCCCATAGTCCACTTTGATGGGTAACTGGTCCACACACGCGCCAGAGCCAGGGCCCCTGGAACCCGGGGCGCGGCCCAGCAGGCCGGCCTCGGCGGCGTCCACCAACAGATTCCCGTGTCCACCTTCCCTCCCTGGGCCATCTTTGTCTCTCCGCACTTTGATGATTTTCTTTTTGTTGCTTAGGGTCTCTGGGTATATGCTGATACCTTTGAGCATGTGGATAAACTTGTATGGTGGGGTCTTGTGCTTCCTCTCTGCCTGCTGGTGGCAGCATGTCCAGACAAATACGGTCACCGAGACGCATACCACCAGCACAGAGGCCCCGATGAGGCCGGCTACCACAGGTGACACATCTGAGAGGGGAGACCAGAGAGTTGTCAGCAGGTGGACCCCAAGCCCTGTTCAGAGCTCCCCGGTGGGGTGTTTCTGTGTCACTTCAATTTTTCTGCCCCCTAAACCCACAATCTCCAAAGCAAAATTTGCCACCTGTGTTTTTAAGCATTCCTCCTTAATGTGTGTTTGTGGGCTGGGGCCGAGGGGGTTGGATCACACTGGTGGGGCTCAGGGATTACTTCTGGCTCTGTGCTCAGGGATTACTCTTGACGAGGCTCAGGGGACATCTGGGGTGCTGGGGATTGAACCCAAATCAGATGCAAGACTAGGACCTTCCCTGCTGATTATTTCTCTGTTCCTTCCCACCCTTTCTAATCCATCCTGGCTCTTTCTTCCCACCAAACCACTGTTATCTCCAGAATACCATCTCCAATGTGCTGGACCTGGTCTGCTCATTGACCATTTTCTCACATAAGCCACCCTGTAGTATGAGAAGGTCTCTCTTCACATAGGGGTCCCTTCACCCTGTGGTTTCAGGGGGATAGTCCAGAGTATTCTACCACAGGGTTGCAAAGAGAGAGGTGACCACTAGACAGGGTTTGAGGTGGATAAATGTGGGGTGACTTATTTTCTTTTCTTTTCACCTGGGATAGAACCCAGGGCTTCAAAAATTCAGAGCCTACAATCTGCTCTGATCCATCCCTGGGCCTAGGGTTGGTATTGGATGGGTTTGGTAGGGTTGTAGAGGGTGTAGAGGGTGATAAAAATAATGGTTATGTGGTAAAGAGGAGACTCTGGGTCTAAGGACTTTAAAAAATGAACAAAAGCTTAGCTCCCAATATTTAAAAAACAATTTTTTTTTTTGCTTTTTGGGTCATACCTGGCGATGCACAGGGGTTTCTCCTGGATCTGCACTCAGGAATTACGCCTGGCGTTGCTCAGGGGACCATATGAGATGCTGGGAATCGAACCTGGGTCAGCCACGTGCAAGGCAAATGCCCCACCCACTATACGTACTATCACTCTATCCCCCAAAAACAAATATTTTAAGTGGAAAAAATAAGAACTGGAGGGCCAGAGACATAGTACAGTGAGTAGGGGTATGGTGCTTGTTTTGCATACAGTCAACCTGGGTTCCATCACTGGCATCCCACATAGGGTCCCTAAGCCTCACCAGAAGTGATCCCTGAGCACAGAGCCAGGAGTAAGCTCTGAGCACTGTTGGGTCTGTTGGGTGTGGCCCAACAAACATAATTAGGTTTGGATTCTTCTCCCTGATCCCCTGCACCCCCCACACTTCTTTTTAATTGGGATTAGACCTTATGATTCTAGTTTTCCGTGTCACTTTTTAGGGGAAGATTTGGGTATGTCAGGGAGAATGAAGGAAATAAGTGTGATCCCAGAATATTCTTAAATTCTTCTAGGAAGCTCCTACCACCAGGTTCATTGCCTTGCTCCCAGCAGGCCTTTGCTCAGACCTCAGAGAGATATTTCCTGACTGCTCCAACTGAAGTGGTCTCCCAGCCTCTTGCTTTATTTCCTTCATTGCTTTTCTTATCCTGGACATACATGTGTTTGTATGTCTTTCCTCGGACAGAAAGAAAAGTGTCTCCCTTCCTCTCTTTTTCTGTAGCTCTAGGTCTTAGAACCAGGTGGCATACAGTAAATGTTCAGTGGATAAATGAATTCAGTGAACAGATAAATTCAGTGAATTCAAAATAGTTGCTACACAAGATGAAAATAATATAAAATAGCATGGCTACTTTATCAGATATAAATGCATGATTCATTTGACCTCCACACCCGACCTACAGGGGCTGGGGAGCTAGCCCTGGGAGTAAGGCACTTGCCTTGCATGTGGCCAACTCTACTTTAGTCTCTGACATCACATATAGTCCCCTGGCTACCTGCAGGGGTCACTTTTTCTGTTTTAGTAAAGCAAGGTAGGTTTTTTTTTTTAAGCAAGGTAGTTTTTAAAATGAAAATTTAGAAAGATGTGAGAGGATGGAGTCGAAGTCCAGTGGGTAGAGCGCTTGCCCTGCACATGATCAACCCGGATTTGATTCCCAGCATCCCATATGGTCCCCCAAGCCTGCCAGGAGTGATCTCTGAGTGCAGAGCTAGGAGTAAATTCTGAGCACACTGGGTGTAGCCCAATAACAACAACAAAGATGTGAGAGGAGAGAAAGAGGGGAAATGTGTGCGAGAGAGAACATGGGCAGCACAGAGACAGACACAAGCAAGTGAGAGATGTGTTCAAGGGAGACCACAGACTTGAGGAGAAGCCTAGCTCGTCCCCATTTAAGATGGGGCTCGTCGTCTACTCGAATTTTACTTGGGTGGGTAGGTAAGTGGTTATAGGTCCTGGTTATAGGTCCAGAAAAGGTCAGAAGACAGATCCAACTCAGTGAAAAAGAGTCCAAATATTATCACTGCCTCACAAAGATCAGCTTGGTTCATAAGGCAGCAAATCTCCAGTTGAAAACTCTCAAACAGAGGTGCTACTTATATTCTTTCTTTCCATGGTGGGGGGTTAATTTTGGAGGCCACACCTATTAGTGCTCCTGGATCATTCCTGCCTGTGGTGCTCGAGGTACATATGTGGTATGGGGGTACATATGTGGTGTGGGGTTGAACTGGGTTGGCTGTGTGCAAGGCAAGTTCTTTAACCCCTGTCCTGTCCACCCTAAGATCTTGGTGGAGTCTACTGCAGCCTACAATGCCCCAACTTTCACTGCTGGACAATAGAGGTGTGTATGTGTGTGTGTGTGTGTGTGTGTGTGTGTGTGTATGTGTGTGTGTGTGTGGTGGGGTGAAGGGGCACAAGAGAATTCTTGGGGCCTGAGAGATAGAATAGGAGATGAGGAGCTTGCTTTGCATGTGGATGTCCCTGGCTCTTTTTTGTTTTGGGGCCATACCCGGTGATGCTCAGGGATTACTCCTGCATCTGCACTCAGAATTACTTCTGGTGGTGCTAGGGGATCATAGCTGTATTATTTGCTCTGGCCCTGACTCTGATTCTAACTCACAATCCCCATACCACATATGGTCCCCTGAGTACTGTCAGGGCTCACCTCTGACCAGAGGGCCAGGAGTACCTGAATAGGTCTCATGTGGTCCCAAAACAAAAAAAAAAAAAACAAAAAAGAAGAAAAGAATTCTCATACACCAGAAAACAGAAGAAAAAGAGTAACAGAAGCTTTACTCCCCATAGTTGCTCGTTAGATCTACTTCCCTCTTCATTTGAGTATTCCTGAAGCACTGCCTCTTTCTTCCCTATTCAAGACAGTGAGCTAGAAAAATCAGATTTTGAAAGGCAGAAGCTTCTCTCTTGCTTCAGTCAAAAACTTTGTGGGAAAAGGAAGTTGGAACTAAGCACTGTTGTAAAGTAGCTATAAATTGCAGTGAGCCTGACGCTTGCTCCTTTTGTCTTCCAAGGTCATGGATAATTGGATCACTGGAGCATTGAGTGTTGGTGTGTCTGCTAAAAGGTATGGAGTTTGAAATAAAGTATTGTAGGAGAACTTAACACGTCTCAAGTGACAGTTGGGCCACAGAGATAGGTACCCACCCCACCGTACTGTCTTTGCAGTTCTATTATAGTACACTTGCCTTGCACACAACCAACCCGGGTTTGATTTCCAGCATCATATGTGGTCCACTGTACTAGGCTCGGAATAAATCCTGACACAGCCAGGTTTGGCCAAAAAAAAAAAAAAGTGATGGTTCACTAAGAAGCATACCCTCTCACTCTCTGCAAGGAGATATTTGGTTTATGCCCAACTTTCTCAACTTCTGATCAGAACTATATTGGCTTTTCTTTAACCAAAATAACCCTTTCCTGTCAAGTAGGCCACTATTATATGGAAATAAGAATGAACTTGGGCTTCAATCCTGACATTACCCTCAGTAGCCAAGTAATTTGATTTCTCTGAGCTGGAAAATATATACAATAATGCTTATCCCACTGCATATTTATAATCCCACAGGATGTTTATAAGAGCCAAATAAGATGGAGTATATAAAAGACTGATATAATTTTGTTTCTTGGGGCCCAAGAGATAATACAAGTGTCAGTTCCTAGCCCAGGTGTGACCCAAACTGCCCCAAATCTTTTCTTTTTTTTTTTTGGCCTTTGGGCTATATCTGGTGGTGCTTAGGTACCATCTGTGATGCCAGGATTCAACTCCGGTGGAGAACCAGAGGCCTACCTGCTCTCTTATGTCTCCAGCCCTGTCTTTTCTGATACCACTAATAGCTCCCTGATGGAAACCACTAATAGTTCTTCACAAATCTACGTTCCTGAGGATTTCAAATTGCATTAGAGAAAAACAAATATCTTGGAAAGAGGGCATGAGAAAAAAAAAGATAGAAAGAAAATAATGGGTGGTCACATGACCACAAAAGAAACTTGCACTTTGAAGATCACCATAGAAAGAACAGATTCAGGTGGAGAGGGGCCGGAAAGATGTGTGGTCTGGATGTCTCTCCGCTGTCCAGGGGTAAGAGCACTTTAGCTACTGTTCATTTCCATAAACCTCTTACTCCTGAGAAAACTCATTTCCTGATTGGATTGGGGCCCCACCCAAAATCCTGGAGCCTGGACACACAAACATTCTAGATGTGTGAGGGTTGAGTTCTTTTTTTTTTTTTTTTTGCCACACCCAGGGATGCTCAGGGGTTACTTCTGGCTCTGCACTTAGTACTGCTCCTGGTTCCGGTGGTGCTGTGGCTCATACAGAATGCCGGAATTCTGGAATCAAACCTGGGTCGGCCATGTGCAAGGCAAGCGCCCTACCTGCTGTACGATCTCTCTGGCCTCCCCACTTTTTTTTTTCTTTTGCCTTTGGGTGACTCTTGGCTCTGTGTTCACAGATCCCTCCTGGCAGGCTCGGGCCATTCTATGCGTTGCTGGGGATTGAACTGCAGTCGGCTTCGTGCAAGGTCAGCGCCCTACCTATCCATTACACTATCTCAGGCCCCAGGGAGGGTTCTTTAAAGAGAAAAGAAGGAACCCTGAGCCGCGGCGTAACTGCAGGAGATATGCAATACTTCCGTGGATCAGAAAAACCCCAGGAAGCTTGGCTTCCGTGCATCCTTTGGAAGGAACGAACGCAGGCACCCCCAGCTCTCTTTTTCCCCCGCCCCCACCCACACTCGCGGATCTTGCAGCCCCGGCGCGGAGGGCAGGGCCGCACGCGGCTGCCGGTGACGTAATGCTGCCCGGGTACACAAAGCGGCGCCCCTCCCCCGCAGGCGCCCGGTGCCTCCGCGAGCAGCCGAGCAGCCGCGCGCCAGAGCTCCAGGGTTTGAAACAGCAGCCCAGGAGCGTGGGGAACAAAGGCTCGGCCAGGAGCGCCGGGGCGCTGCCGGGAGGCCCAGAAATAGGCATCACGTCATCCGCAGCCTGCAGCGCCCCGCGCCATTCGCGAGGACCGGCGCGGTCCCACCATTACGATGCAGAATACAACTTGCAGGGTTCGCGTTGCCTCTCAGCCCCAGCCCCGCGCCGACCGCGTCGAGGAACGGCGGTCCCTCTGCTCCCCACCCCCGCAGCAGTCTCTCCCCCGAGGCCGCCGCCGCCCCTGGCCGCCCGCCACGCATCCTCGGGCTCCCAGCTGCCATCTTGCGGGCCCCATCCCCCCGCCACCTCCTCCCCCGCGGCCCCGAGCACCGGGAGGGGGAGGAGGGGGCACCGCCCTGCGTGCCCCGCGGGCCAGGGCACGGCCTACCCCCGTCTTCTCCTCCCCAGAAGGAGGGGTCCTCAGCCGCGCTGACGGTGCACCGCACCATGTTTTTAGCATCCCGGCCCTTTCCACCCTCCGGCCGGCCCGAGGTTTCCCACGGCTGCAGCACCCACTCAAGTTTCGGGGCTCCCCACTGCCCGCGAGCTGCCACTACAGGCCTGATTCCCCGTGAAGGCCCCCGTTTCGTATCTCACTCCACCGTCCAGGCGCTGGGCTCTGCAACGGTTTAGATGACCCCCGGCTTAGGTTGCCCGATCCTACTTACCGAAGCTAGGTCGGATATTGGTGATCTCAGCCATGTCGTAGTCAGAGGTTATTTGCTAGAAAGGCTTTTGGAAATGGTCAGACCACTCTGGGGGTCCCCGGTCGGTGCCGAGGGCTCCCTCTGTAGAGAGTATGACCAGGGGCGGGGGACGATATCCGGCGGACGCCTACTGCGACGGTTTGATCCGTGGTGGCCAGCTGCGTTCTCCTCTTAAGATGCTCCAGGGATGCTCTGGGCGAAGGATGCAGGTGCAGCCAGGCTGGTCCTGATGCGAGGTAGGCTCCGCCTCCTTCCGAACGGCCCTCGGCAAACACTCCGCCCCCGTCCGAAAAGTTCCGGAACGCACGTTCCGCCCCTTTCCGGAAGCTCTCAGGGAACAAGCCCCTCCCGTCTCCCACACTTTGCTAGAGACCTGTCCCCCTAGCGAGTTTGGGGGTCTCTAAGGCAAAAATTTCAAAGCCCGGAGTAACTGTATATTCGCAGGTCAGATCTGTTAACGGGTCAGATCCTATAGATTTGTCATTCCGGTTCCCTGGGCTTAAATTGCCGCAGGCTATTGTGGGTGAGAGGGAGTCCAGGATACCTATTTTTAATTAAAAAAATTTTTTTTTTAAGTCCAGGATTTTAAAAATAATTCTTTTTGTTTTCTTTTTGGATCACACCCGGTGATGCTCAGGGATTACTTCTGGTTCTGCACTCAGGAATCACTCCTGGCAGTACTCAGGGAACCATATGGGATGCTGGGCATTGAACCTGGCTGGCTATGTACAAGGCAAACGCTCTACCCGTTGTACTATCACTCAGTCCCCCAAAACCAAAATCCTTTGCTGCCTTCATTTCAATATAAATTGCTGTCATTAGGCCTTTAAAATTAATTTGGGGGCCACACCCAGTGGTGCTCAGGGCTTACTTCTGACTCTGTGCTCAAGGACTGCTCCTGGCAGGGTCAACCGTGTGCAATGCAAGCACCGTACTGGTGGTGTACTAACTCTTCTGTCCTGTAGGGTTTTTTTTTGTTTTTTATTTTGCTTTTTGGGTCACACCCGGCGATGCTCAGGGGTTACTCCTGGCTTTGCACTCAGGAATCACTCCTGGCGGTGCTCGGGGGACCATATGGGATGCTGGGAATCGAACCTGGGTTGGCCACATGCAAGGCAAACGCCCTACCGGCTGTGCTATTGCTCCAGCCCCTGTTCTGTAGTTTTAAAAAGAAGGAAATAACTGAAAATAAAGGGTCTATATATTTCCCTAGCACTTGGGTGACTTAAATTGATCCAGTTTAGAGTCAGATTGCTGGGTGTTATTTGCATGATATTAACCATTTTACCCATCAGTGGGGCACACCCAGAGGTGCTTGGGAAACTATGCAGAGCCAGGGATTGAACACCAGCCAGCCTTCTGCATGCAAATTCAGCCTGTTGAACCAGTTGGGCAGATGATAATTTTATCCTGTGGGATTCTGTTTACACACAGGATCAAGTAAGCTAAATGATTTATTATTATTATTTTTGTTTTTTGGCTGTACCCTGTTCTGTTCAGACCTCACATCTGGCCCCAGTGCTCACCCTTGACAAGCTTAGGGAACTGGATGTGGTGCTGGGTTGGAACCTGGATCTATTACATACAAAGCCTTACTTCCTGTACCATTTCTGGCCCCAAAATAAAATGTTTGCTTGTTTGTTTGTTTGGCTACCCCCAGCAGTGCTCAGGAGTCACTCCTGGCTCTGCACTCAGGAATTATTCCTGGTAGTGCTCGGGGCACCATATGAGACGCTGGGGATCAAACCCAAGTTGGCTGCATGCAAGACAAATGCCCTATCTGTGTACTATTGCTTCAGTCACGGTCATGGTCACGGTCCTCCCGTTGTTTATTGATTTGCTTGAGCGGGCTCAGTAACGTCTCCATCGTGAGACTTGTTGTTACTGTGTTTGGCACATTGAATACATCACGGGTAGCTTGCCAGGCTTTGCTGTGTGGGTGAGATACTCTTGGTAGCTTGCCGGGCTCGCTGATAGGGGAGGAGAAATCAAACCCGGCTCGGCTGGGCTTGCTGAGCACAAGGCAAATACCCTACCGCTGTGCTATCGCTCCAGCCCATTGCTTCAGTATCTAAAATAAACTTTTTAATGCAAAAATATTTGTTGATTGCTTCCTTGCAATATATTATAATTTAATACATTTTTTCAACTTTGACATTTCATCATTTGGAAATTGTGGAGAAGGCATGATTGTAACAGTTATTCATTCTTTGAAAACACATTTATTGAATTATTAGATGTGGACTGTCCTCTGGGCACTTTCCTGAACACTGCATCAAAGCATCAGGAGCTAGAACTAGAATACTTGATTGCACTTGAAAGGTATGTATCTTTCTAAGATTATGTACCTTGCACAAACAAGAATTTGTCCAATACAATCTAGAACGTAGTGCATGACCTGTTATCATAGAGGATTTATTATGAAGATCTCAAAACCTATGAGGGGCTGAAGATATAGCAGGTAGGGTGCTTGCACACCCATTGCTTTGTACACACAGTGCTTGCACACACCTTGCTTTGCACATGTATGGCTTGGGTACCATATGGGCACCCCATATGGTCCCCCAAGCCCACCAGGAGTAATTTCTGAGCAGAGAGTCAGAAGTAAGCCCTGAGAAACCCTGGGTATGGCCTACAAACCAAAAACCAAAACAAAGCACCTATGATAGTGGCAGAGCGATAGTACAGCTGATAGGACATTGCCTTGCATATAGCTAACCAGGGTTCAATCGTAACATCCCATATGGTCCCTCAATTTCTGCAGCACAACCAGGTGTGGCACAAAAATCAAAGCAAACAAAAACACTTATGATAATGGAAGTGAAAGAATTTTATAAAATGTAGAGTTGTGTATTGATTAAACTGATCCCAGTGTTTTTTTTTTTTTTTTTTTACACATCTGGCGATTCTCAGGGCTTACTCCTGGCTCTGCTCTCAGGGCTCACTCCTGGTGGACTCTTGGGGTGTGGGGGGTAATCATATGAAATGCCAGGAATCAAACCTGAGTCAGCAAGGCAAGTTCTACCTCCTTACGCGCTTTACTATCTCTGACCCCTGAACCCAGGATCTTATAGATGCAAATCAAATGCTCTACCACTGAGTTACATCCCTGATTTAAGACTACACAATTATTTAGAAAACTGCAGTATTCGTGATTCACAGATTCCTTTTCCTGAAATTTTCTAAATTCTTTATTTCCTTGGTCTGGTATTGCAGGTGTCTGTCAGTAAGCAGAACTCATTGTCAAACGAAATCAGAAGGTCTTGGCTTGTTCAGTGACAAAGTGAATGCTTTACGTGCATGAGGCCTGGGTCTGAACTTCCAGCATCGCAACCAAATCAAACGTAAACCACAGAATCTTTGCCCTCAGAAGGACTGAGCTTAGGGCAGAATCCGAGGCATTGTCTTTAAATGATTTTACCATTAACTGACGAACTTTGGGACTTTCTTCCGCCCTGAGCTAGCATGGCGCCCAGGACTTTGCGCATGCGCTTTTCCATGACGCCGCGCTCCGCGACTCGGGGGCGCGCACGTCTGTCGCTGTCGTTGCCTGACTTCCGGCGATACAAAAGCTGATTTTCCGCGGGTTCGGCGGGCGGCGGCGGGGTGCAGCGTGGGGTCCGCTGCACTGGAGAGCTGCAGGTGGGTGCAGGCTGCGGGGCGGAGGGGCAGCGCCGGTGCGGTGCAGGGTCCGGCGCGGGCGCGGGGACCGAGCAGAGCGCGGCGCCGCGGGAAGGCGCTGTCCGAGCCTCTGATCTTTCCCGGAGGGCCCGCGCCCCGGTCCCTGCCTTTGGGCGTGCATTGCGTCCGTTCTCCCTGCGGTTCGGGTTTCGGTGTCCAAGGTGGGGAATGCGGGACTCTTTAGAACTGCTGCTGTTGAAGGTGCCTGGAACCTGTCCCTGCAGGCTGCTGACTTGGAATCGCCGCTGCCTTTAATTTTTCTTTCTTTCATTCTTTTTCTTTTTTCGGGTCACACCTGGTGATGCACAGGTGTTGCTCCTGGCTCTGCACTCAGGAATTACTCCTGGCGGTGCTCGAGGGACCATATGGGATGCTGGGAATCGAACCCTGGTCGCTCGCGTGCAAGGCAAACGCCCTACGCGCCCGCTGTGCTATCGCTCCAGCCCTTTCTTTATTAGTATTATTTGTATGCCTGTGTGTGTGTGTGTGTGTGTGTGTGTGTGTGTGTGTGTGTGTATGTGTATGTATGTTGGGGGACAAGGTATAGTTGGTGATTAAACCCAGGATTTTACATATGCCCTCCACAACTCAGCAATATTACACCCTACCCTTTTTTTTTCCCCCTTTTGGCTTTTGGGTCACACCTGGAGGTCCTGAGGATTCACTCCTGGCTCTTTGCTCAGGGATCATTCCTGGCACATCTCTAGGGAGTCTAGGGGGTGCTGAGGGTCGAACCAGGATCCTTTGGTGCCTTCGATACAGTAAGATCTCTCCAACCCATCCCAGGCCTCATTTTAACTGGGTCAGGTTTTTCTGGGTAGAAAGACGCAGATTTTATAGAATGTTGTTTCAGATATTGTATAGGCCAAAACACCAAAGGATCGGACATTCAAGGTCCGATTTATTTAGGTGACATTTGTTGAGTATCCACAAGTACCATGAATACTGTTGACTAGGGAGTCCCTGTTAAAGGTTCCTTCACAAAAAGTCATAGTTTTGGGGATGGGAAATGGAAAAGACAATTAAAAGTAAACCACTTCCCCTTTCCTGTGCCATAAATAGGTTTTCAAACTGGAGCTGTAAGAATTTTTTTTTTTTTAAAGAAAGATGCTTCGGGGCTGGAGAGCTAGCACAGCGGGTAGGGCGTTTGCCTTGCACACGGCTAACCCCGGTTCAATTCCCAGCATCCCATATGGTCCCCTGAGCACCGCTAGGAGTAACTCCTGAGTGCAGAGCCAGGAGTAACCCCTGTGCGTCGCCGGGTGTGACCCAAAAGGCAAAAAAAAAAAAAAAAAAAAAGAAAGATGCTCCTTGGCTGGGGAGATGGTTCAGAAGTAGGACATATACTGTGCATGTGAACGGTGGCTCCTGGGTCAGTCCCTGACTGTTGGGAAGGCAAACACACCCAAAAAGATAACACTGGAGACTGATGAGAGTTCGGCCAGTTGGAGTGTGTGCCTTGCATGGAGATCTGGGTTCAGTCCTTGACACTGCTTGGTCCTCTGAACTGAGAGCAGCTGGCGAGTTCTGCTGGGTGTGACTCAACCCTCCATTTCCCTCTCCCCCATCTCGCATGCCCCCTTCCAAAAGAAGAGAATTCCTGCAGGGTTTAGGGAGATAGTTAAAGTGGGAGAGCACACGCTTAACATGCTTACTGTGTTTGAGACCCACCCAGAGTTCTGTCCTGGCACCACATGGCTGCCTGAGCAATGCTAGGTGTGGCCACCTTATCTTCGCCTCTCCCCCCTCCAAAAGTACTCAGCAAAAGAAGATTCCTCCAGTGTAAATTTGTATTGCTTTTAAAATGTGATAGCAGGAATCTTGAAGTAACAGTATAGAAAACAATAGGAATCTCTTGTTTGCAACAAGAACCTTTCTTTAGCATAGCCTGCTATTTGAAGTATTTATTGATGCAAAATAATTTTATTTAGAAAGTAGGAGAGAAAGAGGAGGCAATTCCATAAAGTAAAAGAAAATAATTATACCTCACGTTGAAATTCAGATGATTCCAAACTATATAATATGTGATCTACCCTTTTTTTTTGGTGAGGGAGAGGAGCCAGTGGAGTGGTTTGTGCTCAGGGAATGTTTTTGGCTTAGTAGTCAGGAGCAACACCTGGCGGTGCTCAGGGGGCCACGTGTAATACCGAGGATGGTACTAGCACCCACCGTATGCAAGCCAAGAGCCTTAGTTCCTCTATTGTCTCTCTGGCCTAATCTGACCTTTTAAAACAACCTCATTTTGCTTTTGGATTTTTATGTGGGGGAGGTACACCCATCTGTGCTCAGGGGTTGCACCTGTCTCTGCTCTCTGGGTCACTGCTGTGGTGCTTGGTAGAGTCCAGATGTGGTGCTGGAGAACTGGGGTTGACTGCATGCAAGGCAAGTGCCTTAATCTCTGTACTCTCCCCTGGATTGTTTTTGTTACTGGACGTATATTCTTTTTTTGGAAATGTTTTCTTTGTTTGAAACAATAACATGTATGACTGAAACCAAATTATGAACAGCTTTGTAAAGATCGATCTCAGTGATTCAGTAATCTTAAAAAAAAAGAAAACAATAACATTTATTGTTCTAATTAATTGCTGTCCAGTGACATAGGCACTATTTTTATAGCTAAAAATCCTGAGATTCAGGGGCTGGGAAGATGCCTTAAAACAATAGGCTGTGTTTGCATGTGGTAATCCCAGGTTTAGTCCTCAGCACTGCATGGTTTTCTGAGCACTGCCAGGTGTGGCTCCTCCCACCCCCAGAGAAGCTTGAGATTCAGGTTAAGTAAGTTACACAAGATCACAAAGTAGACTGTATATGACTTGGGGCCAGAGTGACAGTATAGGGCTAAGGTGTTTTCCTTGCATCCCATTGACATCATCTGGAGACTCCTAAGTTCCGGTAGGGGTCACTCCAGAACCCAGGAATAGCCCCTGAGCACCTCTGGGTGTGACCAGAGATAAAGAATGTGACTTGGGAAACAAATCCAGAGAGTTTGACTCCTCAGTTTGCTCTCAACATTGTACTATTCTAGTTCCCTGATGGTTAATAACAACACCTATTGATTACTTGCTATTTGGGGGTGGGGGGTCTATATCTGATGCTTCTTGGGGTTGTTCCTGGCAGGGCTTTGTCAGGCGATGCTGGGGATTGGACCCTGGTCTCCTGCATGCAAGGCATGTGCTCCAGCCCTTGTTCTCTCTCCAACCCCTTTTCTCTAATTCTTTTTTGTTGTTTTGGGCCACAGCTAGTGATGCTCAGGGGTTACTCCTGGCTCTGCACTCAGTAATCACTGCTGGCAGTGCCCAGAGGACCCTATGGGATGCTGGGATTCGAACCCAGGTCAGCTGTGTACAAGACAAACACCCTCTCCGCAATACTATTGCTCCAGACCCTCCTTTTTGTCTGAAGAGGGATTGATTATGTGGTTGAGGTGAAGTGCTGTGTTTGTGATTGAACAGGAAAAAGTGCAAAGGGTGTTTGAGGAAGTGTTGTTGTTCCTTAACACAATCGTGAGAGTGGGCCTGGAATGATAATATAGCTGGACTTTGACCTTGCATGCGGCCAACCTGGGTTCGATCCCAGCATCACATATGGTCCCCTGAGCACCGCCAGAACTAATTCCTGAGTGCAAAGCCAGGAGTAACCCCTGTGCTTTGCTGGGTATCACCCAAAAGGCAAAAAAAAAAAAAAAAAAAAAAAACCATCCCCAAAACAAAAACAAAACATGATTGCGAGAAGTCTTTGTTATCCTTTCAGGATGGAGCGGAAGTGGGACTTGTGAAATGTCGCCCTGCATGAAGAGAAGAACTCCAGAGTCCCCACCGCGGCAGGGAAGCCACGATGATGACTTAGATCTTGGGTTGGCTGTTCAGCCAGACCAGGCTCGAGACTTGGGATCAGTGCCACTGTCCTGGGGCCCCAGCCACAGCAGAGCAGCTGGCATCGAAGTTCAGTCTGTGCAAGATGCAGCGAGCCTTCGAGCCATGGAAGAGGCAGCTTTAAGCTCCCGGGTGCTCATCCAGGACACCATTACACCCGTTTTGGAAGCCCCTGATGTGCCCATTTCCCAGGAGATCACCCTGACGGCCTCGGAGTCTTCTCAGCCCCCTAACATTCACGTTGGTAAAGGAAAACTCCAGGCCACTGGCTCCAGGAGAGGGAAGAAATTTGCAGGGAGGCCTGGGCCGGTGTCCCAGGAAGACAGAGATGATCCCAGCAGCACCCTGGATCCCTTTTTAGGAGAGCCTAGTGAAGAAGTCGAGGAAGATGGAGGTAAGATTAGACGGAAGGTGTATGGATGCCATTCTGGGCCAGCTGTCTTGGGCAGTCCTGGCAGTGATGGGTGGTCTCCAGGGCAATACCCAGTAATGCTCAGGGAACCGTGTGGTTCTTTGTTTTTTTTTGTTTCTTTTTTCTTTTTTTCTTTTTTTTCTTTTTGGGTTACACCTGGTGATGCTCAGGGGTTTCAGTGGACCATATAGGATGCTGGGAATCGAACCTGGGTCGGCTGTGTGTAAGGCGAACACCCTACCCGCTGTGCTATCTCTCCAGCCCCACTGTGTGGTTCTTTGGATCAGACCTGGATTGACCACATGCAAGGCATGTAGTTTTTTTTTTTTTCTTTTTGGATCATATCCAGCAATGCATAGGGGTTACTTCTGACTTTGCACTCAGGAATTACTACTGGGGACCATATGTATGTATGTTCAGGGGGGGACCATATAGGACCATATGGGACCATGTGGGACCATGTGGTACGCTGGGAATTGAACCTCAGGTTGGCCGCGTGCAAGGCAAACGCCCTGCCATGTATTGTTGCTCCAGTCTGCAAGGCGTTTGTTTTATTCCCAGTAATCTCCTCAGGCACAAGACACGTCAGTTAAAATTTTGTGAAAAAGAGGAGCCAGAGAGATGATACAGCGGGTAGGCACTTGCCTTGCACATGGCCAACCTGGGTTTGATCCCCTGCCTTCCATGTGGTCCCCTGAGCACCGCTAGGCGTGATCCCTGAGTACAGAAACAGGAGTAATCTATGAACATTGCTGGGTGACTCAAAAAAACAACCAAAAAAACCAAAAAAACCCACCTAAAAACCATAAAAAACAAAGGCTGGAACAATCTGGGTTCAATCCCTGGCATCCCATGTGGTCCCCTGAGCTTGCCAGGAGTGACCTCTGAGTGCAGAGTGAAGGAGTAAGTCTTGAGCACTACCGGTGTGACTCTCCAACTCCTCAACCCCAAAAAGTAACAACAGAAAAAAAAACCCAAAGTAAAAACAGTGAACAACAGCAGAGTAAAATTTGCTGCATAACCTTTCTTTTTAAAAAAAAATTATTTTTTTTATCTTTTTGAGGTTTTTGGGCCATACCCAGCAGTGTTCAGGACTTATTTCTGGCTCTGCCAGGAATCACTCCCAGCGGGTTCGAGGGACCATATGGGGTGCTGGGGATTGAACCTGGGTCAGTTGTGTGCAAGGCAAGCATTGTACCTGCTATACCATTGCTCTGACCCCCATGCATATCCTTTTTGTTGTTCTTTTCAGTAATATTTCAATCTTGTTATTCTGAATTTGTAAGGAAAAAACAAAACAAAACAAATCTCGGTTACTTTGAAGAATCAGCAGGTTGTTATAATTGATACACTGTTAAATAACATTTCTAGAGGCTGGTGAGATAGTACAGCAGGTAAGACACTAGTTTATAAGCGGCTGACGCAGGGTTGATCCCTAGCATGCTGTTTGGTACCCTGAGCTCCACCAGGAGTGATAGAGAAAGGAGTATGCCCTGAGCACTGCCGGGTGTGACCTCAAATAAAACCAAAGACTAGCACTGTAGCACTGTCCTCCCATTGTTCATTGATTTGCTCGAGCAGGCACCAGTAACATCTCCATTGTGAGACTTGGTGTTACTGTTTTTGGCATATCAAATACGCCACGGGTAGCTTGCCAGGCTCTGCTGTGCGGTGGGATATTCTTGGTAGCTTGCCGGCTCTCCGAGAGGGATGGAGGAATCGAACCCGGGTCGGGCACGTGTAAGGGAAATGCCCTACCAGATGTGCTATCGTTCCTGTTCAAAAACCAAAACCAAAACCAAAAATTGTTTTTTTTCTAGGGAAAAAAATTCTATGGCTCAGAAAAGCTTTAGTTTGTGTTTAACTCTGACATTATAAGTGTGAATTTGAGGTCTGATTTCAGCTTTTATTATCTCTCTCCTAGGTTTTAATTTTTTTGTAGCTGTTTGGGCCACACCTGGTGGTGCTCAGGGCTTACTCACTGCTGGCTCTGCCCTCAGGGTTCACTCCTGGCTGAGCTTGGGGGACCCTATGTGGTGTTTGGGATCGAATCTGATCGGCCATATGCAAGGCATGCGCCTTCCCTGCTGTCCTGTCTCTCCTGCCTCAGCACCCTGACTCTTAGAGGATCTTAGAGGATTCCCCAGTGAGAAGTTCTCTAACAAAGACTTCTGCGGTGCTGATCTCACTCACAGCATGGCTGAGGGTGGGTCAGATGTGGAGCAATCATTGTGATTCTTTTTCTTTTTCTTTTTGGAAAGTAGAAAAGAAAGGGAGCTTCCTAAATGGAAGGAACTTAGTATAGGACTAAGTTCATCCTCGTGATTCTTCCAGGAAAACTTCCGCCGATGCTTTCTGGAGGGGAGCTTCCTTCACTTCCTGAGGCCAGCCAGTCCACGAAATCTGGAAGCCAGCCTTGGGAACTGTCTCCCGTTGCTGTCGGTGTCTCTCCGCAGGAACAGCTCCTCAGGACTTCGGCTGCTCACACGGAAGATGAGATGGAAGATGGAGGGCTCTTTATTCCCACAGGTAGGCTGTCTCTCAGAAACTCCACCACTGAACTAGACTCTGCAGAGAGCAACAACAACTGAGCTCCCTGAATTTTCAGAGTCCGGATGTGCCTGTGTAACGTGCCGCCAGCTCAGGACGCCAGCAGTTCCCACAGCCCCTCCTCGTGCCAGTCGTCCCGGCCCCACTCTCCATCTCTTGCAGCATCCATTATCGGGTCGGCTGCACTTGCAGGAACAGGATAGCCCGGATGCGTGTTTCGTGATGAATTTGTCCACGTAGCATTTTATGTAGCAGTGGGTCCCTGTTGTTGTGCCTACTGGCCCATTGTTATTTTTCAGTGCTGTATTCTGGTGCTTGGGTCGTTGTTTTTGGCTCCTTGCAGTCCTTCTGTGGGAAGGGGCCTCCGAGGCTGTGCTCGGGGCCAGGGAGCTTTGAGCAGTACTTGGGCACCCAGGCCAGATGGTCCATTATTAGGGCCTGGGCCCAGTGGTGCTGGGAGCTACCCTGATGCTATTTGGGGGACTGCTAGTGTCTCACCCAGCCATCCTTGTGATTATGCTGTGCCCTGAATTGAACTCATGTCCTTGTGTCCCTAACCACTGAGCTATCGCTCCAGCCCTTTTATTCCAACTCTTATTTTTGTGTGTGGAGGCTCTGGATACTAGAGGCTGCACTTGGCTGTGCTCTGGGGCTGATCTCAGCTCTGTCCTCAGAGGTTGCTCCTAGTAGTGCTTTGGAGACCCTGTGGTGCTAAGGACTGCATGTAAGGCAAATATGTTCTTTAATTTTTTTTTTTTTTTTGGTCATACACAACGTTGCACAGGGGTTACTCCTGGCTCATGCACTCAGGAACTGGTGGTGCTCAGAGGACCATATGGGATGCTGGGAATCGAACCTGGGTCAGCTGCGTGCAAGGCAAACAAACGCCCTACCCTTTGTGCTACCGCTCCAGCCACATGTTCTTTAATTTTTTTAATTTTTTTTTTTTTTTGCTCTTGGGGTCACACCTGTTGATGTTCAGGGGTTACTCCTGGCTCTGCGCTTAGGAATTTCTCCTGACAGTGGTTGGGGGACCATATGGGATGACAGGGATTGGACCCAGGTTGGATGTAAGGCAAATGTCCTACCCACTGTACTATTGCTCTGGCACCTTAAATTAATTAATTAATTAATTTTCTTTTTGGATCACACCCGGCGATGCTCAGGGGCTACTCCTGGCGGTGCTCGGGGGACCATATGGGATGCTGGGAATTGAACCTGGGTCGGCCATGTTGGCTGCGTGCAAGGCAAACGCCCTACCCGCTGTGCTATCGCTCCAGCCCCCTTAAATTTATTTTTAATGGAATCTTTATGAGTTACACAGTTACAAAGTTGTTCATGATTGGGTTTCAGTCATACAGTGTTCCAACACTAAGGCAAATGTTTTAACCCTGTGAGATCTTTCTAGCCTCCATCTTTGTTTTGTTTTGGGACTACATTTGGCTCTGCTCAGGGCTTACTCCTGGCTCTGTGCTCAGGGATCACTCCTGGTAGGGCTCTGGGGATTGTATGGGAATCCAGGGATGAAAACGGGTTAGCATGTGCAAGGCAAGCACTCTCCAGCCCTTTCACTCTTGTTTAAAAATAAAAGTTGTTTTTGGGAGGGCCATCCCAGTAGTGGCAGGGAGCAAAGTCTTAATGCTTGCTAGAACTTTTTTATTTTGGTCACATCCTGGGCCTGGGGAACTATAGGGTGCTGGGGCTTGAACCCTCATCAGTTGCAAGCACCTTAATCCCTGTTAATATCTCTCTGGTTCCCGATACTAGGTTTTAAAAATTAAAAAAAAGAAAGTAAACCTTTGGAATCTTGTTTATTACTGCTGGGAGTTTTTCTTTATTATTTTGGTTTTTGGGCCACATCCAGTGATGCTCTGGGGTTACTACTAGCACTGCTCTCAGGAATCACTCCTGGCGTGCTCAGCGACCATAGAGAATGCTGAAGATGGAACCCAAGTTGGCATGTGCAAGACTAACATCCTATCTACTATTCTATTGCTTTGTTCTGTTGCTTTGTGGCCCTTTTGTTTTTGGACCATACCTGATTGGCAGTACTCAGGGCGTGCTCCTGCTCTGTGTCCCAGGGTCACTCCTGCCAGTGTTTGGGGTCAGTTCCCGACCCACCACGTGCCAGGCAAGCTCCTGAAACCTTGACCTGTCTCTGGCGCACTGCTTTAACTCTCTCATAATTGGGTTTCGAGCTGAGTTCTTGAAGCTGTTGTTCCTGAGATTTTAGGGATGGTCCTGATTTCTTTGCAGAAGAACAAGACAGTGAAGACAGTGAGAAAAGGCGGAAAAAGAAGAAGGGCACGAAGAGGAAACGAGAGGGAAGGGGCCATGAGGAAGGGACTCTGAGTTATGACCTGAAGCTGGACGACATGCTGGACCGGACGCTGGAGGATGGTGCCAAGCAGCACAACCTCACGGCAGTCAACGTGCGCAACATCCTCCATGTGAGTGTGCTGGGCCCGGGCCGGGCTGGGACGGTGCCGGGTGGGGCTGGCACGTGGTGCCAGGGTGACACAGCAGGGTCACCCCCATACGTGACATAGGAGCTCTGTCCCCTCAGCCACAGTCACAGTCCCTCAGGAAGTTATGCTTTTTTTTCCTTTTTTTGCAGCATTGGGGATTGAACCCAGGGCCTCACACACGTAAATGTGTCATGTGTTCTGCAGCTGTTCCACACTGCTGACCCTTTTTGTTGCTTTACTTATTTATGATTTTTTTCATTTTGTGGCCCATATCTGGCAGGGCTCAGGGGGACCAGTACAGGGTTGGGAGCACAGCTCCTACACGCATCACCCCAGCTCTCTAAGCCACCACCCTGATACCCCTCAGAGATTCTTTTCTTGTGTCTGTGTTTGTGGTGGGGGGGGGTCATACTCAGCAGTTCTCAGACTGACTCTGCACTCAGGAATCACACCTGACAGTGCTCAGGAGGACCATCAGGGGAATCAAACCCAGGTCAGCTGTGTGCAAAGCAAATGCCCTCCCCGCTGTACTGTTGCTCAGTCCTCCCGTGGGGATTTCTTTTTTTTTTTTTCTTTTTGGGTCACACCCGGTGATGCATAGGAGTTACTCCTGACTGCACTCAGAAGTTACTCCTGGCGGTGCTCAGGGGACCATATGGGTTGCTGGGAATCGAACCCTGGTCAGCCGCGTGCAAGGCAAATGCCCTACCCACTGTGCTATCTCTCCTGCCCCCTGTGGGGATTTCTTGACCCTTGATCAAGAATACTAATTTGTTGTATTTGTTGTACTAATCTTGTTTTTGGGTGTCACCAAGTTATGCTCAGGGCTTACTCCTCTCCTGGCTCTTTGCTTAGAGATCTCTCCTGGTGGGCGTGGGGGCTATATGAAATGTCAGGAATGGAACCCAAGTCAGCAGCATGCAAGGCAAGCACCCTACCCTCTGTCTTCACTGTCCAGTGGCTTTGGCCTCTAGCAAACCATTGTATTCCCAGGAGCAGCTGGTTAGATTGCTACATTTTTTGAAGCTCTGTCCAGAATTTATCTTCTTGCTTAATCCTAATCTGAAGTTGTTTGAGTATTCATTTTTGAGCCATTCCTGGCAACACTCAGGATTTACTCCTGGCTCTGCACCAGGCATCAGTCCTGGTGGTGCTCGGGGGAATTATATTGGATGCTGGGGATCGAACCCAGCTTGACCACATGCAAGGCAAAAGCTCTACCCACTGTACTACCATTCTGGCCCCTGAAAGCTGTTTGAATTTTTAGCTCTGGTTCATTACATTCATCAAAGATGCACAGAGATTAGTATTATCTAGAAGAAGCAGCCTTGTTGCATACAATGAAATCTCCTCTTTCTCCAGGAAGTAATAACAAATGAACACGTGGTAGCAATGATGAAAGCAGCCATCAGCGAGACAGAGGATATGCCCATGTTTGTGAGTAGTTATCGTCATTCGTTTAACATTCTAGAACGCAGATGTTTTGTCACCTGGGTGGCCGAGTGTTGGAGGTCAGCGATGAATCTCTTAGTAGTTTGCTAGTGGAGACAGAGTGGGTCTGAACCCAGGAATTACAGGCTGATTTTTATTGACGGTTTCCTTTTGCTTTTCCCTCTTTAGGAGCCCAAGATGACCCGCTCTAAGCTGAAGGAAGTGGTAGAGAAAGGAGTGGTGAGTGACTGTATTTTTTTGTTTTGAAAACAAGATCCAAGCCCAGGTAATTTTTTTTTTTTTTTTTTTTTTTGCTTTTTGGGTCACACCTGGTGATGCACAGGGGTTACTCCTGGCTCTGCAGTCAGGAGTTACTCCTGGCGGTGCTCAGGGGACCATATGGGATGCTGGGAATCGAACCCGGGTCGGCCGCGTGCAAGGCAAATGCCGCCCCACCCATTGTGCTATCGCTCCCGCCTCCCAGGTAATTTTTAGGGGAAAAATTTACACTCTGGATTTGCCTCCTGAAGGAAATCTGTTGTAAAAGACAAATCGAGGACTGGAGAGAGAGTACAGGAGGATGCCTAAATTATAATGTCCGGCTCAGTTGTGATTTAATTAGTAGAGATTAAAATGAGATTTTTCTGGCTGAGGATATAGCTCAGTAGTGGAGTACTAGGTTCAGTCCCCTTCGCTGCAAAAAACAAAAAAAACAACAGTGAGTTAAAATTAAAGTTAGGCGATGGAGAGAGAGTACAACATGGGAGGTGCTTACCTTATACACAGCTGACTCAGGTTCAATCCCTGGCACATGTTTTTCCAAGCTAGGCTAGGAGTGATGTCTGTATATAGTCAGGAGTCACCCCTAGACCCATCGGATGTAACCTAACAATTAGATGAATAAGTAAAGTTAGAGCGCCCTTCAGTTATTAGGTAGTGTGATTATCTTTCTAAAGATTTGGTTGGTTTTAGGATGTGCCCTGAGTGCTCAGGCTATTCCCAGCCTGGTGTGTTTGGGGAACCATGTGGTGGGACTATTACCAGAACTTCCACAAGCAAAGCATATTTTTAACCCTTTGAACTATCTCTACATCACCCATATTTCTCTGAATGCTGCATAAGATTGCACTGACTTTCTTTTTTTCTTTTGGGGCTACAGCTGGCACTACTCAGGACTTACTCTTGACTGTGTGCTCAGGGTTCATTTCTGGCAGGGCTCAGGGGACCATATGGGATTCAGGGAGTTGAGCCCAGGCTGGCAATATGCATGGCAAGTGCCTTACCTGCTCTACTCTCTATACCCCCTGGAAAGGCGCACTGAAGTTTGCTTATGAGAGGATTTTGATTAGGATATAATCAAATAGTCAAGAAATTATATCTATAATCCAGTAGCATATTGTCAGCTTTATCTAGAGCTTTATTTTTGGTTGGTGGTGGAAAGGCTTGGGCCATGCCCTGGGATGCTCAGGACTTACTCCTGACTTTGCTTACGGATCACTCCTGGTGGGGTTTGGGGAACCGTGTAGTGCCAGGGATTGAGCCTGGGTTGATTGGGCACAAGGTAAGTACCTTAACCTTTGCTTTAGCTCTCTGGCACCAAGAAATTTTTATGGCTAGTTTTATGGAGGCATACTTGTGGCAGTATTATAACTAATTTACAAAAATATTGGTTCAAAAGCTACTAGAATTTATGGTATCTTTTAGTTTATGTACTTTCGTAATTTACCAAAAGTTTTCACTTTCATTATTCCATGTGAGCTCCAGCTATAATATGATATGAACATGACACACTTTTGTATACATCTACTTTTCTCATTCATACTCTGAGACATGTTGAGAATATACATTCAGAAGTCATCTATCTACCTAGATCACTGAATCTGTTAAGTAGCTGGTAAAGAAAATGAAAATGAAGAAATGGTCCATTTCAGTTAAAGGAACTCCATTATTTATATCTTTCGTTGGTAGGTCATTCCAACATGGAATATTTCACCAATTAAGAAGGCCACTGAAATTAAGGTAAACTTGAAAGGGGTAATTCTTGTTCTTTTTCAGAAATTCTCTGCAACTCTAACCTCTAACCTCAGAAATGGTACTTTCTCTTTCATTTCTTTTTTTTTAAACCTGTCTTTTTTTTTTTAAGTTTTTTTGGGTCACACTTAGTGATGCTCAGGGGGTACTCTTTACTATTTGGTTACTCTTGGAATTACTCTTGGTAGTGCTGGGGGACCATATGGGATGCCAGGGATTGAATCCTGGTCGGACACATACATGTAAGGCAAGTGCCCTACATGTACTAGAGCCGTACTAGTTCTCCAGCCTGTATCGTTTTTATCCTGAAATTTTGTGTTGCTTTATCACAGTCCAAGTTTGTTAGTCTGTGTTTTTTTTTGTTTTGTTTTGTTTTGTTTTTGCTTTTTGGGTCACATTCAGTGATGCTTAGGTGTTACTACTGGTCCAGCACTCAGGAATCACCCCTGGTAGTGCTCGGGGGACCATATGGTGTGCTGGGGATTGAACTGGGTCAGCCGTGTGCAAGGCAAATGCCCTTCCCGCTGTAATATCTCTCCAGTCCAAAGTCTGTGTTTTGTCTCATGCTGGAAATCCCTTTGTAACTTGTTCTTCTTGTTTTACTTCTAAGAATTTTTCTTTACGATATGCCTTCTGTTTCTCTTTTCTTTCTTCTTTCTCCTTTCTCTTTCTCTTTCCTTTTCATTTCTTTTCTTTTCCTCTTTGGGCTACACCTGGCGTAGCTCAGGGGTTACTCCTATCTCTGCACTCAGGAATTAAGCCTGGTGGTGCTTGGAGGACCATATGGGATGCTGGGGATTGAATCAGGGTTGGGTATGTGCAAGGAAAATGCCCCACCCACTGTACCATTGCTCCCGCCCCTTGTTTTTGTTTTTAGTTTTTGGGCCACACCTGGCAATGCTCAGGGTTTACTCCTGGCTCTGCACTCAGGAATTACTCCTGGCGATGCTTGGGGGACTATATGGGATGCTGGGGATCAAATCCCGGTTGTCTGTGTGTGAGGCAAGCATCTTACCAGTTGTACTAATGCTCTGACCCCCTCCTTGTCTACTTTCTAATCTTCATGTCCAAATGCCTATGATTTTTGTTTCATACTACCCATATCTTTTTATGATTCTTGTGTAGCCTCCTCAGTTTGTGGATATCCACCTGGAAGAAGATGATTCCTCTGACGAAGAGTATCAGCCAGATGATGAAGAAGAAGATGAGACTGCTGAGGAGGTAGGTGCTTGTCCTGGTGCGGCTTTGTTGGTAATGAAGAAGCTGGCTCATTAAGGCAGAGTATATCTTGCTTTCTTAGTAATGTTATTCTAGAGACTTGAAGTCCTTTTTTCTACTCATTTCTCTGCATATTAAGGCAGTATTTTTTGCTCCACATACTCTTTTACTTTTCATGTTTGCTATTGTGGAATGAAACACAACATACAGACTGCAGAGAATGAAAATAAAAATATTCAACTTAATAATCATTTGAAAAATCTGGGGGCTGATGAGAAAATATATTGGGCAGGTCATTTGCCTTGCATGCAGCTGAACCAGGGTGATCCCTGGCATCCCATATGTTCCCCAAGCCCCACCCAGCGTGATCCCTGACCTCAGAGAGAGCCACGAGTAAATCCTGAGCACCAAAAAACCACTCCACTCCCTGCCAGATCCCCCACACTTCGCCCCAAAAAACTTCTCCAGACCCTGAGTCACTGGTTCTGACAGCCCCCAGGACACCCCCTGCCTGTTCTTCCCAGGCACTATCACCTCTCCCCAATGGTAACACTATCTGCTTCCACTGCCTTCACCTCAGGCAGTTTCTGTCTCTGTTTCATACTCATTAAACTTAAATATGAAGTATTGTAGACTTCTTCTGTTTTGTTTTGTTTTTCGACTGTTCCTGGTAGTGCTCAGGGCTTACCGGCTCTGCTTAGGGCTCATGCCTGATGGGGCTCTGGGAACCCAAGGAGAGTCTGGGATTGCACCTGGGTTGGGCACATGCAAGCAAGCACCCTGCCCGCTGCTATTGCTTCAGCCTCCCATACTTTAATTTTTTATTCTTTCTCAACCTTCTGTAAATTAGAACATATAGAATACATGTGCTCTTGTGCCTAGCATTGTTCAGACACAGTATTATGTATGCCTTTGAGATTTATCAGCAGTCTTATGTATAGCTATACCTTATTTTTATTGCTATGTAACAATCCATTTATTTACTGGTTTTTGGGGTCACACCTGGTGGTTTTCAGGGCTTGTTCCTGATTCTGTATTCAGGGATGACTCATGGTGGTGCTCCGCGTACTATATGGGATACTGCAGATCAAACCTGGGTAGGCCACATGCAAGACAGATGCCTTACCTACTGTACTATTGCTGTGATCCCAATAATCCATTTATTAATGTGTTCTTTATTTGCTTTGTTTTTATTTTTGGGCCACAGCCAGCAGTGTTCAGCACTTATTCCTGACTCTGTACTCAGGAGTTACTCCAGGTGGGCTCAGGGGACCATATGAGATGCCTGGGATCAAACCCGGGTTGGCCGCGTGCAAGGCAAATGCTCTACCCTTTTACTATCTTTCCAGCCCTGCAAAGGACTTTTATTTGTTGCTATTTTTGTGTGTGTGCTTAAGTGCAGTGATTTGACTCTCACTCAGCCCTGATCAGGAATCACTCCTGGCAGGTCCCAGGGGTCCACGTGTGCTTGGCATCAAATACAGGTCAGCGCATTAAAGATGAGCTCTTACCTGTTGTACTGTCTGATCGGAATAATGATTGATGTGTCTTTGTTATTATTTATTTTTTGGCCACATCCAGCAATGCTCAGGGGTTACTTCTGGTTCTTCTGGTTCTGCACTCAGGAATTACTACTGGCGGCTCTTTGGCCTCTATAGGGGATGATGCCAGAGATCGAACCCAGGTTGGCCGTGTGCAAGGCAAGCGTTCTATCGCTCCAGCACAGTGATTGATGTTTTGTGATTCTTTTCTTTTGACATCCTTTAAGTTCAGAATGAGATAGTAGCATAAATATCAGAATGATCTGGATTTGCTTTGTAGAGTCTGTTGGAAAGTGATGTTGAAAGCTCGGCATCGTTACCCCGGGGAGCAAAGAAATCCAGATTGAGGCAGTCTTCTGAAATGACCGAAACAGATGAGGAGAACAGCATGCTGTCGGAGGTAAGTCCACAGATTGGGTTAAAGACACTTTCAACAGTAGATCATTTATTTATGGTTATTCTGGGTTGTCAACCTTTGGCAAACGTGGTTCAAGATAATCAAGTCCTTGGAGTTGATGACTGTTTTGATTTCAGAGTCCCTTAAACCAGTGAATGTCGAAGGGAAAACTGAATTTCAGTGAACAAGAAGGGGCTTTCATGTGTCTCAGATAGGACTGGAAAATGAGTGATGAATAGCATTTCATTCTTTTATCCTTCTTTTATCTCATACTGTGTTTTCTAATACTGTTCCAAACGTTATTTTTATTAGACTCCCAGTTTTGGTGAACTGCTGTCTTGTTAGCTTGATTGGAAACGATGAAAGCCCTGAGTAGCTCCTTCTGTCTTTCTTCATCAGCGAGGTTCTGCCTGGTGGATATGGGGCTGTCACTCACACAGGGATGGCCTTGTCTTTCTCTTCGGGTGCTTTTTTTTGTTTGTTTGTTTTTTTCCTTCCTTTTTAAACCTGGTTTCCCCTTTGAATCAGGCAGAGAAAGTCGCCAGCACACCTGCCGTGAGGCACATCAGTGCTGAGGTGGTGCCCATGGGGCCCCCGCCCCCTCCCAAGCCCAGGCAGACCCGGGACAGCACTTTCATGGAGAAGCTACACGCAGTGGACGAGGAGCTGGCTTCCGGTCCCGTCTGCATGGATTCTTTCCAGGTGAACCTCATGACCTGAGTCCCAGAGCATGTCAGAGGGACTGATGTGCATGTGGCTCAGATTGGGAGGGGAACAGGGAAATTGTTAGATTCCGGTATTAGAGTCAGAGCTCGGAAATTGGAAGTCTCCGATACTCAGTTGGTTTGTGCCATTTGGGAGGGGAGTATGACCTCGCTGGCTCCCAAGGAAGGAATAAAGTATGTGACAGCATTTTTAAATGTGGAACACAGGCACCCCAGACTTTGCCCTGGTTCCCCAAATATCAAATGTTACCCCACATAGTTCTGTCATTTTTTTTATTTTTCTGGGGGGTTATATCCCTTGCAGTGTCTATGGCTGCTGTTGGCTTGTTGTTTGAGGGGGCTCTGCAGTGTCAAGGATCAGACCTGGGCCACCTGCATGCAACACGTGTGCTCCATCCTGTGACCTCTATGACCCCTAGGCTTGTTGAATCATTCTTTCTCCCCCTTTTCCGTTTTGCATGTTTTTTAGGTTGGGTCATTTTGGAGTATCTTGCAATCATAATGCTCTTGCTTCTAAATTTTTTTTTTTTTGAGAGTGCTCAGGGCTTATTCCTGGCTCTGTGCACTCTCATGGTGCCATATGGTGTGCTGGGGATCAAACCCAGGTTGGCCTCAAGCAACCTTACCCACTATACCCTCTCGGTCCCATGCCTGAATCCATTACCATGTTACCATTTTACATTCCTAAAAAGAGGTGGTTTAGTTTTCAAAATAAGGACCCAGAAATGTTATCTAATAGTCAGATTTATTATTTTTTTGTGGGATTAAAACACTTGTGGCGCTCAGGGCTTACTCATGACTCTGTGCTCAGGGATCATTCATAGGGGTGCTCGGGGGACCATAGGGAATGCTGGGGATCAAACCTCGGTTGGCTACAGGCAAGTCAAATGCCCTTCTCACTGTGCTATTGCTTTGGTCCTAAATAAAAAGTTTTTACATGGCAAAAAATCTTTGGTTCTAATACAGAGATCCCTATTAAATGTGAGAAACTATTCCTATTCAATGCCGCATGTCAGATAAAGGGATAATATCCAAGATCTATGAAGCAGTTAAAGCTCCAGAACAAAAATACCAATGGCCCATCAAAAAAAGGGGAGAGGTGATGAACAGCTGTTTCCCAAGGGGAGGACATCTGCATAGCCACCAGTGGGTTCATCATCTCTTATTAGGGAAATGCATACCAAAGCAAAAATGAGACGTCATCTCATGGCAATAAGAATGACAGAAACCCAAACAACTGCAAATAGCAAATGTTGAGGCATTGAGAAAGATCCTTTTACTCACTGTTGGTGGGAAATGCCAAATGATTATCCTCTCTGGAGAGCAGAATGATACTTTTGAAATACGTAAGAATTGAGCTCTCGGGGTTGGAGTAATAGCACAGCAGGGAGGGCATTTGCCTTGCACGCGGCTGACCTGGGTTCTATCCTCGGCATCCCATATGGTCCCCTGAGCACCTCCAGGAGTGATTCCTGAGTGCAGAGCCAGGAGTAAGCCCTGTGCATTGCTGGTTGTCACCCAAAAAGCAAAAAAAAAAAAAAAAAAATTGAGCTCTCCTATGATCCTTCTGCTACTCTGCATTTACCACCCGTAACACAAAAGTGTTAATTCAAAAAGACTTAGATGCCAGATGCCAGAATATGAAAACAACCCAAAAGTCCAACTGTGGATGTGTGGATGTATAAACCAAGAAGTTGTGGTCCATGTTATAATGGAGTACTGGGCAGCTGTCAAAAAGATGAGACCGCACAGTTCATTGCAACTTGGTGGGCACAGAAGGGCGTCATGTTAAGTGGAGTAAGTCAAGGGGAAGGACAAATACTGCATGATATCACTCAGCTGTGGTGTCTAGAGAAATAAGGGAACAGACAATTTCAAGTGATGACAAGCCCTTGGCCTTGGATCACACAGCTGAGATGAAAATAAAAATCATAGTAACTAGAGAGATAGAAAAGGCAGTTAGGGCACTTGCCTTGTATGTGGCCAACCCAGGTTTGATTCCCCTGGCATGTCACAGGTCCCTGCATCTGCCAGGAGTGATCTCTTAAGTATAGAGTCAGGAGTAAACCCTGAACACAGCTGGGTGTGGCCCAGAAAAACGAAGACTAATACAAAACAACACAAAAAAGGATCTCTAGTGAGGGCTAGAAATGTGGCTCGGTGGGCAAGCGTGTGTCTACTCTGCTTCTGTGGGCCCTGGCTTTGGTCCAGGAAGGGCACTGCCCCGAGCTGCCAGGAGTGAAATCTGAGCACATCTCAGTGTGGCCCCAAGCCCAGTAGAAACGGCAGTGAGATGCCATTTCATATCTGCTATATGAAAGTGGACACTAACAAGTGGAGGCACGCAGACACATGTCATCTAAGAAAGTCAGGCGTGAAGCCACATGGAAGTGTTGGGGGGTTCTTTGAAAAGTTAGACCCAGGGACCGCGGACTGGTGCTTTCTTGCACACTTCTGACCCGGGTTTGATCCCTAGCACCAGTAATGGCTCCCTGAGCTCTGCCAGGAATGATCCTGAGTGCAGAGCCAGGAGTAAATCCTGAAGATCACCAGGTGTGGCCCAAGAGAAAACAAACGAAAAAAACCCCAAAATAAAGAAGAAACACAGGGCCAGGAATGTGACTGTGGTATGGGTTTGGTATGAGAGAGGAGGAGGGAGAGGGAGGAAGAGATGGGAGGGGGATGGAGAAGGGAGAAGGGGGAGAGGGAGGGAGAGAGAGGGAAAAGGAGAAAGAGGAGAGGGAGGGACGGAGTGGGGGGAGAGAGAGAGAGAGAGAAAGAGAGAATAAGAATCTGATAAAGGTGAGAGTGAATCTTGAAGCATGGGTTGAGTGACATGCTTTGGTTTCCTGTTGTGTTCATTAGCCCATGGATGACAGTCTCATCGCCTTCCGAACCCGCTCCAAGATGCCTCTGAAAGATGTGCCCCTGGGGCAGCTAGAGGCAGAGCTGCGGGCGCCAGACATCACCCCAGACATGTATGACCCCCATACAGCAGATGACGAGGACTGGAAGAATTGGCTAGGGGGTCTCATGAATGACGATGTAGGCAATGAGGGTAAGTGGCTTTGTTTGCAGGGATTATTATCTCCAGTAAAAATTTCAGTAGTTGAGCTAGAGAGATAGTACAGCTGGTAGGATAGTTGCCTTCCATACATCCAACAAGGGTTCAATCTCCATCACTACCCAGGGTCCCCTGAATACCACTAGGAATAATCCCCAAGCACAGAGCAGACAGGAGTGAGCCCTGAGCACAGCTGGAGATGGCCACAAAGTAACAACAACAAAATTGCATTACTTAATCAGTGTTTCCCAAAGTGGGTGATACCATGTTCCCTTCACCCCAGAGATGCTGCCACAATCCAGGGGTGCTAATAGCCCCAGGTGAAGTTTGGGGAGGGGTGTTTGTTCAATTAGAGGTAGAGTTTTGGGGAGGGGACTCAGTGAAAAAAAAGAATAGGGGCCACACCTGTCAGTACTTGGGTTATTTCTGACTCTGCACTCAGGAATTACTCCTGGTGGTACTAGGGGGACCGACCATATGGGATGCTGGGAATTGAACCTGGGTTCACCGCTCTGTGCTCAGGGATCACACCTGGTGATGCTTGGGGGACCATATAGGGTGCCGGGGATTAAACCCAGGTCAGTTGTGTGCAAGGCAGGCGCCCTACCTGCTGAGGGTTGTTTTTCTAACATAATCATACTATTTATTCAGGTTCTGTAATCCGATTTAGTAATGTCATTCGTCTGTGCCAATAAATATATATCAAATACCAAAGCCTTAATCCTAACCTTGACCAGGAGGATCCCCCCAAGCCTCCTGAGTAGAACTTGAGAGGCCCCCATCAGAGAAAGAAAGAAAAGGATAAAGAAATGTGCTTTACTGAAACAGATTATTGTGCTTTTAACTGTCTTAAGAGCGTAACTAGAGAAATGACTTCAGAGTTGAGATCAAGTGTCTGAAACATTTTTTGTCTTAGATGAAGCAGATGATGATGATGATCCAGAGTATAACTTCCTGGAAGACCTGGATGAGCCGGACACAGAGGACTTCCGAACGGACCGGGCCGTGAGAATCACCAGTGAGTCTCTGCTTGCTGAGCCGTATCGTGGCTGTCTCACATCCACCCGCTGCTCTTTGTTGATTATGAAGAGGAATTTTGTTTGTTTGTTTTGGGGTCACACCTGGCATGCACAGGGGTTATTCCTGGCTCTGCACTCAGGAATTACTCCTGGTGGTACTAGGGGGATCAACCATATGAGATGCTGGGGCTGGGGATCGAAGCTGGGTTGACCACATGCAAGGTAAAACGCCCTCCCCACTGTACTATCACTTTGGTGCCAAGAGGAATTTTGAAGCTGATTCAAGCTGACTCTTCCTCCTACCCATTAGTTTTTATTTTTATTTTAATTAGTTTTTTCTTTTTTTTTTTTTTTTTGTGGGGCGAGGGGGTCAGGGCCATAGCTGGCAGTTCCAGGGTCTTTACCTGGCTCTTGACTCAGGAATGTTCCCTGGTGGTGCTTGGTGACCATATGTGGGGAGGGGACTCAGTGAAAAAAAAAAAAAACAAAAACCCTGATTCTGGGGCTTTGAATCAGGGTTAGCTGCCTGCAGCCAGCACCTTAACCCCTGTACCATCTTACTGTCTCTCTGTCCCTGGTTCTTCAGATTCTTTAACCCTACTCTGTATGTAGCTGTAGCAGCCATGACCCTGCTTTGAATACTCAGTATCACACATGGTCTCCCAAGTACCGAAGGAACGGTCCCTGAGCACTGTGCCCAGAGTAGACCCTAAGCAGTCGGGTTTGGTCCTGAAACTCATGTCTCTCATCATTGTTTCTCCCCCACTGACCATGCGACTGAGCTTGTCAAAGATTTTCTGTGGCTTATTGCTGTAGAGCCAGGGCTTGGTATGTTGCTGGCAATATTTGCCAGTAAAATAACAAACTTTTATGGGGTTTCTGGATGAAGAGTCAGCTTCTCTGGTCATGGGGTTCTATGATCATAAAGACTGTGATAAAGTCTTTATGATAGACTAAAACTAGTCTATAAACATAAAGCTAGAGGGATAGTCCAGTGGGTAGAGTGCTTGCTGACCTGAGTCCGATCCCTGGCATCCCATATGGTTTCTAGAGCACAGAGCAAGAAATAAGCCCTGAACACTACTGGCTATAACTCAAAAAAATCCTATGGGGATCTTATGGGGTGTGAAGCTCAGGTTGGCTTCTTGTAAGGCCTTAACCCTTATATTGTCTCTCCTGTCCGTGATTTTATCATTTTTATTTATTTATTTTGCTTTTTGGGTCACACCTGGCGATGCACTCAGGAATTACTTCTGGTGGTGCTCAGGGGACCATATGGGATGCTGGGAATCAAACCCAGGTCAATTGAGTGCAAGGCAAATGCCCTACTAACTGTGCTATCTCTCCAGCCCTGATTTTATCATTTTTAAGTCTCCCTTTTTTTTCCCCTCCATTTTAAGTCTCTTATGAGACTTTACTAGAATGGATCATGTCCTCATATGATCTGAAATTCTGCTGTTTATTGGTGCTCACTTGGAGGTGAGCACCATTTTAGAGTAGTTATATTAGAGTGCATTTGGATTCAGCCAGAGCCTTCAGATCATTTCAGATCAGAGTGTTTTGAGCCATATTATCTATTCCTGGACATTAAAAAGCATTTTTAAAAAAGCTGAGCTGTATGATTTTAAGTTTATCCCCATTATATTCCACTCTGCTAATTTGAGAAAGCAGAATTTTGAATTCAACTCATCAGTTGAATTGGCAATCCTTTTGAGGTTTTCTGAGTGTTTGTGTGTGTGTGTGTGTGTGTGTGTCTTTAAAGTTATGGATGGAATTACTGAATAGTAATGGAATACCCCAAAGTGTGAAGTCTATTTTTCTGTCCTTCTCCCTAAAATTTCCATATCTGATGCATCTGGAATGTAAAAGCTTTTGCTTTTGCCTTTATTTTTGTGATGATTTTCATAATCCATCTGTACCTGGATCTGTAACTGGCCATTTTGAGTGTCAATGGACAGTCATCCTGAGGTCACAGGCAGTGGCAGAAGCTGGGAACCTGTATTGACTCCAGTAGGCCAGGCCAAGGCTGACAAACTATGGATTTGATTGTAGATTCACTGAGATCACATCCTGTTCCATGTTTCACATGTAGAACTACCTCCGTGGGCGGCTGGAGAGATAGTACAGTGTGTTGGGTAGGGCCTCACATGTGACCAATGTAGGTTCAATTTCTGACACCCCAAGTGGTGCTCTGAGCCCTACCAGGAGAGATTCCTAAGCACAGAGGCAGGAGTCAGCCCTGAGCACTGCCAGGTGTGCCTCCTCAAAACTAACACTTACAAAACATAAAACAAACCTTCTCAGATTGTGGGGCATTTGACTCGGTGGTGTGCAGCCCCTGGTGCTCTGCACGTGGGATGCCTGGGTCCATTCCTGACACCGTGAAATCAGCCAGCACTACCAGGAGTGGTCCTATCCCCACCCCCCAGCACCAAGCCCCAAGCACCGCTGGCTATGGCCCCTAAACTCAAATAAGAACTGAGACCTAGGGGTCAGCATGTGGATTTTTGGGGGGCATGGGGGAGCCACACTTGGTAGTGATCAGGGCTTACTCCTGGGTTTGTGCTCCAGGCAGGGCTTTGGGAACCCTCTATGGGGCTGGGGGTTGAGCCCAGATCAACCATGTGCAAGACAAGTGCCCTACACGCTGTACAATTACTCCAGCCCCTCAATACATTTTTTTATTTTGTTTTTGGGCCACATCCAGCAGTGCTTAGGTCTTGCTCCTGCCTCTGCTCAGGAATCAGTCCTGGTGGTGCTTGGGGGACCATATCGGATGCCAGGGATTGAACCGGGTCAGCCATGTGTAAGGCAGATGCCCTACCTGCTGTACTATTTTTCTGGCCCCTTAACACATGTTTTGAAGGAACTGAATGACAGGATTTTTGTCAAAAATCTTATGAAAACAAGAAAGCATCTATCTTCTTGGAATTTTCTCATACTCAGAATGATAGACTTGTACCAACAGCATTCTGTTTTGCTTTTTTTGCAGAAAAGGAAGTGAATGAATTGATGGAGGAGCTGTTTGAAACTGTGAGTGAACGTTCTGGGGTGAGAGTGCGGGGGCTTACACTGGAGTCCCAGGAAGATTCTGTCATGGTCCCAGTTCCCCTCCCTCTGGGATGGTGGTCATGCTTGAGTCAGTTTTCCTTCTAGTCCACCATGAGAGCCAGAGTTGCTGGTGCAGTTCTGCTTATCTCTGTGTTGGCTGTTCTTGGTCTTCTCTTGCAGAAGTTTTGGTGGCCTCCTCAGCGATCCCTGGTCCATCTTAATTTTTTTTTTTCCTTTTTGGGTTACACCCAGCAATGCTCAGGGGTTACTACTGGCTTAGGAATTACTCCTGGCAGTGCTGAGGGGACCATATGGGATGCCGGGGATTGAATCCGGTCGGCCACGTGCAAGGCAAATGCCTGACCCTCTGTGATATCGCTCTGGCCCCGCTGGTCCATGTTTTTTTTTTTTTTTTTTTTTTTTGCTTTTGGGTCACACCTGGCGATGCACAGGGGTTACTCTTGGCTCTGCACTCAAGGGATTACTCCTGGTGGTGCTCAGGGGACCATATGGGATGCTGGGAATTGAACCCGGGTCAGCCGTGTGCAAGGCAAACGTCCTACCCACTGTGCTATCACTCCAGCCACCCCCCGCTGGTCCATCTTTAGAGACTGCAAATTAATTCTTGTTTTGTTTTTGTTTTTTTGGACCATGTTTGAACTGCAGTGCTCAGGGGTTACTCCTGGCTCTGTGTTCAGGGATCACTCCTGGCAATGCTTGGGTAAACTGTATGGACTGCTGGAGGTTGAACTTGGGTTGGCCGCATGGAAGGCAAATGCCCTACCCGCTATACTGTCACTCTGGCCTTGAGACTGCAAATTAATCTTATTTTATTATTTTTTCTTATGTTCAGTTCTCTTTTTTTCCCCCTATAGTTTTTCTGGTTGGGTTTCAGTCATAAAATGTTCCAACACCTGTCCCTTCATGAGTGTACATTTCCCGCTACCAGTGTCCCCAGTTTCCCTCCCGCCCCCCCCGAAAATTAATTTTAAATAACCCCGAACATTGGTTTTTTTTTTCCCCCCTCATAAATTTAGCTCCTCAGAGATGCTTGTGCTCAATTTGAGTTAGCTGAGCTGTATCCTGTGTGGAATAATAATCATACAGACAGGATATGTGGAACTGTGGCTCTGTCAGGTGGCAGAGGGTGTGTTGCTTTTGTTTTTTGGGCTCTACCTGACAGTGCTCAGCGCTTACTCCTGATAGGCTCAGGGGACAATAGGGGTTGCTGGGGATCAAACTCAGACTGGCCACATGCCAGGCAATTACCCTGCCCGCTGTCCTGTCGCTCTGGCCCTGGAGAGTGGTTTCGATGCTTGCTCTCATCAGGAGCTGTAATCCAATGGTCTTCAGCCACTGGTCTGGGGACCACTGCCGATAGGCAGATGTAGAAAGGTTGACGACTCTCTGGTTTAGAACCGCCTGGTCAGCAAGGCAGGTGCCGCCGCAGGGGGACACGGTCAGAGAACGCTGCTGCAGTCCGCTGCTTCTCTGCCCTCTCTCACTGCTGGCCGCACTTCCCCGGTGCATTCCCCAGGAGCACCCTCCTCTGCCCCCCCTTTGCCCTCAGTTCCAAGATGAGATGGGATTCTCCAACATGGAAGATGATGGCCCAGAGGAGGAGGAGCGTGTGGCGGAGCCTCGTCCCAACTTCAACACCCCCCAGGCCCTCCGGTAGGCTGACCAAAGGCCCGGGACAGAGTGGGGTGATGCTCCTGTCCCCCACTGCTCCTGGGGGGGTGGCTTCAGAGCCCTGTGGGAGTGTCGGGGGTCCCACGAACGCATCTCCTTATCATGGGGCGGTGCAGCTCGAGATCAAGCTGTATCCGTTTGGGAAGGGAGGAAAAACAGCAGCTGGCGTCCACAGCCACTTCTCCGGGTGAGCCGTGCTGGAGAGGTGCGGGGGGCTTCGTGCAGCCAGCCACAGACCCTGTGCCACATTGTGACGGTCCTGTTTGTGAGACCCCTTTGTCCTCGATTTGCCGGCATCTCTGGTCAGTGTAAGTGGACCCTGCAGGCAGTCACGACAGCCCCCAACTAAAAAGTCTTCTTTTTATTTTCCCTCTGCCCCTCCTCACCTGATAGGGCACTTTGGTTGGCTTATCTGGAAAGTCGAGTCTTTTATTCTGCCCCTGGTTTTTGTCATGGTTGTGTGACCATCTCCTTGAATCTGTTGCTAGCCGTTTGGAATGGCAGCAGCGTCCAATCCTCCAGTGAGGGGCGCAGGTCAAGGTGTGGTTTGTGCCCAGGTGGGACAGAACTGGCTTCGCAGACCCACTGCCTCTGTGTAACCCATATTTGAACTCAGCGGTGACCCCTGTCTAGAGCTGGGGACCCAGCTGACGCCTACATGTGAGCAGGGGGCTCGCAGTGAAGAGTCCAGGCTTGCTCCCCAGGGTGAAGAACCAGACACACGTCACACTCCGTGGCAGTGGGTAGCACAAAGAGACTTGCCAGAAGCCTCAAGGTTTCCCTGATTTTAGTCCTCGTTGAAGAATAATTGATATAGTTATAATAATAATTGACAAAATTATAAGACAAAAAGTAAAAAATTTGGTATATTTCCACTCTGTGAATGAATTCCCTAGTCAAATCAGGTACTATTCCAGCCGCCTCATACATTTCGCTTTTTCTTTTTTTTAGACTTCTTTAAGGTGTTCCAGAATTGAGCCATTCACTCATTCCAGGGTGTAGCTCTGAGAGAATTGGCAGAGTAGGATGCAGCCTTTCTTCCTATGGATGCATAATGCTGTGATCTTTGCATAAGCATGTTTCAGTCCCACTTATCAACTCAACAGGTGGATTGTTTTTATTAGGGAATTTTGTTGGTTTTTGGACCACACCGACAGTGCTCATGGCTTACTCATAGCTCTGTGCTCAAGAATTACTCCTGGTAGGGCTTGGGGAACCATATGGGATGCCCGTAATTGAACCCTACTTGGCCGCAGGCAAGGTAAATGCCCTCTCGTCTGACCTATCTCTTAATTGGATGGAGAGATGGGGCAGACGACAGGATGATGGTAGGGAAGAGTTGAAAGCCTAGAGAAGGGGAGCTGAGGGTTATAAATTCTTCTATGACTGACGCAGCATAGACCCAGGCCCTCATGGGCTTGAGAGGTGTCTGGTATTAGAGTTGACCGGCAGCATGACCAAAAAGCATTAGAAAATCTCCGGCCAGGGCCCAAATGATAGCACAGCTGGTAGCACAATTGCCTTGTACATAACTGACCTAGATTTGAAGCCTACCACCTGTACAGTCTCCTAGGCCCCACGAGGAGTATGCACTGAGCACAAGTGGGCATGGCCCCCAGAAAACAGCAAAAGAAAGGAACACAGGGGAGCCTGAATTCATGAGTATGAGAATGGGAGAAACTGAGAGCGGAAATTGGAATGATGGGTATTTTAAGATGAATGCTTGACTTTCTGTTTCAGATGGTTCTCAGTGTGATGGAAGACAAATGAGTTCCCATTTGCACCTTAAGTGCTTGCTTAATTGGACAGAAAAACGTCCTCTGTCACTCAGACAGAGGGCTTTGTTCCACTCACAGTCATTGGATTTGAGTCTTTGCTACCAGCAGTTAGATTTGCCTTGTGACGGCAGGGAAGTTTTCACTGCTGGGATGATTCTGACTGCCTTGATCCTTCGTTAGCAGTTGGATGTACTGTAGATTCAGGCTCATGTTCAAGTTTAATCATCTCTTTGTTCGGTGTAGGTTTGAGGAACCCCTGGCAAACTTGCTCAATGAGCAACACCGTGCAGTAAAGGAGCTCCTTGAGCAGCTGAAGATGAAGAAATCGTCAGCCAAGCAGCAGCAGGAGGTGGAGCGGGTGAAGCCCCCGGAGGAGAAAGTCCAGCAGACGCTGACCCTTGACCCAGCGCAGAGGAAGCGCCTCCAACAGCAGATGCAGCAGGTGTGACTTCCTGGTGGCCCTAGTGTTGGGTCATCGCATGGCCAGACACAGGTGCACCAAGTTAGCAGCTTTCTCATCAGAAATAGAGTTTTTACATCCACTGAACCCTTTGAGAACACAGGATCATCCTGTCAGCATCATCTGTTGCTGTTTTGGGGATCACACCCATCGATGCTCAGGGAGTTACTCTTGGCTCTGCACTCAGGAATTATTCCTGGTGGTGCTTAGGGGATCATGTGGGGATGCTGGAAAGTTTTTGGGCTACACCCAGCAATGATCAGGGCTTACTCCTGGCTCTGTGCTCAAGGATCACTCCTGGCAGGGCTCAGGGGATTATATAGGATGACAAGTATTGAATCTGGTTTAGCAACATGCAAGGAAGTTGTATTATCCACTGTACTATTACTCCAGTTCTTGAGTTAGGATCTTCTTTTTTTTTCCTAAATGTAGGAGTACTGCTCTTTATTCAGTCACTGATTAAGCTGACTGAAGCTGGCATGAACTTAAGCTGGCATGAACTCCACATTACTTTTTTTTTATTTTAAAAAATTTTTTTATTGAGTATCTGTGAGATAGATCAGAGCTGTTCATGATTGGGTTTCAGTCATACAAATGATCCAACACAAAGTCTGTCCCAAAGCAGGACCTTAATTATTTATTTTGTATTGCTTGTTATGAATAACCCACTAAAAATGATCGAAAAAAGGTTTCTTTAGAGGAAAGTATGTGAAGATTGTTGTATCTCACCCTGGAGACATTAAGCCCTTGTATAAGAGTTTACTAACATGTTGTTAAATTTTGAGCCTTGTGTGCTAATATCTGTCTATCTAGATAGATATATAGATTTTTTTCTTTTTGGGTCACATCCAACGATGCTTAGGGGGTCTCTGCACTCAGGAATTACTCCTGGCGGTGCTTGGGGGACCATATGGGATGCCGGGGATCAAACCTAGGTCAGCTGCGTTCAAGCAAATACCCTATCTGCTGTACTATCACTCTGGCCCATATATATATATATATATATATATATATATATACATATGTATATATAGTTTTTTTTTAGTAGGATAACTTTTTGTTTTAATGTTAGTTTCATATATATATATATATGTTTATTAGTGAAACACTGTGAGGTACAATTGTAGACTTACAAATTTTTGTGCTTGGGTTTTGATTATACAATGAGCAAATACCCATCCCTCCACCAGTGCCCATTTTCCACCACCATGGATCCCAGTATCCCTCCCACCCCATTCCCCCCATCCCACCCTGCCTCTGTGGCAGGGCATTCCCTTTTGTTTTTCTCTCTCCTTTTGGGTGTTGTGGTCTGCAAAAGAGGCATTGAGTGGCAGTCATGTTTAGTCCATAGTCTACTTTCAACATGTATCTCCCCTCCTGGGAGGATCCTCCCAACACCCTTTATTTGGTGTTCCCTTCTCTATCTGAGCTGCCCTTTCCCCTAGAATGCCCGGCTGGCCTCTAAGCCATGGAGTAATCCTCCTGGTACTGATCTCGGCTATTCTTGGGTATTAATCTGATATATTTTTTAATCAAGATTGGTTGCCTCCTACTTTATACCCCATCAAATGTGGTGTGCTACTCTTGTACATCAGTGGTGTAGATTATAAAATTTCACATGGTCACGCGCTCCAGGTATTCTAAGATTTTAGGTGATGTGGGTAGGTGATAGGGTGATACAAGTAGAATTAAATTTTTAACTGGATGGTGACTTTGAGGTCCAGAGGCATCTCTGCAGAGTGTTGCTCTCTTCCGAGGTTTCTGGATCATGGCTGTTAATGAGCTTATATGGCACCAGAGGCATTAACTGCTGCTTTTGATCTCTTTTGAGATTTATTTATGGGTTTCTGAAGCAAGGTCGAAAAATTAGCTTGTATAGCTGAGCCAGAAGTGGTTTGTGGGTATGGCTCTCACATACCTAACTTTCAGCCATTGAATTTATTGGGAACTTTGGTCCTGCGTTTTAGGGGTCTATCCTGTAGCGCAGCAGCTGTTTTGGGGTGTCAGGAAGCCTGAAGGTACCATCAGGCTGCTGATGCACTTGCCCCGCAGGTACAGGTTGATCTGCTGGCGGCACTGCACCCCCAGAGTTAGGACCTTGACATATCATTATATCTGTGTCCTTATGATTCAGGTAAGAATGTACTTGGCGGGCGGGGCGGGCAGAGTGATAGCATAGCGGGTAGGGCGTTTCCCTTTTATGTAGCTGGTGCATGTTTGATCCCCAGCATTCCATATGGTCCTCAAGCACCACCAAGAGTGATCTCTGAGCACCGCTGGGTATGGCCCCCCGCTCCCAAAATGTGTTTAAGGACCCTGATTATATTCAGAAGTAAATATTTCAAAGAGGAATGGGACAGGGTTATGGCACTTGCCTTGCATTTGATGGGTCCTGGTTTGATCCCTGGCACCACAGATGGTCTCCAGAGCACTGTCGGGAGTGAGGCCTGAGCACTATCCTATTGGGAGTGTCCAAAAATAAAGCTTTCAGAAGTTTTTAAGTAATTCCTTCTTAAGTGATATAGCTTTCATTGTTGTTTTCTTTCTCCTCATCCCACCCTCTTTCTTTGAGCATCTTGTGTCACCCCTGGCGGTGCTTTGGGAATGTCCTGGCTCTTGGCTTGTGGGCCACCGCCAGAAGTGCTTAGGGCCTGGGTGGTGCTCATGATGGAATCCAGACCTCCCACATGCAAAGCACGTGCCCCGTCCTTGAGGCATCTCTCAGCCCTGTGCAGGGCAATTTCTCATCTTGGTCCCTCTGCCAGGCGGTTAAGCTTTCTTCACTTCTGTTATTTTGCTCAGGGACTGCCTGCGGTTGTGTTGCCGTCTCCCCAGAAAGCACGGCATGTCTGATGCTCCGCAGACATCTTGGGCTCCTGGGCTGACCGGACTGTGACCTGTTGCTCTCTTTTCTCCCTCCCCAGCACGTCCAGCTCTTGACGCAGATCCACCTTCTTGCCACCTCCAACCCCAGTCTCAGCTCGGAGGCCACCACCACCAGGATCTTTCTTGTAAGGTTCTAAGTGTCCCTAGCTCTCAAGACTGGGGGATGCCGTTAGCCTGGAACTTCCTGTCTCACAGCTGTTTGTGCAGCATTGCTGATGCCGATCATATCCTGAATATCCTGCTGCTGTTCTGTGCACTTCCCCGTGTTCTCCAGAAACACCAGCCCCTGGTTTCTGTTAAAGGACAGAGTCCTCTGCCTCGGGCGCTCCGCCTCTTCTGTCGACCCATTCTGACTCATTAGGTTCCTGATACTCTTTTTCCTTGAATTCATTATCCATTCATTTGTCTCAATGCCATTGTTTTATGTCTACATGTTGCTCATGATATTTTGAAATTTTTTTAGAAAAAAGAGCTTAATCTTTAGTTTCCCTATTGGTTAAAGTTTTGGGGCCATACCCAGTGATTCTCAGGGCTTACCCATGGCTCTGTACTCTGGGCTTACTCCTGACTCTGTGCTCAGGGATCATTTGTGGTGGGGCTTGGTGACACTTGGGGGTGCCACATTGACCCCGTGAGGGCAAGTACCTTCTCCGCTATACCGTCACCGCAGCGTGGCCTGGCCCAGCGTTTCTTCTCAGGAGGATAATTGTTAGAGGCCATCTACTAGTGTTCACTCTAATTTAGATTCCCTTCCTGTCCTGTTTTCCCAGAAAGAGCTGGGAACCTTTGCACAAAGCTCCATCGCCCTCCACCATCAGTTCAACCCCAAGTTTCAGACCTTGTTCCAGCCGTGTAACCTGGCGGGAGCCGTGCAGCTCATTGAAGACTTCAGCACTCATGTCAGCATTGAGCGGAGTCCCCGGAAGACTGGCAAGAAGACTGGTAGGGCGCAGGCGTGTCTGCTCCGGGTGCTCCCCTGTAGGGAGGGGACAGAGGCTCAGCCCCATGCTCCCAGCTGCTCTCAGGGATGGAGGAGATAGGATATTGGTCCCCCCACCCTCCACTCTTTCTGCCTCCGTTGGCGTTCATTTTCTAAGCTCTACAAGTACACGATAAAGTCGGCACTAAAGAAGCAATGAAGGCAAGGGGCAGGATGAGGTTGTGGTAGGGTGGCGATGTGGGATCATGTAAGTATGAGGGTTTGTACAGTGAAAGATGGAGATTAACTGCCATCTGGTAAAGATGGTTTATATTTAGGTTTTCAGTCTGTTCTTAAGATCAGTTCATTTTAGCAGCCAGGAATATGGCACGTGGCTTTGCATGTGTGAAGCCCTGCATTTGATTTGCCCCATCAGGAAAATAAAAACCAGTCTCATCATAATATTTGTAATGATATCTCCTTTTATTTATGTATATATTTTATATTTATTTACAAAGAAAAAATTATTTGAATATTTATATTTTTTGCTTTTTTGGGTCACACCCGGTGATGCCCAGGTGCCCAGGGATTCTTCCTGGCTCTGCACTCAGGAATTAGAATTACTCCTGGCAGTGCTTGGGGACTATATGGGATGCCGGGGATCAAACCTGGGTCAGTCGCATGCAAGGCAAACGCCCTACCCATTCTGGCCCCTTGTTTTTATTTTTAGGTCACCTGTTATGCGCATAGGTTACTTTGGCTCTGTGCTTAGGGATAACTCTAGGCAGGGATTGGGGTACTAGGGATGAGCCCCGGCTGGTTGTGTGCAAGACCTTACTCGCTGTACTATGTTTCCAGCCCTCATACCTCCCATTCTTAAAAAACTGCTTTCAAGTACTCCTACAAAAACAAAACAAAACAAAACAAAACCAAAACTGCTTTCAGAAGTGTGCATGTGTGTACATGATTCCAGGGGTCAAGCCCAGGGTCACATGTGTGTGGCAAGTCCTCCAGCATCAAGTTCTTTCCTCGACCTTCTCATGCTTTTAAGAATTCTTGTGTTGGGACCAGAATGATAGTACAGCAGGTAGGGTATTTGCCTTGCATATGGCTGACCAGGGTTCCATCCCTCGTACCCCATATGGTCCTCTGGGCACCTCCAGGAGTAATTGCTGAATGCAGAGCCAGGAGTAAGTACTGAGCATCACTGGTATGGCCCAAAAAACAAAATAGAAGCCTCAGGTGTCCTAGAATTTCACTTATCTCAGATTTTTTTCCCCCTTACAGCCTCTGAATTTCCTTGTTTGCCAAAGCAAGTGGCATGGATTCTGGCCACTAACAAGGTGTTCATGTATCCTGAGCTGCTTCCTGTGTGTTCCCTGAAGGCCAAGAATCCCCAGGATAAGATTTTGTTCACCAAGGCTGAGGACAAGTAAGGGTTTATCATGGGGGAGCAAAAGCACACATTGTCCAAGGAGGGACCTTGTTTTTCCCTTGAGGCACTTTGGAGTAATAAGGCCTAGATAATAAAAACTGGCGTGAAAGTCTAAAAGGAAAGTCTGGTGGATGGGCAGAGTGTGGAGTGTGTTTGCACTTAGCAGGGCCCAATACTGTCCTTTTGGTGGTGGTGACCTGCACATTTGTAAACACTTTTAATTTTTTTCCCCTCAATTTTCGGGCCATACTCAGTGCCCAGGGCTTACTCCTGGTAAACAACAATAAAGGACTGCAGTTAGATGTGTGGAGAGATGCTACAGCAGGTAGCTCACTTTACACAGGCTAATCCCTGTTCAGGACCCTGAACTTTGCCAGGAACGATCCTGAGCGCAGAGCCAAGCCCTGAGCACCACCATGTGTGGCCCCAGATCAACAAAACAGGAAAAATACATTATGGTTTGCCATTTTCATGCCTACTTTTTCCTGGTTCACTTCACTGTGAACTCCTGATTATTTCTAGTGCACAGTAAATATCCAGCGTTGTTACCTTTTGAGTGGTCTTGACTTGGACCAGAGTTAGAGACTCTTAATAGTGGGCTGTGAAATAGGGCGTTGGTCTGGAGAGGCCCTGCAGGAGCAGTGCCTGAGACACCTCCGTTGCTGCTCTGTCTTGTAGTTTGTTAGCTTTAGGACTGAAGCACTTTGAAGGGACAGAGCTGCCCAAGCCTCTGATCAGCAAGTACCTCCTTACGTGCAAGACCGCCCAGCAGCTGACAGTGAGAATCAAGAACCTCAACTTGAGCAGAGCCCCTAACAACATCATCAAAGTGAGTACCTCCCCGGGCCGGGATCTGCCTTGCCTGCAGCCCACCACTTCTATTTCCAGCACTGCATAGGGTCCTCTGAGCCCTACTAGGGGTGACTCTGGAGCACAGAGCCAGGAGTGATCCCTGAGCGTAGAACTGGGAGTCATTCTTGAATACAGAGCCACTGGTGATCCCTGAGCACAGAGCAAGGGGTGATCCCTGAGTGCAGAGTGAGGGGTGGTCCCCGAGCACAGAGCCAGGAATGATCCCTCAGCACAGAATCAGGATTAACCCTGAGCACAGAGTCAGGAGTGATCCCTTGGGGCCCGTGGTTTGGCCCAAAGCTCCCTCCCTGAATAGAATACTTCCTGCGCTATCCATTTAGGTACATTTTCCGCTTTTTAGCCTCAGTGAAGGGAAGGACCTTTTATCTAAAACTTAATTTCTTTTTTTTTTCTTGAAGTAAATATTTCATAAAGAGAAATTTATTTAGGGAAATAGGAGGCAAGAGAGAGAAAGGAGAGGGAGAGGAAGCAGGACAGAGAGAAAGTTGTGTTGACAAGAGAAGGGGACAAGGCTGAGGGCAGACGCAGGTAAGTCACCAAACTGTGGGGCATGGACCAGGACTGTCTGGGGGCAGAACACCAGGGATTGAACTCATGACCACATGCCTGGAAGATAAGCCTGCTCTATTGTTCTAGTTCTGGACGCTCAGCTTTTGCTGTAAAACAGCCGTCCTTAGGACGTCACATTAAGATCACCCCACTAGTGGGCTGGAGAGCACGCATGGTAGGCTGAGGTGCACGTGGGAGTCTTGGGTTCAATCCCTGGCACTACATGGTCCTCGGAGCACTGGCAAGACTCAAACATTCCTGGATATTGAAAAAAAAAAAAAGATTTTTACCACCGCAGGGAGGTGGTACAATGCTCCCTTGGACACTTGGTCTAATTTTTCAACTTATTCTTTATCTTTAAATACTGAAACTAAGTTGTTTTGATGTTTTGGTTCAATCTGGAGTTGGCTGTGTGCCAGGTAGATTTCTTACCCCTGTGCTATCTCCAGCCCGCCCCTAGAAGGGTTTTACAGGTGTAGAAAGAGTGTGGCATGGGTGTATATCTGCAGCTGTCGACTGGGAGTAAATCTGATGCAAGAGCACTTTCTCATCATCTGCCTCGTTTCTTAGTGACCTGAGGTTTTCCCTTTCCTAACAAGCCAGAGTGGAAGTCAGAGGACACTGATGATCTTGCCAAATCTGTATTATTAGAGACGTGTTTAATCAGATAGGAAAAGCATTATCCTCTGCCCTTTTTTTAAAAAAAATTTTTATGATTTTTGGACTCTACCTAGCGATGCTAAGGGGATGCTCCTGGTGAGCTCAGGGGAGGGGTGCCAGGATTGAACCCAGGTCAGCGCATTCCTGCCTGTATTATAGCCCTGGCCTTCCTTTGTTTGTGTGGGGGTCAGTCTCCAACTGCTGTCACTCTCGTGCATGCAGTTTGAGGGCAGTGATTCTGCACGGAGTGTGGAGCATGCTGTCTGTTCTTCCTCCTGCCCAGTTTTACAAGAAGACCAAGCAGCTGCCCATCTTGGTGAAGTGCTGTGAAGAGATCCAGCCGCATCAGTGGAAGCCGCCCATTGAGCGGGAGGAGCACCGGCTCCCCTTCTGGTTGAAGGTACAGTATGCCCCTCCGCTGAGGCTGTTGGGCAGGACTGCTGAGCACCCCGCGGAGATGGCCACACATCGTCGCCTCTCACCCCTCACGCTCTAGTTATCCTGGACGCTCGTCTTCGTCCAGCCACCCTTCCTCTTCTGCTCCTCCCACTGCACCTGCCCTCCCTGGGTGAATCCATGACTGTTTCACCCAGGGAGTGAAGAATGGTTAGGGGCCCAGGGAAGACAGCGCAAGTGTGGGGCACAGGCATAGCATGAGCTTGAGCCCTGCTGGGCGTGGCCCTGAACAAGGGTTAAGGCACTGTCCCTTGCATGCCGCTGACCTGGCTTTGATCCCCTGAGCCTCACCAGGAGTTATCCTTGAGTACTGCTAGTTTTGGCCTCAAAACTTAAAAAGCAAAAGAATCAACGCTTGTGGGAGAAATGATAAAAATGATAGTTTTTTCTTTCTTTTTTTTTTTTTTGCTTTTTGGGCCACATCTGGCAATGCACAGGGGTTACTCCTGGCTCTGCACTCAGGAATTAATCTTGACGGTGCTCAGGGGACCATATGGAATGCTGGGAATCGAACCCAGGTCAGCTGTGTGCAAGGCAAACGCCCTACCCACTGTGCTATTGCTCCAGCTCCTGAAATGATGTTTCTTAATGCGTAGCTGAGGCAAGTTTCTATCCCGTGTCACTAGTGTAGCGTATAGACAGCTGGTGTCCTGCATGAAGGCCCCCTTGAGTAGAGTCCCTGACGGTGTCCCCGAAAGATCCCAGAAATCAAGGCTCCCACTTTCCCCACATCCGGGCACATCCTAGTTCATGCTGCTGTTCCCGACAGGCCAGCCTGCCATCCATCCAGGAGGAGCTGCGGCACATGGCTGACGGGGCCAGGGACAGAGAATGCCTGACCGGGCCCACCGAGATTAAGGCGGAACCTGGCATAGAGCAGGGCAGCTGGGAGCCGGCGGGTGAGAGCCGGTACCCGCTGCTGCTGCCCAAGGGCGTCGTCCTGAAGCTGAAGCCGGTAGCCAACCACTTCTCCAGGCGGGCTTGGAGACAGAAGCGCTCGTCTGTGGTGAAGCCCTTTCTTACACGCCCCATCATCCCCTCCCTGCAGCCCAGCCCCGCCTCCGCGAGGGCCCCCACCAGGTCTGCGCTGGCGGAAGCTGTCCCCAGCAAGATGGTGGTGCAGATCCCGCAGCTCCTGCAGCCCACGGCTGTCTTGCAGCCCCTGCCGGCAGGGCCTCCCCTGGGCCTTTCCCAGCCTCTCAAGACGCTGCCAGCTGTGTCCCCCGAGACCAGGGGCAGCTTCCCTCCATCTGAACCCCAGCCGCTGCTCTCCGCTGCCCCCTTGCCAAAGGTCCTGCTGCCCTCTCTGGCCCCGTCGAAGTTTCGGAAGCCGAGCGTGAAGCGGAGGGGTGCCAGGAGGAAGGGGGCCAAGGCCTCTGTGTGTCTGAAGGCGGCCCCCCTCATCCACACTGCGCCTGTGATCTTCACGGTCCCGGCCACCACCGTCAAGGTCGTCAGCCTTGGCAGTGGCTGCAACGTGCTCCAGCCCGTGAGTGCTGCAGTGGCCCAGAGCTCGCCGCCCATCCCCATCACCACCCTCCTGGTGAACCCCGCATCCTTCCCCTGCCCGCTGAGCCAGCCCCTGGTGGCCTCCTCCATCCCGCCACTGATCGTGTCCGGCAACTCTGTGAACCTGCCCGTTGCGTCCAACCCCGAAGAGAAGGCCCACGTGACCGTGGACACGGGCTGCCCCGCGGCCGAAGGGAAAAGTGCTTTCCCAGGCCTGCAGCCCAAACAAGAGCCCTTGGAGCAGGCCCTGCCTGGCGGGCCTGCCCTCCACAAGGAGGAGCGGAGCCCGGTGCCAGCGCCTGTGGCCAGCGTGTGCCGGGCTGACCCGGCCGAGAGTAGCACATACGGCTGGACAGTCGTGAAGACCGAGGCAGGACGGCCCACCCTGGAGCCTCTGGCTGAGGCCTTCCTGGAACTGCGACACTCCCCCCGGTCAGAGGTAGACATAACGGTCAAGGTGGAGCCGAAGGACCCGGGAGAGGAACCTTCTGGGGGCCTCCTGGAGCCGGACACTGGTGGGGAGATCAAAGAAGAGCATCCGATGGAACTGGACACCGGCCTCCCCCACGGACAGGCGGGGGCCCAGGAGCAGGAGGGCGGTCAGCCAGCTGGGGAAGCCACCCCAGGGGAGGTGAGCCGGGCGTCTCCAGGGAGCGGAACTGCCTCCTGCGCCGACCCGGACGGGGCTCTGAGCAGTCCCCCAGGCAAGCCTGAAGATGTGGCCAGCGTCAACAGTCAGTCCGAGGGGACCCCCGCGGGGCCAGAGACTGGAGGTGAGAAGGAGGGCCCTGAGGAAGAGGAGGAGGAGGACTTGGACGAGCTGACCCAGGACGAGGAGGATGAGATGTCTTCGGCATCTGAGGAGTCAGTGCTCTCCGTCCCGGAGCTCCAAGTGAGTTGGATTCTCCCTTGCTTGAGACGGGGTTGATCCTGTCTAATGGATCCACGTGCCCCTGGCTGGCACTGCACTGTTGTCATTTGACACGTGCACACGTGGCACCAGGAGATGAAAAGGGTGATGTTGTGTTTATGTTCGGCTCAAACTCATTTATCCTTTGAGTCCCCTGAGCGCCGTGGAAGTGCCTCAAGTCAAAGAACTGATGGGGTGGAGACAGCCCAGCTTCAGGGTGGCAGGGACCATTCAGAAGGCCGACCCCTCTCCTGCTGGTCGCCCGGCATTTCCAGCCCCCTGGGACTGTGGGATGTCGCCTGGGCCCCCAGCTGGTGGGATGGGGCTCTCCCACAGGAGCCAGGGAAGCCCTGCAGCTGCCTGAGCACCCCGAGGGCTGTGTCTTGCAGGAGACCATGGAGAAGCTGACTTGGCTCGCCTCGGAAAGGCGCATGAGTCAGGACGGGGAGTCCGAGGAAGAGAACTCGCAGGAAGAGAACTCGGAGGCCGAGGAGGAGGAGGAGGAGGAGCCGGAAGGCCTGGAGAGCCTCGGGAAGGAGATGCAGGACGATGCCCTTGGGTGCCCTGCCGTCACACCCCCAGCTCCCTTTGCGTCACCCCCACTCCCTCCGGAGGCTCAGCACAGTGGGATGCCGCCCGGTACGTGGGACAGTCCGGGGGTGGGGGCGGAGCATGAGGCCCTGGTGGCTCTCTGGATTTGGGGTGTCCCAGTGGCTTGCTTGGAAACTGGGCGCAGAGACTCCAGGGGAAACCCCAGTGCCCCTGCGGTCCCCCTCTTTCTCGCAGATAGGCCCCTGGTTCTGGAAGCTTCCTTTCTGCTCCCGCCAGGTGTATGTGTGGGGCAGCCAGCTGTTCAGTTCCTTTTTCGTTCCCAGGGTCTCTCCCACGTGAGGGCCCGCTCAGTGTCGCGGCATCCCCTCCCTGGCCTTTCATCCTGGTTCTTTCCTAAGGGGCCACATAGGTGACTAAGACCCGGGTCTGATTTCCTGAACATGGTGAGCTGCGAGCTCCTTACTCCTCGCCGTGCCGCGGGCCCTCAGGAGCCCGACTCAAGCCCGAGCCTCTCCTGAGACCCTTCTCTCCGCACACTGTGCATGATTGCCCCCCTCCCCTCCCCCCTCCCCCCCCCCCCCCCCCCACATACATGCTCCTGTTCCTCCGATGGCTTTTCTTTCTGATGCTCACTGGTGTTGGAGTGTTGCCAGGTTCTGTGCCTGGCACGTGTGAGCAGTGGTCCCTTACGCTTGTCCTCACCAGGAGAGCACACCAAGGAGGCCAGCAAGGGCCGGAGCAAGCACCGCGCCCGGAGCAGGCGGGCGAGCCGGGCCCGGGCCAGCAAGGACACAGCCAAGCTGCTGCTGCTCTTTGATGAGGACATTCTGGAGCGTGATCCACTGCGGGAGCAAAAGGACCTGGCCTTCGCGCAGGCATACCTGGCCCGGGTAGGCACCCATGAGGCTGGCCTGCTCCGGGCGCCTGCCTGGCATCAGTCCTGAACTGCTGGGGACACAGCTCAGCTGCCCAGCAATGGGGGGAGGTGATGATGCAGGACCTTCCCGTGCCCTGGCTTGAGAAGCAGGACCTGCGCTCTGGCTAGAGAGTGGGTCTCAGAAGCACCTTATCCTGGTTCTACTGCATCCAAACCAGTAGTTCCCAGCCCCTGTCCTGGTTCGAGAGCTCATGCTATTGGTGGTTCTTTCCTTGCTCCTCTTGTCCCCTGGCAGAATGTAGCATTGGCCTGATGTCAGTAGCTGACTTACACCCCAGCTTCTGTGGTATTTGCTCATATGTGATGGCTCACATGCTGAGATGCTCTGAGCTCTCCTTCCCGTCTCCTTGGAGCTGAGGTCAGGACCAGGAGCTGGTGGAGGGGGGATGAGTTGCCAGCGTCCAGCTGGGAGCTGTGCCTGACTCGGGTACAGTGTTCCGCCTGCTTGGCAGTGGCCTCTGGGGGAATAGGCTTGCCAGTCTGGGATGGTGGCCCTTGTTTCTTGTTGGAGCCCACAGAAAGGGATTCCATGGTGGAAACCTTTCCTGGCTAGGTACGAGAAGCCCTGCAGCACGTCCCTGGCAAGTACGAGGACTTCCTTCAGGTCATCTATGAGTTTGAGTCCAGCGCCCAGAAGCAGACAGCGGTGGATCTCTACAAAAGCCTGCAGACTCTGCTACAGGACTGGCCGCAGCTGCTGAAGGATTTTGCCGCATTTTTGCTCCCTGAGCAAGCCCTGGCCTGTGGCTTAGTAAGTAGAAGGGAGTGGGCAGCAAGTCCTGAGCCTCCCTGTTCCTGAGCAGGCACAGGACGGAAGAGAGTGGAGTCTCACTTGCCGACCTCCTGAGGTTCCCCAGCATTCCCCAACCACAGGGTGGAAGGATTTCCTGTCCCGCGGGACAATCTCCCCAAACCTGGCCCTTTTCTTTGCCCCCCCTCCCCCCGAGGGCATTGACTGAAGGCCTTGCTTCTGCCTCTGTTGAATGTCCTTCAGTCTGTAGGAGAGTGACCCGAGCAGGAGCCCTGACCGTGGGCCCCTGCACCGTATGGTCCTCTGAGCAGTGCTGGGTGTAATGCCAAGTGCCCGGCACAGTCAGGTCTTTTTGTTGTTGCTGAATTTATTTTTTCTTGTTTTTTTGGGCCACATGTTGTGATGCTCAGCTAATTCATGGCTCTGTGCTCAGGGATCACTCCTGGCAGGGGACTTAATTGGGGTGCCAGAGATCAAACCCAGGTCAGTTGTGTGCAGGACAAATGCCCATCCACTGTCCTATTACTCCGGGCCCAGTTCTGGGCTTTATGTTATGAAAGAGAAACACAAAGAAGGATACAGTGAGATTGTTTTGGTAGCCCTAGCTATGGAATGATTCTGTGAATCTTCGTCTTCCTGTATTCCTCGGAGATTCCAGGGAGTGTGAAAATTTTCTGAACCAGGGGCTAGAGTGATAGTACACTGGGTAGGGCACTTGCCTGGCATGTGGCCGACTTGGATTCAATGTTCAGCATCCTGTATAGTCCCTGAGCAACGCCAGGAGTAATTCCTGAGTGCAGAGCCAGGAATAACCTTTGAGTATCACTGTATGTTGTCCAAGAAGAAAACAAATAAAAAACAACTCTGAATCATTGAAATGCCACAGGAATCTGAGAGTCTGATTATCCAGGGAAACAGCAACTGCATTGGAATGAGGCCATTTCTACAATCTCTTGTTCATGTCTTTGTTATCTTGGCCTAGGAGACCTGTGGGCCAAGATCCTGGAGTCTTAATAACAACCAGAGTTGTATTATTCCCCCCATGCTCCTGGCCCCGAGAGCCCTCCAGCCCTTGCCCTCTCTGAGGTGCTGACTCTGCCTTTGCCCTCTTTCCCCGCTGCTAGTTTGAGGAGCAGCAGGCTTTTGAGAAGAGTCGCAAGTTTCTCCGGCAGCTGGAAATTTGCTTTGCAGAGAACCCCTCACACCACCAGAAGATCATCAAGGTCCTGCAGAGCTGTGCAGACTGCCTGCCCCGGGAGATCATGGAGGTATTCGGGTTCCCCCTTCTCTCTTCCCCTTGCTGGCCCAGTGTTGTCTTGCTTCTGGGGAACCAAGGGCTTCTGCAGTAGATGAGGAAGAAAGAACTGGCAGGCCTGCCCTAAACACATGAGTTCTGGAGGCCCAGAGGGATAGGGACGGGGCTGGAAGTCTTGGCCTTATGCGCTGCCCACCCAGCTACCTCCCATGGCCCCGTATAGAGTGCTCCGAGCACTGCCACTCCTGAGATCGCTCCTGAGCATAGATCCAGGAATAGACATGATCTGGTCTTGCTCCAAAGTAGGAAGCAAAGCATCAGAAGAGTGGGAGCCCCCCCTCATCCCCCTGAGCAGGACCTCAAGGGTCTTCCTAGACTCCAGAAGGCCAGGAGGTGTCTGCGTTCCTGCCCTGCTGGGGCCATCTTTGGTGGCCGCAGAGCTGCACTGCTGGTGGGGCTCACAGATACCCGTGGGAGCGTCCTTGCTCAGTCGCAGTGTCTTCCACGTGCCGCCTGTTCCTCAGAGCTGTCGGGGCAGCTGAACTGCCAGTGGGACTCCCTTAGGCATGAAAGGAGGGAGGGGACAGCCCCAACGTCCCAGCATGCTGGCCTTCACCCCTGGTTACCCGAGGCAGTGGGTGCAGCGCCCTGGAGCCTCAGCAGACCAGCCTGTTCCCTTTGCCACTCTTGCCAGCTCAAGACACAGATGTGGCAGCTCCTTAAGGGTCACGACCACCTCCAGGATGAGTTCTCCATCTTCTTCGATCATCTGCGCCCTGCAGCCAGCCGGATGGGCGACTTTGAGGAGATCAACTGGAGTGAGGAGAAAGAGTATGAGGTGGGGCCTGAGGCTGCCTTCCTCAGTGGGGTGGGGGGTGGCTGTGAGTGTGGAGGGTTGACTTACGGTTGCTGACGGCCCCCATGCCCCTCAGTTTGACGGCTTTGAAGAAGTGGCGCTGCCCGATGTGGATGAGGAAGAAGAACCGCCCAAGATTCCCACAGCCTCCAAGAGCAAGAGGAGGAAGGAGATTGGGGTCCAAAATCCTGATAAGGTACATGTGGGTGTGGGGCTGCAGTGATGTGGACCCGAGGTCCGCCTGGGTGCGGGGAGCAGCACTCCTGAGGAGGCCCCCCCCCCATTCAAGGATCTGCCGCCTCCTTGACCCAAGTTGGCTCATCTTTTTTTTTTTTTGGGATCATATCTGGCATTACTCAGGGGTTACTCCTGGCTCTGCAGTCAGGAATTACTCCTGATGGTGCTTGGGGGACCATATGGGATGCTGGGAATTGAACCCAGGTTGGCTGCGTGCAAGGCAAACGTCCTAACCGCTGTGCTATGGGTCCAGCCCCAAGTTGGCTCATCTTAGTGCTGATGACACAGCTGGTACTTATCTGTGTGCTCAAGTAGCCCATTCTCTGGGAACTGTTTCTGGTACTTCTATAAAATGATTCACTTCTTGTCATGTTGACGTGAAGAGGTCGCGCTTGAAAGGAGTGCTTGCTGGGCTCCACATTTGGTTTTGTTTCTGTGCCACACCCAGCTGTGCTCAGGGATCACTTCTGGTGGGGTTCAGGGGGTCCTGTGGGGTATCTGGGATTGAATCAAGCTGGGCTGCATGCACGGCAAGTGCCTCCATAGCTGTGCTGTCGCTCCGTCTCCCGGGGTCCAGTTTACTCAGTGGCCATGAAGGGCAGGACTCTTACATTCTGCTGCTTCTCACCAAATGTTTCCCCCTTTTTTTTTTGGTGGTGCTTGGTATTTACTCCTTGTGGGCCTCAGGAACCATATGCGGTTCTGGGGTTGGGCCTTGGGGCCGCTGCGGGGTCCTGTATCACACACCTTGGGGAAAGCAGTTGCCGTCGCTGGGACAGCACACAGCGTCTGACATCTTGGTTCCATGTCATCGTCATTCGTGGGGGATCGTGGTCCTTAGGTTTCTTGGGTTGATGGAACAGGAGCATGTGGTGAAAGCTTGGCACACACAGAGAGCCCTTTCTCAGGGACCCTGAAAGAGTTTAGATGGGTCTTAAGATGGCTCCCTCCTAAGGTCATAGTTGACCTGTTTCCTGAAACATCTGGGCAGTTGGGCTGTGTCTGTGCTGGGTCCCATAGCGATTCTTTGGGCACCCTACCAGGCTAGTGTTTGCTGCTGCATTCCCCGGGCAGTGTGAAGTGGTGGCCATAGTACAAGAAAAAAAGCAGGGGTCAGCTGGTGGGCATGCCCTGGCTGGCAGCTCACCTTCCTCCCTTTGTGCCAGAAATGCATGGCAGCTTCCCAAGCCCAGGTATCTTTTAGGAGGCTGAGTGGCCAGATGGGGCCAAGGACTGCATCTGTCCCTGCCATGAAGGAGGCCCTGATTCCAAGCTGAAGAAGAGCAAGAGGAGAAATTGTAGCCACTGCAGCAGCAAGGTGAGGTGGGGCTGGCCAGGATGGAGGCATGAAAGGAGGCATGCTGCGCGGGACAGACACCCCCAAGCTGCCTTATTGTTTGGGGAAGTGTTGGCACCCGCAGACTTCAGATTTTGTAAAAAGTCATAACATATTTAAATCATGCAGTACACACACATGTGCAAAATAGAATCTTTTAAAATGATTTAATAGACTTTGCTTTTTTTTCCCCCCCGTTTTTTGATTTTTGGGCCAGACCCACAGGTGTTCAGGGATCATTTCTGGCTCTGCATTCGGGAATTCCTCCTGGAAGTGCTTAGGGAGGGGACCATATGTGATGCTAGGGATAGAATGTGGGTTGGCCATGTGTAAGGCAAATGCCCTTCCCTGCTGTAGGTCTGGACCTAAACTTTGCTTTTTATTCAATATATGGGGAGGGAGATGCCCCCATGGCTACCTGTAGGCTCAGAAACATGACCAGGACATGTATCTCCCACTGAACTGGGTCTCCAGCCCCTGGACATTGTTGCTGCTTCTATGTATTTTTTGTCTGGAGGCTTCATCTGGTGGTACGTGTGGGACCCTGCGGTGTGCCTGGGATAGAGCCTGGTTAGCCACATGCAAGGCCAGTGCTTTTGCCGCTGTATTGTCTTGTTGGCCCTTATGTATTTTTTTGCTTTGTTTTTTGGTTTTGGGGCCACACCCAGGGATGCTCAGGGCTTATTCCTGACTCTGCACTCAGGAATCCTCCTGGCTGTACTGAGAGGACCATATGGGATGCCAGGGATCAAGCCTGGGTTGCTTGCATGCAAGGCAAGTGTCCTCTCCCAGTATACTGTCGCTCTGGCCCCCTCAGTATTTGTTTTCAATGAAATAAACCTGTGCCAGGAAAACAGCTCCCAAACAGAAAGGTGAGCCAGGGAGGTTGGCAGCACAATCAGACTTGGTTAGAGCTGGAGCATGTGGAAGGCTCTTGGCTGGGCCATGGCTCCAGGCAGCTGGCAGGTGGGCGAGTGGCTCACCGTCGCTCTGAGGCTCCTGGACACTCTTGACCTCGGCCATCCCTGCAGGTGTGTGACAGCAAACCGTACAAGAGCAAGGAGCCCCCCGAGGTGGTGGGCAGTAGCCCCCACCGAGAGCCCAGCCCCAAGGAAGTTGGGGCAGGCAAGGATGCACTGGAGGAGGACCCCGAGGCCACCCCGAGCAGGACTGGCAGGACCAGCAGGAAGGGGGACTTGCCTGTGGCCGGTGAGTGGCCAGCCTGTCCTCTGGTTTCGTTTCCACATGCTTTGGGTGAGAATGTCGCTGGGGAAGTCTGGGGCTGCGTCCCCCGTGTTCTGCTCTCCCAACTCTGCCCCTCCGCCCCCCCCACCCTCCCGCTTCTCTGGTTGTCAGAGCTCCGACCTCAGAGGTGATTGTCCCACACACCCTCTCACCCCCTGGGAACAGCCGAGTACAGGGGCTCCCTGGTTCCCCCAGGGCAGTCGGCCTCGTCTGTCCCCTGAGAAGCCGATTTCCTCTGCACAGGTCTGGCTGTGGGCAGCACTCTGCTTTCCCCTCAAGAAGCGACTCTCACAGAACAGCTCCTCCTGGCGGGCCCCTCCGCCGGCTCCCCTGAGAGTTCTCAGCTGCCCCCTGCAGCGCAATGTGTGCCCCACACTGACAGGAGGGAGCAGGAGGGGTCTGCGCAACTTGCCCGCCCTACGGCGTCCCCCAGACCCGTGGACCAAGGGGCAGAAGGGGAGAACACAGCTTCCTTGCTGGCCTGGGACGCATCGGCCGTGGAGCAGCTGCTAGGAGCTGTGGAGCCCCCTGTTTCCTCCCCAAGCCCCGTCCATCCCAGGACCACAGACTATGGGAGAAGACTGGGGCCGGGTCCAGCAGACTCTCCAGAGAGCGGGCTGCCTGTGGGCAGGCCAGCCCCTGGGGTGTCCCCACTCCGGGAAGCATCGTCAAGAAGGGTCCCCTCAGCCCCGTCTCCCAGGACAAGAGGGGGTTTGGCCAAGGATGGCGGGACACTGGGCAGGAGCCCTGAGGGGGAGCAGCTGCCCAAGGCGGCCGAGGCTACAGTTTGCGCCAACAACAGCAAGGTCAGCTCCACGGGGGAGAAGGTGGTGCTGTGGACCAGGTAGGTGGCACGGGGAGCTGTGGGGAGGGTGGCACCAGTCCCCTGGCACTGTCCTGACGGTTCCTCCTGACGGGGGCTATAGGGAGGCTGATCGAGTGATCCTCACCGTGTGTCAGGAGCAAGGGGCTCAGCCGCAGACATTCAGCGCCATCTCCCAGCAGCTGGGGAACAAGACCCCTGCCGAGGTAGGGGGGCGGCATTGGCGTGTACAGGGCCCCGAGGTCCTGCCCTGGGAACAAAGACTGACGCAGGCCTGTGGGTCCCCCTCCCCTCCTTTCCCCCCAGGTCTCCCTCCGCTTTCGAGAGCTCATGCAGCTCTTCCACACCGCGTGTGAGGCCAGCTCTGAGGATGACGATGATGCCACCAGTACCAGCAACACAGACCAACTGTCGGACCATGGGGACCTTCTGTCTGAGGAGGAGCCGGATGAGTGAGAGGCGAGGTGCCCGCCAAGGAAGAGGATACGCTATTTGGCCCAGCAGAGGGCCTGGGCAGGGCAGACTGTGGGCCAGCAGGGCCATCCCGGAGCCCCTCGTGGAGGCCTCAGATACAGACACTGTCAGTGGCAGTGAAGGCAGCAACTGTCCTCCTCACTCCGCTTTTCCCTGTCTGAAGCACCTATTTATTGTCGTGTGAGGGAATCACGGCATTTCTTCTTGTAATAAATGCACAGAGAGGCCCGAGAGGCCAAGGACAGTGGGCACCTGCTTCCAGCAGTCTTTATTTGAAACCAGCTCTGCCCCCTTCCGGGGGCTAGTCCGCAAGACTGTCACTAGCCTGGTAGCACTCGGCCAGGCTCTGGAGGTCCTGGAGCATCTCCCCCATGTCGTCCTGCTCCACGCCTGCCTCCATGAAGCTGGCCCAGCGTCGCAGATCGAGTTTGCTGAGCTCCTGGGCCAGGCCTCCCAGGGCTCTGTGCAGGGCAGAGGACGAGTTCAGAGACCCCAGCACGGGGATGCTCTCCACGGCTGCAGGGAGGATAGAGGTTGTGAGTGGCCCCAGGAGCAGGGGTCTGGACCCTGGGGGAGGGGAACTACTTCTGAGGATACAGCACCGACTCACAGCTTCTGCCCAGGGAGGGAACTGCACTGGAACTTAATTTTCTGTTTGTCATATTTAGGCCACACCCTGTGATGCTCAGGGGTTATTCCTGGCACTGCTGGGGGTCCGGATGGAATATTGGGGACTCAGCCCAGGTTGGCCATGTGCAAGGCAACTACCCTATCCACTGTACTGTCTCTCCAGCCTCTGGCACTTGCTTTTCTTTTTTTTGCTTTTTTTGGGGGGGGTCACGACTGGTAATGCACAAGAGTTACTCCTGACTCTTCACTCAGGAATTACTCCTGGCGGTGCTCAGGGGACCATATGGGATGCTAATTATTGAACCGGGTCGACCGTGTGGAAGGCAAACGCCCTACCCGCTGTCCTATCGCTCCAGTCCCTGGCACTTGCTTTTCTTTGCCTCCTACCTACCTGCCCCAGTGGGGGGACCGTCCAGAACCAAACCGTGGCGGCTGAGGTGTGAAGAGAAGAGGCAGGGGTACGGGGGCGCCACCAGGCAGGGCGTCAGCAGCAGATGAGAGGAGCTGCAGGATGGGAGCAGAGCGGCTGAGCTACTGGGCCGCGGGTGGGGCATCCCACGAGTCCCCCACACTGACCTGACTCGGGGCTGCCGCTGCTGGACAAACTGAGCCAAGACTTCGTCCCCAGTACTGCAGGCATGGAGTGGGGAGGGCAGAGGTACTCCTGGGCTCAGCTGGCTGCCAGGACAAAGCCAGCGGTGCTGTTACTCATCCAGGGGCCTTGGTTTGGGGTCACACCCAGCTCTGCCCGAGAGCAGCTTCTGGCAGTGCTCAGGGGACCATGTGGTGCTGGGCGTGGGACCCCACTGCCTGCATGCCACTGGGCTGTCTCTTGGGCCCAGAACCACATTTCATCTGTGAAGGCAGCACGGACAAGGAGCAGGGAGAAGGAGCAGAGACCTCGTGTGCCTGGGCCTTAGCCGGCCAGCTAAAGCAGTCTTCTGGCTCCGGGATCAGGGGTCTCTTGGCTGGGCTTGGGGCCCTTCTGTGGTGCTGGGGATGGAATCTGGTCAGCTGTGGGCAAAGCAGGTGGCTTTCCCGCTCTCCTTTCTCCAGCCTGCCCTTTATTTCTGGAGTGAGGTGGACAGAGGAGATGGCAGACGAGGGAAGGAAATGAGGCCCATGTGAGTGCAGAACGCGGGAACTGCATGGCTCACCTGGTGTGGTGAGCTCTGTCGAGACCCCGCAGCACCACTGACTGGGCAAAGCAGCGTGCTCCAGGAGGGTCTCCACATCCAGACAGCGGGGTCCAGGGGGAGGTGCTCCCCAGCTGCAGCAGGATGTCAGGAAGCGACTGGCTGGGACCCAAGGGGAAGGGGATGGTGGCGTCTGCGGTCACCACCTGTGGGGTGTGGGTGGTGGCAAGCAAGTGAGATTCTGGGAAGGGGTCACAGGGCTCTGCCTGAGCGCTCAAGGCCCTCCCCAAACCCCTCCCCTGCCAAAAGCTCCTACCTTCTTCCCAGCGCCGCTCAGCATATCAGCCAGGTGCACCATGGGGAGTGGTGCAGTGTGGAGGCGGTAGGGGACTGTGAGTGTGTCCAGGGCTGTGGCCAGGATGGCGCTGCAGTGGAAGGGCAGGGTAGCCTGGAAGAGGGACATAAGAGGCCGGGAAGACAGCGGGAGAGGCAGGTGAGCTGGGTTGTGTGGGCCTCAACACTGGCCAGGGATAGCCCAGTTTGGGGGCCACATCCTTGCAGTGTTCTGCAAGGTGCTAGTCGGGGAGGGGAGGGGTCTTACATCATAGCGCAAGTGAGGGAAGCTGACAGGGGGCTCTGGTCGCAGCCCCAGTCCCCCACCCAGTGACAAGGGGCAGAGCAGGGAGCTGTGAGCAGCCAGGCGCACCATCCCGAAGGCCGTGTTTAACACTCGGTAGATGTTTTTCTGCGGTTCCTGGCAGGAGAAAGGGGAGCGGTTTGCCTTAAGCACCTTTTCGACTGGGGAATCATGTTTATTTTGGGGTCTCTCCTGGCACCCTGGCCTCCCACACACAAAGTATGCACCCTGGGAGCATCTTCCCACCGGCTATCTCCAAGTTCTACTCACCCCAAGACTGTAGGGACCAGGAAGCAGGCCCCAAGTTATGATCCCCCTCCCTGAATACTCGTCTTGGAGCAACTCAGCAGCCTTAGCGCCTACCCCCGAGAAGCCATCGTGCAGGTCACACAGGATCTGGAAGCCCTGGATGGAGGTGGCGGGTGGTGAGAGGGGGCAGGGTCAGAGGAGCCCTTGGACATGTCCTGGCCCACAGCTACCTGCAGAAAGTCACATTCCTCCACATAGAAGTGCAGCCGGTCCTCCAGCTCCTCCAGGTACTTGGGTTCCTTCAGGATGCTCTCCCCCTGACCAAAGGCCTCCAGGCGCCCTGCTTCCCTGCCAGGCAGAGACAGAATCTGGGATTCCCTCAGCCCCACCCTAAATCTGTTTGGAGGGAGGGTGGGGACTAGCCTTGAACTTCGTGCATGGGGAAGTGGGCCAGAGTAATAGTTGGGCACTTGCCTTGCATGTGGCCAACTCAGCTTCGATTCCCCATACCCCATAGGGTTCCCTGAGCCCCCTAGGAGCGATCCCTAAGCGCAGAGCCAGTGATGACTCCTGAGCACCAAAAATCAACCCCAGAAGGGGACTGGCGCACACATTAAGAGTCCAGGTTCCATCTCCAGCACCACTGGGTGGAACCCCCAAACAGATGAGGTCATGTGGGCCTTTTACCCGCTCTTACCCATCGTGGTTGTACTTCTGAATCATACAGATGCTCCGGGGGTGGAGATGGACCCTGAGGAAGTCTGACCAAACGTGAATGCTGTCCTCTGTGGGGAGAAGTAGCTTGGAAGCTGGGGACGTGGTGAGCGTGGGGGGTCCTGGAGACGAAGCAGAGGCAGCCGTTCCTTTCCCTCCGTTCCTGCTTGGCCCGTCCTCACCCTGCAGTCTGAGGAGTCGCACCTTTGCCACTGGGAACAGACTTGACCCTCCACACACCATCACTACACAGTACTCCCTGGCAGGAAGGAAAAAAGTTGCATTTGGCGGCAGGCAGTGGACAGCAGATATACCTCGCATGGGCTGGCCGCGTCCCTTGGCCTCTTGTTCCTGCAAAAGTCATAGTCAAGGGAGGGGACAGTGCTGTTCCCTTTAATACCACCGGACATATTTAAAGTAATGGAAATCTGAGTGGCAGAGAAAAATGAGGGGCTAAGCCTTGCCTAGAGTGGACTTAGGTTCCACCCCCTGAGCCCTGGCAGGAGTGATCACTGCCCACAGAGCTGAGAATAAGCCCTGGGCACTGCTGGGTGTGGCCTGCCCCCCAAATCAAAGCTCAGTCCTCACCTCTGCACTCAGCAGGTCCTGGAGGTAAGGGTTCTTGGAGGAGAGCTCCTCTTTGTACGTGGTGAGCTTCCCCTGCCTAGAAGGAAGCAGAAGGGGCACCGTGGCAGCTCCTGGGCGCTGTGCGCGCTTGCCATCACATGCCCCACCTCAGTTACCAGGGTATGGCAGCATCCAGTTGTTTGTCGTGGTAGAGTCCTCCTTCCTGTTTGAGGGAGCTCAGGCTGCCTGCATAAAAGGAATCTGCTGAGGTCCAAGCCTGACTCGCCCCTTCTGCAAATCTTGCAGACCCTCCCCCTGACCGGGCCCTCCCTGACAGCTTGGGTACCCCTAGGATGGAAGGGTCCTTCGCCCAGAGTGGGGCCGATGCTCCCACTCCCAGGTCACCCTCTAGACCCCCAACAAGGCCTGCCCCTGCGACTCCCTCCTTTGGCACCTTGAGGTCGCGCTCCCAGGTTCCGACCTGGCCGGCCTGCGGCAGGTGCTAAGGGTCGGGAGGTGAAGCAAGTGGAGTTGCGGCTGGCGGAGGCGTGGGAGGGGACGAAGGCAGGGACCGCGCGCAGGGAATGGGCCCAGGCCTGGCCTCACCCTTGAGGTCCATGAGGATGAGTCTAGGAGTGTAGGTCTCCTGGCCGTACAGCGTCCGGCCCGTGCGGAACAGGACGTCGGGGCACAGCTCTCCCGGCGGCTCCTTGGCATCGGTCTGTCCGCCCAGCGCAGCATCCTGCGGAGGCACAGCGAGCAGACGGGACTCGGGCGCGAAGGGGCAGGCCGGCAGGCTCCCCGGGGGCAGCCGCCCTGGGCCCTCACCTGCTGGTTCCACCAGTGCGCGCCCACGAAACCCGAAAAATGCCCCAACTGCAAAGTGAGCACCTCCCGCGCCCCGCCCGCCATGCCGCGCTACCGAGCGGCCCCTCGCTCGCTGCTGCCGCGAGCCGACGGGCTCCGCGCGCCTGGGGGCGGGGCCCCGCGTCCTGCTTCCGATTGGCCTGCAAGCACGTCCTCTCCTGCCGGGCAAACGATTGGTTGGACTCGGAGGCGCCGCCCCCCTCGGCCCGCCTCTTCCCGGCGGCGGCGGCGGCGGCGGCGGCCGGGGCGGTGTTGGGGTGGGCCGTGGGGCCCGGGGCCGGAAGCGCGGGCGCCGGCGCCGGCTGCGCGCTCACGTGGGCTCCCGGGGCGCCGCTTCCCCGGGACTGTCGGCCGCCTCTGCTCTCGCGGGAGACTCCGGGCACGCGCGCGCCCGCCCCGTCCCGGTGTGCGCTCCGGGACCCGAGGGAGGATCGGAGGTAAGGCTCATGCGGGCTCCGGCTGCACTCGCACACCGCCAGGGGGCGCTCCGGAGCACGGAGTCGGGACGAGCCGCTGGGCACCGCGCGCGACTCCGCGCCCAGTTCGCCTCCCCCGGCCCTCCTCCGCCGCTGGGACCCTTTTTCCCCCGTGCCCATCCGAGAGTCGCCCCGGCTGTGCGTGCATGTCTCGTCGACTTCATCGTTTCGCCGTGTTCTCTTGGTCTCCCAGGCATTCTGCTGATACGCGACTTTGGGGATCGTTTTCAGTTGTTGGCTCTTCAGCGCCACTACGAATGTTCTGGTGCCGGTTGGACCCCCCTCCTGGCAGCGGGATTGTGGGGGCATTGGGATGCGTTGGGTATGGGCGATGGGGCACTGCCACCCCAAGCTGTTTGCTGAAATTCTTTGTTATTATCATTATTATTATTTTTGCCACACCCATCGGTGCTCAGAGCTTACTCCTGGTTCTGCACTCAGAGGTCATAGCTGACTGGGGCCCTGGGTGGGGAGACCCTCTGGGTGCAGGGGATTGAACCTGGGCAGGCTGCGTGCAAGGCAGAGCACGCCGACCTACTTTTGCTGAAAAGCTTGACTGTACGACTATGGGGAATTTTCAGTTATTGCTCCATAATCCTGTCAACGTGGTCAGTGTTTTTAGCCCATGATTACTAATGGGGCTGAGAGACCCTGTTGGTCTTAATCGCCATTTGGGTATCGCTCCTTTTCCCTGATCTGTCTACTTGGGTGCCACACTCCAGGGCACCCTGATCTGTCTGCTTGAGTGCCACACCCCAGGGCACCCAAGGGTTCTGGTACTGTGCTTTGCCTCTATCTCCTCGCCTTTGTTTTCTTTTATAAAGTGGCTATACATGGTGGTGCACTCAGGGATCAAACTCAAGGCTTTGGCCATGGCAATTAGCTCAGAGGGCTAGAACATGGGCTTGCAAGCAGAACCCTTGATTGGATCCAAGGCAGTGCACATTCCGCTAGCACCACCAGGTAAGGCAGAAAGTCCACACACACACACACACACACACACACACACACACACATACACACACGTATGCACATAGACGCATACACACACATTCAACACATACAAACATACAGGTATATATACATACAATGTATATATATATTATATAAATGCGTACTCAGAACACAAAAATAAACCCCAGGGGGGCCAAAATATAGTATAGCTGGTAGGACTCTTGCCTTGCACTCAACCAACCTGGGTTTGATCCCCAGTATCCCATAGGGTTCCCCAAATCTCACCAGGAGTGATCCCTGAGCATAGAGCCAGTAGTAAGCTCTAAGTACCACCAGGTGTAGCCCAAAGACACTCCTCCCCCCCAAAAAAAAGTGTGCTGGAAAGTTGACAATTGCATCTTGAGTTAATATTTTATAGCATTATTGTTGTTTTTATTCGTTTAGTTTTTGGGCCACACTTGAAAGTGCAGGGCATTGCTCTGAGCTCTGCACTCGGGTTGTTGCTCCTGGCTGTGCTCAGGAGAACATGCAGTGCCAGGGATCAAACTTGGGGCTCCTTCAGACAAGGCTTTGAGTTAGCCACTCATTTCCATAGTTCTTTAAATGTGATTTGGAATTGACTGTCAAGTTTCAAAATTAAAAGAAAAATCCTTGGTTTCAGCAAGAGTCATGGGGCAGGTGCACGTTTACGTACAGGAATGTGTGGGGTTTGATGCCTACACCATGGTGCCTGAGCACTGCCAGGAGTGAACTCCACACCTGAGTACCACCAGGTGAGGGTTAATAAAGAAAATAAAACTAAAAAAAGGTTTGAATTGTTTTATTATTTATATTTTAAGTTTTTGCTATTATGTTTGGGCTGGAGCCATAGCACAGTGGGTAGGGCGTTTGCCTTGTGCGCAGCCAGCCCGGCCGAGCCGGGTTTGATTCCTCCGCCTCTCTCAGAGAGCCTGGCAAGCTACCGAGAGTATCTCACCCGCATGGCAAAGCCTGGCAAGCTACCCGTGACATATTTGATATGCCAACACAGTAACAAGTCTCACAATGTTACTGGGCCCGCTCGAGCAAATCGATGAACAACGGGAGGACAGTGACAGTGACAGTGCTATTTTGTTTGTTGTTTTTTGCTGGTACTAAGGGGCTAGATTCGTGAGGACCATGCAGATTGGGAGCTGATTGTTAGGTGTGGTTATATAGCTTGTCACATTCCTAGTCTTAATAATTGAACACCTTTAGATACTTTTTTCGTGTGATTTTGGGCCATACCCTGCAGTGTTCAGGGGTTACTCCTGTAGGTTGTTTGGGGAACCTACCAAGGAGCGGACCTGGTAGGCTGCATGCAAGACAAATGCCGTATCTGCTGTACTATATCCCTGAAAACCTAAAGAAACTTTGACAGGGTTTTCACTGCACCCCTCTAGATAAGTTTAAGAAGAATTGACACACCATTACGATATTAATTTTAACCTTTTTAATTAAAGTTTTATTTATAATTGTTATTTCAATTTTTGTTCTACCATTTGTTTTGTGTTTCCTTTTTTTTTTTGGTGGGGGTTTTGTCCACACCCAGTGGTGCTTGGGGTACGCTGAATATTGAACCCCAGAGCTCCTGCACGCAAGGAATGTGCTCAGCCCCATGAGCTAGTTCTTCACTCTTGTGGTTTTTAACTTTTTTTTTTGCAGGGGTGAGGGAAGAGTTATAAGTTACACTTAGCCCTGGTTTGTGGGAAGAGTTATAAGTTACACTTACCCCTGCTCAGAGGTCACTCCTGGTAGTGCTACGGGACCATAGCACTTGCCTGGGACCAAGTCTGGTCAACTGTATGTAAGGCAAATTCTGTTTACTCCCGTGTTCTCTCTCCAGTCTTCATATACCATTTTTCTTTTTCTTTTTTTTTTTTTTTACTTTTTGGGTCACACCCAGCGATGCACAGGGTTATTCCTGGCTCTGCACTGAGGAATTACTCCTGGCAGTACTCGGGAGACCATATGGGATGCCGGGGATCGAACCCAGGTCGGCCGTGTGCAAGGCAAACGCCCTACCGCTGTGCTATCGCTCCGGCCCCCATTTTGCTTTTTGATTTTTGGACCCTACCTCATTGCGCTCAGGGCTGACTCTGGCTCTGTGCTCAGGGATCACCCCTTGCGGGGCTCCGGGGACTGTGATTGGTACCAGGGATTGAATTGATTTTGATTGTGTGCAAGGCAAGAGTCTTAATTCAGGCCTATCTCTCCAGTTTCTGAACACAATTCATTTTTAAAACATCCCCATTGTCACTAGTAGATTAAATCCTGTTCCCCTAGCACCAGGTAACCACTTGTCTACTTTTGCTTTTATAGGGATCAGACCGGGAGTTCACATATGTAATGCATGGACTCAACCTCTCAGTCATATCCTTCATCTTTTTGGGTTTTGTTTTGTTTTAACCTATTTTAGGGGACAGAGATAATCTAGGGGACAGGGAGCTTGCCTTGCATGCAGCCGACTCTGTTTGGATCTCCCGTATCCCATTTGGCCACTCAATAGAGACCATGGAGGGGAAGGCTGTCTTGAGCCAGCTGTGGCCCAAAATCAAAACAAACAAAAGCAAAAAGAGACAAAACACAGGCACTAGACAAAAATAAAACCCAAAACCCAAAGGTAAGTTTATTTTAGGGCCTGGGAGATAGTTCTGGCTTTGCATACTTGAATCTGGAGTTGGATTCCTGTCACTACATGTTTGCTTGAGCACCGAGCTGGGAGTAGCCCTTGAGCACTGCTGGGCGTGTTCCCAGACAAAAAGAAAAACCAAAACTTATTCTGAATTTGCCTTTGCTGGATTTTTCATATTCCCGCAGTGTGGGGTCTTTTGCACCTGGAGCTGTAGCCTGTTTTTGCGGTTTCCCTGTGCTGAAGCATTGCTTGATTGCTCCCTTTTGTTTATTTGACGCTTGAGTGAGTTCCCAGTTCTGGCACTGATGAATACTGTTGTTATAAACTTTCTCTTGCGACTTGGACTCAAGACTTTGGATGTGCTGCCACTTTTCTCCTTCTCTTAGATGAAATCACCCGGTCATATGATTAGTCTAGCATTCTGAGCAACTGCCAAACTGTTTTTCTTTAAGTGGACACATTTTGGAAATTTTATATTCTGGCTAGCCGTGTGTAAGGATCCCTGTTTCTCCACTGTAGCACTGTCTTCCCATTGTTTATCGATTTGCTGGAGCGGGCACCGGTAACGTCTCCATAGAGAGACTTCTTGTTACTGTTTTTGTCATATTGAATACGCCATGGGGAGCTTGCCAGGCTCTGCTGTGTGGGCGGGATACTCTCGGTAGCTTGCTGGGCTCTCTGAGAGGGACGGAGGAATCAAACCCGGGCCGGCTGCATGCAAGGCAAACGCCCTACCCGCTGTGCTATCACTCCATCCCATTTCTCCACATCCTCCTCAATACTTGCTATGAGGTACAGGCTTTCTAACAGTGCATAGTGTTTTTTTGTTGTTGTTGTTTATTTATGGGTCACATGCAGTGTCCTCCCGGCTTACTCTTGGCTCTGTACTGGATCACTCCTGATGGTCTCAGGGATATGCATTCGGGGAACAAACCTGGATTGACTGTGTGCAAGGCAAGTGCTTACTCCCTAGTCCTCCATCTCTCTGGCCCTGCCGTTTGGTTTTGATGTGGTTTCCTCATCATTGATGGCACTGAACATACGTTCGTTATCCTGTCAACCATTCATACATAGAAAATATGTATGTTTCTTTTGGGGTATTTCTTTTGGGGAATATCATTTCAAAGCACTAACTTGTTTTTTCACCTGTTATTTTCTGACTTAGGAGGGTTTTTTGGTTGGCTTGTTTGTTTTGGGGTCACACCTGATGATGGATCAGGGATTACTCCTGGCTCTACATTCAGGAATTTTTCCTGGCAGTGCTCAGGGGACCATATGAGATGCTGGGCACAGAACCTGGGTCGGCTCCATGCAAAGCAAGTGCCTTACCGGCTGTACTATTGCTCCATCCCTGACAGGAGTTTTTAAAAAAAAAATTGCCAATATTTTCTCCCATACCGACTTGTGATTTTTTTTTTAGGTAGTGATTGTTGTTTTTTAACTCAAACTCTGTGGTGATGGAGGAACCATGCAATGCTAGGGATTAGACATGGGGCCTATTTTGTGAGTGGGGGATGTTGCACCACACTTAGTGGTGCTCATGGACTATTCCTGGCTCTATGCTAAGGAGTGACCCTGGTAGTGCCCAGGGGACATACAAGCTGGGACAGCATTGTGCAAGGCCAGCATGCAGCACATTAATCCTCAGTATCTCTGCAGGCAAATCAAATACTGTTTTATTAGAATTTTATTTTATGTTTTTAATTTTTAATTTTTTTGCTTTTTGAGTCACACCCAAAAAAGGGGTGTGGCCCTTATTTTTCCCTCAGGGGCTATGTCTGGCTCTGCACTCAGGAATTACTCCTGGCAGTGCTCAGGGGACCATATGGGATGCTGGGGATCAAACCTGGGTCAGCCCTATGCAAGACAAACGCCTATCCATTGTGCTATCACTCCAGCCCCCCACCGAATTTATTTTAATTTCTAGTGGAGTTATTGACATTCCTCAGGGTTTTCTATATACAGGATGATGTCAGCTGAAAATAAGCAGTTTAACTTTGTACTTTCCAATCTGGTGAATGAGGAAGAGCAGTCCCACGAGACCAGCAGCCCAGAGACAGTACAAGTCAGGGCATGAGAATCAAGTCCGAGGTAAAGGGAGCTTAAGGAAAACAGAGGTCCGAATAGGGCAGATTATAATGAAATATTTGGGAAAAAATTAAGAATTCATATTTAGCAAATCACAAAATTAGTGGGTCCTCTTTCAGTAAATATTAAAAGGGAATATTTTTTAATTGAATTACCATGAGCTACAGTTCCAAAAGTTTCATGTTTGAGTTTCAGTCATACAATGAACGAACACTCATCTCTCTACCAGTGTCCATTTTCCACCACCAATGTCCCCAGTATCCTGCCCTGCCCTCCCCCTGCCTCTATGGCAGATGGTTGCCTTCTTACTCTCTCTCTACTTATGGATGGGTATTATGGTTTGCAGTACAGATTACAGATAATCAGAGGCCATCATGTTTGGTCTTTTTTCTACTTTCAGCACACAACTCCCATCCAACCATCACTGACTTGGAGTCATCTCTCCAACCATCACTGACTTAGTGATCCCTTCTCTATCCCAGCTGCCTTCAAAGTGATTTGTTAAGTGCAACCTGTCTTCCCGGATTAGCAGATTATATAATGATGATTTTTTTTTTTTTTGGCCACCCTGTATAGGAGTTACCTCTGACTCTGTGGTCAGGAATTACTCCTGGCGGTGCTCTGGGGACCATATGGGGTGCTCGGGGTTGAACCCAGGTTGGCAGGATGCAAGGCAGGTACCTGCTTACTAGCACTCCGGCAATTAAGGTTGATATTTTACCTTTGTTTGGGCCACACCCAAGCAGTGCTTAGGGGCTACTCCTGGCTCTGTGCCAAGGGGTCAGGGTGTCACTGTTGGGGATGCTCAGGGGACCACATATCATGTGAAGGGTCATACTGATCAGCCCTGTGCAAGGCAAGCATATCTTAGGTACTACACCTCTCTGGCTCTAGGCTGTTATCTTTGAGTCTGATGTTAGAATATTGGGCTAGCTAGAGACACTGGGATTGGTCAGACTTAGACATTTATTTCTGGTATTTTTCCTGAGGTTGACAGCTGGTTTTTAGTGAAAAAGTGAGTAAGTGTTCATAGACACAGTATTATTTTTTCAAATAAAGCATTATAAAATTCAAACTTTAAAGACAGCCAATAACCATTTAATGAGTGTAAACTATCTTCAATTCTTCTAACCGCCCTGAGAGTTTGTGAAATCAGAAAAGGAGCCAAGCTGGGACTTAACAGCAGTAGGTGACAAGATGAGGAGTCAGAATTCAACTATACCAACAACTATGGAGACAATGAAATTCTATTGAAACTGTGGGCCTCTCTTTGAGAGACTCCTGAGTCTGCACTCAGGGATCACACCTGGTGGGGCTTGGGGGACCATATGGGATGCTGAATCTGGGTCAGCCATGTACATGCACAAGGCAAGTGCCGTACCTGCTGTAGAGATTTTTAAAGTCTCTTGAAGGATGGAACAGATTGGACTACTCTATAAGCATTAAAGATTAGTTAATTCCTTTAATGCAGTGTATGCTGGAGGTGCCTAATACCTAATCCTTTAAAAATATCTGATGAAAGTTGCTACATTGTCAAAAACTGGTAGCTTCAACTGGAGTTTCAGTGGAATTCTCAGGAACCATGGGAAGAACTGTGAGCTTGAGCTCACGGATGTAGGTGAAGGAGCGTGTTGACTCTCAGACTCCTGAACTGAGTCAAGGGGGAAGAAATGGCGATACTGGACATGGATGAAGAATTTCATCTTTTCAGACCCCCCTCACCCCCCCAAACAGCAGGCTAGAGAAAGGCGCTTTTCATATTAATGAATCTAACACAACAGTTTAAGAAAGACTATTATTTATTTTATTTTTGCAGGGTATGAGTGTTTTTGGGTGGTGCTTGGCTTATTCCTGGCTTTATAATCAGGGGTCACCCTGGTGTGCCTTGGGGGAAACCCCTTCCGTGAGGTGCTGGGGTTTAAACCAGTGTCAGCCATGTTTTGGCAGTATCTTAACCCCTGCACCATCTCTCCAAACCCAACAATTCTTTAATTTCTCTTCCCGGTTTTTTGGGGCATATCCACAGTGCTCAGTGCTTACTCCTGGCTCTATGTTCAGGGATCAGTCCTGGCTGTGCTTGGGGGACTATATTCAATCCCACAGGTACTGGGGTATTGAACCTAATTTGGCCATGTGCAAGGCAAACGCCCTGCCTGCCATTCAATCTCCTGCCTGATACAACAATTAATTCTTAAAAAAACAAAACAAAAAAACAAACAGATCCACGATCTCAGCACGTCCTAGCTGTCTGACTGTCATTACAGTCACAGCACAGAAGCCGCTGCCATGGAGACGGGCACACAGTGGCAGTCCACGGGCTGGTCACCCGGCCGCACAGCATCTTCCCTGCTGGCTTGCCTGCTCAGAGGTGGGCGCAGAGCCGCTCCAGCTGCCCGGGATTCCCGTTACTCAGGAACAGCAGCTCCTTCTTCCCTTCCTCTGTAGGCGCTGAAATGGAGTCAGAGATAATTGGCACTTTGCTCCTGCAGGCGGTTCCCTCGGAGAGGGCATTGTCCGCATTATGTTGTTATAATTAGCACTCCCAGGAGCTCTCGCTGCTAGATCCTTTACCCCAACACAAGCCCCGGGTTGTTTTCCCCCTGACTCCTGCCTGCCAGCCCTGAGCCTCCCCTGTTCCAAGAATATCTCCGCACTTGAGGACTTTGTCAGATCTCCCAGCCCTCTAAGCAGTCGCTCCAGGGTGTCCTGACCCAGCCCTCTGCAGCTGCTAGCACAAGCCTCCCCAAGTCCCTGAATAACTGATTCTGATGGCAGCAATTCGGTGACAGAACAGCCGTGGCGCCTGCACCTGCCCTCCCCGCCCACTCCACGCCGGCATGGGGGGCAGGGGTGGGGGCAGGGGTGAAGCGAACAGTTGGATTCTGACATGCACACATGTGTGCACATGCACATGAGGACATGACAGAGTGGCAAGGGGCTGGGGTGCGGCTTCACCTCCCCTATCACCTACACAGTCCCAGTATCCTTTCAATGGGACTTTGCACACTGATGAAGAAAATCCATGTGTGGCAACAACCAAAACTCCTGGAAGCCGTCTGACAGCTGGATAAAGTTTAGTCAGAGAGAGAGCATGTCACTTGCCTCCTGTAAATTCATCCCTCATCACCCCACTCCTCCACCTTACTGTACTGTCTCATCAGGCAGAAAAATCAGAAGCTAAAGAGGGAAAAACCTGGACGAATCACAGGCCTCACAGGACTCTCCCATGAGCAGTGCCCCAAGGAAAGAGTGAAACCACTGACTGACCTTTCTCATGCTGAAGCCAGTTGTTCTCCAGGTAATACTGAATACAGCTTTCAAATTCCTTTGGGTTATAGTTGGAAACCAAGATGGGAATGAAGGGATCCAGGGCATCAAATCCTTCCTGAAGAGTAACAAGGACAAGGAGCCAGCGTTTGTCCAGTGATGAATCAATCTTGTTTAAGGACTCAGTTGTGGAAAGGTCTTTGTTTTCTGTCTGCCCTCCTCCTCGCTCTCTGGCTGGCCTGCCCACGCAGGGCTCGACAGTAGTGGCTGGCTGCTCTACATGGCCACAGAGGTTGTTTTTTTTTTTTTTTTTTAAGGAAAGAAGGGAGGGAGTGGTAGAGAGAGAGTACAATAGACAGGGCATTCGTCTTGCATGCTGCCAAACCTGGGTTTGATTCTGGGCGCCCTATATGGTGCAGGAGCCCCGACAGGAGTGATCCTTGGGTGCAGAGCCAGGAGTAAGCCCTGAACATTGCTGACTGTAACCCCTCCCATAAAAAAGAATGTTTGATTTTAGGGAATACACATTTGGGGGGCTGGGGGAGAGCTGGGCCATACCCAGCAGAATTCTGGTGCCAGGGATGAACCCAAGGTCAGCCACATCCCCTATAATGTATCTCTGGCTCCAGAATCACACATTATTATTTTGTTGTTGTTGTTGTTTTAGGCATTCTTTTGAGATAAAGAGTCATCGTTTATCTTGAGATAAAGAGTCCCAGTTTAAAGTCACGTAATTCAGGAAAAAAAGGAGAGAGAGGAAATAATAAAACAAATAGGGTCAAGCATTAACATTTAGGAAATGGGATAAAGTCAACAGGAATAACATTTTAGTCTCTAAGCCAGAAACAATGTTTAAAAAAAGATACCCGCTTGCACAGAAACATTATCTAAAGGGAAACCAGTTTTCCAGAGGATCTGACCTTTCCCAGCAACTCTTGGGGCAGGCAGGCATTCCGGGGCTTGAAGAGAGAGCCGGTCTGGCTCAGGGTCAGCACCGCCGCACCTCCGTGCTGCAAGAGGGAAGGAAGAAACAGCCACTTAGCAGCAACGGAACAAGACAGAAAAGTGCGTTTTAATCATCTGCAGATTTCTGGGGGCAGTCTGTTCTAGCACAGTTAAATGTCAGCTAAATTAGCTATTACTCCTAGAATCACCCTTGACAGTAAATTGCTACATGAATTTATGTTTGTCACAATCTTTCCCAGAACTGGGAAGAAGACATGAAGACACTTTGAACAGTTGCAAGCAAAATAAATTTACGCTGGTATTTAAATCATTTTATTAAACTTATTCTAGGATCAGAGACAGACTTTCAGCTTATAATTATGGAACTGAATAAGACATAAAAACCTTCTGTCCATAAAATTAGGGGATAGAAAGTATTAATAATGGAGTAGTCAAACGTGTTTTTGTTGTTGTTGGAGGGGGCCACACCTAGTGGTGCTCAGGGATTGCTCCTGTCTCTGTTCTGGGGACCATACTGGTGTGCTGGGGATCAAACTGGGGTTGGCTGCAGGCAAGGCAGCTGCCTTAACTCTGGTACTGGCTCTCTAGTACTAAAATAGTCAAATCTCTTTAAAAATCAAAATGTGGTTCAAGTGGCAGAGCAGCCCCTCAAAATTTTTTAAGTACAAATACATTACCTTTGGGTTGCAGATGAACTGTTTTCGATTTGCTTTTGGGCCACACCAGTGGTGCTCAGGGGACCGTATATATCGGCCATGTGCCACGGCAAGCACCCTACCTGCTGTCCTATCATCCTGGCCCTGGAGATCAATTTTTACATGTTCCCTTCTCACTTGGCTGTCAGGGTGAATCATCAGGGCAGTGTCACTGGGATCCCACAGGACTCGAGGGACCCTACTGGCAGGCGCTCTACTGCTGAGTTCTCCGGGGGTCACTAAAACACATTTCCTGAGCCCAGAGTGCCCGCCTTGCAGGCACACGGTCCTAGGTTCAGGTTCCCAGCGACCCACGGTGCAGAGTGTGAGCTCTCCGGCACTGCACACACAGCCAGGGCCGGGACAGATGTGTTAGTGTGGTGGCTCAGGGAGTGCAGAACCCCAGGCGCCACATGGCTGAGTGGATGCACCCTTATAACTACGACCAAATCAGCTGCTTGGAGGAGGGGCTGAGGGATGGCAAAGGACTGCATCTTCACATACAGGAGGTCAGGGTTCGATCCCCGCTATCACGTGATCTGCTAAACACCATACCGACGGAAGAGACCCCAAACAGAGTAGGGAGCAGCACCTCAGCACCACTGGTGTGGTATCAAAACCAAAACAGCAGGAAAAACCAGGGGTTGTGGGGAGAGGGGAAGAGGGAATACATCAAAAGAAAGCCCCAAACCAAATACATTTCTTTCTGCAATGTGCTGGGCATTACATGCACTCACCCAGTCGTTCTTCACCATTTTCCTCAGGTTGTAAATAAGTGCCAGTTCCTCAGGGACAATCTGCACATCGGGCAGGTGGGAGACCGGAGGGAGGAGAGAGGCAGGGTCAATGGGGAGAGACGACAGTGTTGCCTGCTTGTGTGCTCTGCTGAGACAAAGCAGCTGACAGTAACCCAGGCCCCCAGCTCCCAGCAGGAGCTCAGTGGGAGAGCCTAATTTTGCCTGTGCAGGGCTCTGGGTTCAATCCCCACACTGCAAAAATAATTAAAACACCTTTAGCTGAACGTAGTAGAGCAGGTAGGGCGTTTGCCTTGCACGCTGCCAACCTGGGTTTGATCCCTGGTATCCTATATGGTCCCCTGAGCACTGCCAGAGTAATTCTGAGAGCAGAACCAGGAGTAACCCTGAGCATCACTGGGTGTGCCCCCCCCAAACAAAAACAAAACCCTGCACTACTACATAACAATAGTACGTGAAAGTGTGACCTTGAGACAAGCTTCAGAGGTGCTGACTCCACCGTGGCCTCCTTCCCAGCGGAAAAACAGTACCAAGGGACAAGATACACCAGCTAACCCCGGCATATTCTACAGCTTTTCTGCTTACAGCTTAATGCCTCGGTTTCCCCTTCAAGTTTTGGTGCGCCCCACGAGGTGCTGGGGTGAGCCCCTGGCTGCCCCTTGGGCTCGTCCTGCTCCACCCCCCAGCCCCAAGCCCTGTTTTGAAGAGAACATAAAGAACATTTGACAACATATAAAACTTTCCTCTTCATTTTCTCTCTTTATATACAAGAATATACAGGAATAAATGATCAAATAAGAATAAAGAGAGGGACTGACCCTCGGGCCTTGGACACGTGAAGTTGTGCGCCACAGCTGAGCGCTCTTCCCTTCACCTCTTAGTTTTCAAAGGATGGTGACCCAGGGCAATGCCTTGCTCTTCGGATGCTGTTTTCAGTATAGATCTTAATTCAAATTCTTCCAAGGGCAAGAAGGAACTAGACTGCACATCCTCATTCTACCAGGCTATGTTCAAGCCTATGAACCAGGTGGGACCAGAGACTCAGTTTTCCTACCGGGCTTTTGTCTTCTTTTTTCAGCGTGGTCCTGCCCCAGAGTGCGTTGGCTCCATCCACCGCCACCAGCAGGCGGAACAGTCCCTGAGCACTTTGCCTCTTCAGCTCTTTGAGGACCACCCCAACGGCATCGGTGGCGTTCCGCACCCGCGTGATGCCCTGCAGGTAAGAGAGCCCATGGCCGCTAGTCCTGTGTCAGCCCCCTGGTGGGGACAGCGACACACTAGGTCTCTGTCTCTTGTCATACCTGTTCCACCACGTCTCCCAGAGGCCGGCCTTTCTCCGTGCTTTCTCGCTTGTTCCAGACATACTTCTGTTGAACTGTAATCTAAAAACAAGCAAAGGAAACGAGAATCAACAAGCAGCTAAAGGGGCCCTGAGAACAAGTCTGAGGAGGGGGCTTGGGGAGAGCAGATACACGTTTGATTTCTCATAAAGGATGTAAGAGAGAACAGTGTGAAAGGGAATGATTTTGAGCCCATTTGTACCTGGGTCTTTAAAAACTGGCTTAGAAGGGTAAGGTATGGGGGCGTAACCCCGGACAGCATGGAGAAGCAGCCACTTTGAAGGATGTGGTGCTGGAATGTTGTGTGCATGAAATTCTATCATTAGCAATATTGTAAACCATGGGGCCTAAAATAACTTAAATAAATATATACGTATAGAAGGGGTTCCAACTAAAATGTTCCAAGAGGAGGGCTGGGTGCAGCTCTGCTTCGTCCCATGAGCACTACCAGGAGTGACTCTGAGCACCACTGGGCACGGCCCCAAAGAGGCAGCACAGGGACTGAACCTTGCCTTGCACACTGCCACTCCATTCCCATCCCTGACACCTGACGCCCAGCGCTGCTAGGGGTAGCCACGACACAGCTCCTGGTAGCCCCTACCTATCACTGGGTGGCACCCCTCTCCCCATAAAGTTTCTTTCTTTTGGTTTTGGGGTCACACCCAGTGGTGTGCAGGGGTTACTCCTGGCTCTGAATTCAGGGACCAGTCCTGGCTGTTTGGGGGACCATATGTGGTGCCTGGGATTGAACCCGAGTCAGCCACATGCAAGGCAAGTGCCCTACCACTGTATTATTTCTTTGGAACCCAAATAAAGTATCAAGATGAGACCTTGGCATCTTTTCTTTAGTGGTGGGGTGGTTTGGTCCACACACAGTCATGCTTGGGGGCTATTCCCAGCTCTTTGCTCAGGGGTTGTTCCCAATGAGCTCAGGGGACCATGTGGTGCCCAAAATGGAATTGGGGTTGGCTGCGTACAAAGCAAAGCAAGTACCTTACACCCTGTACTGTCTTTCCGACCCTCCATTTGTAATAAGCTCCTGGGTGGTTCTCAGATACATCCAGAGGAGTAGAGCACTGGCCTAGAGATACTATATAAGAATAATGTGGAGTAAAGAATAATTTTACCCACACACTTCTGGTTCTGAAAAAGATCTGGAGAAAATGATCTAGTTGGAAATGTGTTTTGGAGGGTTTTGAGTCTGCAGCTCTGTCCAAGTCAGTGAACCAACCCATTTGACCTTCATTCTGCTGCCCACAAGATGGGAACAACTCACTGGTAGGGACGGCACAAAGAGAAGAAAATCTGTCTAAAAACTGCCCTGCACAGGGGCCTGGATGAAGTTTGGTGGGTGGAGCATAAGCCTGGCACACATGCGGCCTGGGGGTCCATTCCTGGCATCCCACCTCCCACTGTCCTCTGCCCGCCCCCCCCCCCCCCCCCCCAACTGCAGGACTTCCTCACCTGGTTGAGGAAATGCTCATTCGCAGCTTTGAAGTTCTTGAGCCAGGTGGAGGCTTCCAGCGGCTGATCAAAGCGCTCTTTGTTGTAGGTGGACTGGAGGAGGTCCTGGCAGTTCTTCACCCAGAGGTGAGCTGAGAGAGGCACAGGAGGTCTGGTAGACAGTGCAGGGGCTGGGGGGCTTGTCCTACATGTGCCCATGCCCAGTGTTCTCTGAGCACTGCGGGGCCTGAACAACCCTGGCACTGGGCCACTGGTCCAGTTGGCCGAGATCACTAGGAGAAACTCCCAGGACCCCTGAGTCCTGCTTGGAGGGCTCACAAAATGGAGACACAAGTGCATGAACCAAGCAGAAACTGAGGGTTCAACTCAGACTCATCAGGCTGGGGAGAGACCAGTGGGAAGGCACTTGCCTTGCATGGAGTCGACCCCAGTTCAATCCAAGGCACCACATATGGTCCCCCACCAGCCCTGCCAGGAGTGACTCCAGAGCACCCAGGAAGTTTTTGCCCCAAGAGCAAAAAAGGGGGAAAAAAAAAAAGTGAGGCAGTAGAGTCATAAAACTTCACTTCATGATCACAGACTCTTGAAGGTGCTGGAGAGGACCGAGTTCTGGTGCATGGCCTTGCATGTGGCTGGCCCCAGTTCCATCCTTGATACCACCAGGTTGCCCGAGTATCACTGGATGCAGCCCCTGAAGGCCCTGCAACCCCAATGGGATAACGTCTCCCTCATTGGTGCTGAGCAGCACTGTCTCTGCAGGCCTCACATTGAACTACCCACCCAGTTGACTAAGAATCATAAGCAGGGGAACTTCCGGGGAGGGCCCAGAATACAAAATACAAGCTAACAAATGGGCTCAGTGCATGCAAATCATTCTTTGCATGATAGGCCCAGGCTTGATTGCCAGCACCAGTGGGTCCCCTGAGCACTGTTGGGAGTAATTTCTGAGCATAGAGCCAGGAACAGCCCCCAGCACCTGCGGGTGTGGCACCAGAATCCAAACAAAAAAATAACAAACTCCCCCTCATCCCCCCAAATATCAAAGGTGCTTGGAAGCTTCTGGCTAATTTTTTCTTCCACTTGCAACCTGCTTGTGGGAACAGTGGAGAGATTGTGATACCCTGTCGCAGCCCACTCTGCATCCAGAGCGAAGGCGTCCCTGAGTGATCTGACCCTGGTCAAAGTGAGTCAAGATGCCACCAGGTAACAGATCAACCAGCCCCTCCACACAGGACCGAGGAAGGTCTTACCATCCGGGACATGCAGGATCAGCCAGTCCTGTTTTGCACAGAAGTGAATGACATGGCAAAGACTGAGAGTTTTTCCTGTTCCTTTCTCCCCATCTAAGGCGCTTGTTAAAGAAAATGTTACAAGCAGGTGTTCTGCTGCTTTCCCAAGCAGTGCTTTTGCATTTCTTCGTTCCAGGAAGGAGGGCTTTGGCTCATGACCACATAAACGCAGCAGGAAAGGATACAGAGAACATAGCGCACAGCTGGGTGGGTAAAATTGGTGTTTTTCAGGTACTGTATAAGTTCCAGGGCTGGGCTTCTTACCATTAGGCATGCCTCATTGAATGTTTTCACCTAGTGAGAGAGGCCCAGGTGTGAGACTTCAGGCTAGCTCCTGGTAGACACAACAGAGCTAAGAAAGCAACCACATCTTAACAAAGCTGTTTAATTTTGTTCAGTTATATGAGGATGGGTATACAGAAAAATTGACAATCTTTCCATATAACTGAGCTAAAATCTTATCCTACATCAAATAGGATAATAGATTTTAATAATTTAGTGAAACATAGATGTTAATTGAACTCCACAAATAATCTTAATATATAACTTGTATGTGAATCAATAAGGGTTCATGTAAATTTGGGGGTGGAGCATTGGGGCTACATCCAGCCATGCTCAGAACTTATTCCTGGCTCTGTGCCATATGTGGTAGCAGGGGTATAAACTGGGCCGGCAGCATGCCTCAGTGAGAGGGCAGCGTGAGAGAACATTGCAGCCGGGTACGGGGTGAGGGGGGGTGGGAAGCTCTGGACAGCACCACTACAGCACCAGGGGAAGGGGAGTGGTAGGGAGAAGGGAAGGAAAGTGGTGATCTTGTTGGGCCTCACTGGCGTGTAAGGGCTGTAGTGCTGGGCCTGACCATCTGCGTGCCTATGCTGCTCGGACCCTAAAGGGCTTAGGGGCCACTAGGCTACACCCAGCAAGGCATACGCAAGGCAGGGATTGAACTGGGCTCTTGTGCATGCAAGGCATACTCCCGCTTTGATATGTCCATTTCAGTTTTTCAGTTTTGATTTTTGTTTTGGGGCTTTGCCCAACCATCCCTAGAGTGGTTCCCGGAACAGCCACTCCCAACAGTGCTCGGGGAACTCTTCAGTGACAGGGATCAAACTGTGGCCTGTTTTTGACTAAACCTGAGTGTGTGCCAAGTGTTCAACCCCTCTGAACCATCTCCTGTTGCACTGGTGGCATCTAGCAAAGAAATCCTACCTGTGACCTGGGGCTGGCTCAGTGCTTAGAAGGGTGAGTCGTGGATGGACAGCAGGTTTGTGTGCTAAGCAGTGGCTTAGAGGCTCTGCCAGAGAGGATCCCTGCAACCAGGTGTGCGAACGCTATCACCAGGAGTCTAGCCCTCATGAAGCACTACAGCTGGAGTCTATGTAAATACCACAAAGTGAGGAGGACTCCTGGTGGGTACATGTGTACGCATAACTGAAAATCCATAAGGCCGAGAACCCCATGGCTGCATATGTAAGCTCTGCAGCCCCCAGAAGTGGGGGTGGAAACGAGATTCTACCAACAATTGAAGAAGAATTGACAGGTGAGGGCACCGTTAAAGGACAGTAAAACCTTTAAAAATACGAGAGATACTAAAACTGAAATGCCATATTTGGCAATAGAATACTAAAATACACAAACAATGGTGAAGGAGTTGCTTTCACATAATGGAAATTATGGAAAGAATGTATGAGTAATTCCCTCCAAAGCTCTGGTGGCCAAGTCATTCCTAAAGTAGCATGAAATGGCTAAAGTTGGTCCCTCACAGCCCTGATGCCGCAGGATGCACGGAGACAGTCTCAGACCAGTGTCAAGAGCCCAAACAAATGATTGATTCTGGTTATGTGCTATTATCAAACTTAACCAAAACTTTAAAAAAAATCTTTAACTAATGAAAATTCTGATAACTGTTTATATTACACAATTTGCTCCCTTACCAAACACCTTCCTGGGGTTACATCTGATTTGAAATATAGCACAACAGAGGTGGCAACTCTGACTCTGGGGGCTGGAGCGCTAGTATGGAGGCCAGAGTGGGGAGGGCATCTGCCCTGGCATCCCATACGGTCCCCTGAGCAACGCCAGGAATAGTTCCTGGGTGCAGAGCTAGGAGTCACCCCTGAGCATTGCCGGGTGTGACCCAGAAAGACAGACAAACAAAAATACCACCTCTCTGATTCTGAAGCTGTGGATCACCTACTGTCAAGTTCTTTATTAAGAATGAATAAACCACACCACATTGGATGGGATGTAAAGTAGAAGGCAACCAATCTTGATTAAGAAAATATTGACATACAAGGCTTAAGCTGTAACAACATGCTAGTAATCTCTTATATAAGGGCTGAATAGCTCCAGGGAGAAATACAACAATCTCCACACACTTTCTCCTAATTAAATCTTTTTTGATTATTTTTAGCAAATTATTCATAACAAGCAGTACAAAATATTTAGGGCCTGCCATTGGGGCAGGCTTGGGTGGTGATTGGGAAAATTGGAAATAATGGTGGTGGGAAGGTGGTCTGGCCTTTTTGGAAGACAATATGTATATTCTCAGAAAGTTGGGAATTGAGCTTCCATATGACCCAGCAGTACCGATCCCAAGTATATATCGTAGGGACCCAAAAACAATGCAGAAAAAGCATCTGCACTCCTATGTTCACTGCAGCACTATTCACAATAGGCAAAATCTGGAAACAACCCAAGTGCCCAGGAACAAATGATTGGATAACAAAACCATGATACATCTATACAGTGGAAAAATAGGCAGCCATTACAAAAAATGAAATAATGAAATGGATGGACATGGAGAGTACCATTGCTGAGTGAAATGAGTCAGAGGAAGAAAGAGAGGGGCAGACAGAAAGAAGACACTCATTTGTGGATTGTAAAACAACATAGTATGAGACTAGTATCCAAGGATAGTAGAAATAAGAGCAAGAGGACTGGTCCATAGGTATGAAATCTGTCACAAGGAGAGGTTGTGGGGGAAGTGTGGTTAGGACAGAGAAGGGACCACTGTGACACCGATAGTTGAAATGATCACTCTGGAGAATTACTGGGTGCTCAAAGGAGGTAAAGTGATTGCAAACCACAGTGCCTGAAGGAAAAAAAAGGGAGGGAAGAAGAAGAGCCATAGAGGCAACATTGGTGGTGGGAAATGTGCACTGGTGAAGGAACAGGTGTTAGAACATTGTGTGATTGAAACAGTTTCATAACTGGATCTCAAGATGATTCAGTTAAAATTTTTTTAAGTAAAAAAAAACTGTTGCATTTCTAAACTTAAATGAATTAGAAAACATTTTTACTTTTTTTTTGCTTTTTGGGTCATACTCGGCAATGCATAGGGGTTACTCCTGGCTCTGCACTCAGGAATTACTCCTGGCGGTGCTCAGGGGACCATATGGGATGCTGGGAATCGAACCCGGGTTGGCTACATGCAAGGCAAACGCCCTACCTGCTGTGCTATCGCTCCAGCCCTTAAAAAAATTCCATTTACATCAAACTCAATCTCATGTACCTAGGAATCAACAGTGGAGGGGACTTATGAAAAATCATTAATAAGTAGAACAGAGACAGCAATGGAAACAATACTCCATGTTCATGGACTAAGACTTAACATTGATAATGATCTTCCTACCCAAAGCATTAGAGTCAGTGCTGTCCCCACAAATATCCCAATGGCATTCGTCTGGGACACAGAATAAATACGGTGAAGGTGTGTGTGAAACTGTACTCTTTCCCTCCTTGAACAGTGAAAGCAGTTTAAAAGGGGAAGAAGATGGAAGGCATCATTTCCCCTGACTTTAAATTATTCTATACAGGGCTAAATAATCAAAACAATATATTAGAATGAAAGCAGATGATCAGACCAATGACATAGGTCTGAGATAAACCCTCCCATATGGAGACTGGAAAGGTACTGTGGATCCAAGAAAATAAAATGGAGAAAGGAAAATTCTTTTTAACAAATGGGATCGGTGGCTTTTAACAAAAGAGAGATGGCTTGATGTGCTGAGCAAATGTTTTGCATGTGGGAAGCCCGGATTTCAGCCCCAGCACCTCATGGTCCCCCTAGTACTTGAGTACTGAGTTGTGAGTAGCTTGTGACCCCAAACAACAAACCAACAAAATAATAAGTGAGGATAGGACTGGAGAGAGAGAACAATGAGGAAGGCACCTTGCCTTGCATGCAGCCGACCCCGGTTCAATCTCCAGCACCATATAGAATTCCCTGAGCCCCGCCATGAGTGATCATTGAGTGCAGGACTAAGAACATACCTGGAAGTATGCTCCCCAACTCTAAAACAAACAAAAAGAGAGGGCTGCTGGGGGTTAACTCGGCAGCAGAGCACTGGCCATGCCTGTGTGAAACCAGGGAGGCACTATTCCACATGTCTGAGTGAGAGCCCAAAGGCTCTGCTGTTTGGGTTAACAAATGGGGACATTTCAGCGAGTGATTCAAATGTGCATAAGCACCACAACTCAGGTGAGTGAACCTCTTCCCACCTCCCGGCAAATGCATCCCCAAAAAGTGCATGACCACTTGTACAACTAAGTGTGAGCCTCCTGCCGTCGAGGTGTGCTGGCATCTGGACTAACGTGATATCCTGGTGAGGAAGTGGGAGCGCCACAACCAAGTCTGTGACTCTGGCATAACAGAAACCACAACAAAGGGTAGGGAAAGGGGGAAAAAATAATTGGGGCTGTGTAGGACAGACTTCACACGCTGCATAACTTGGATTTGATCTTAAAGAAGTTTGTGTTGATAAATTTTGGTTTAATGTAATATTAATAGCATTATTCACAGAAGATAATAAAAAACTGAATTTCATCTTGTATGGGTTTCTGCTCTTTAATCTGATATCAACAGTAGATTCTCGGGACCGGAGAGATGGCACAGTGGATAAGGTTCCCTTGCACATGGCCAACCTGGTTTTGATCCCTGGTACCCCATATGGTCTTCTGAGCCCTGCCAGGAGTGATCTGAGCCCTGCCAGGAGTGATCCCTGAGCGCAGAGCTAGGAGTCAGCCCTGAGCGTTGTGAGTGGCCCCAAAACCAAACCAATTCAGCAGTTGGTTCTCTGCATGATCCCAGAGACCCTCCCCTGTTCAGAGCACCTGCATTGCAAAGCGTGGAGGAAGGCCATGGGGGAAGACAGTCTTCAGGTCCTGGAGGGGTATGTTGTAGTGCTGACCCTTGTGCTGCTCGCCATGCTTGTCCTGGAAACAAAATTATGAAGAGTTGTAGAATGGGGCCACAGATGAAGTGACGAAGACTGAAGAGGTAAGGCCACAGGCTTTCAGGTACCTGCCTTGCACACAGTCAACATTTTTTTTTGGGGGGGGAGGGGTCACTCCCGGCGATGCTCAGAGATTGCCACATATGGCCCCCCGAACCCCAAAGGAGTGATCCCTGAAAGCAGCCCTAAACACTGCTGGGTATGGCTCTAAAACCAAAACTTAAAAAAAAAAAGAGAGAGAGAGAGCCTGCCTGCTAGACAGTGTTGAAAAATATCTCTCATCCCTCATTCAGAGCAGGAAAAAGTAATCTTCCCTCCCTGCCTTTGTATTGTCTTTTTTCTTTCCAATGATGTCTCAAGAGTAGATGGTTCAGGGTTCGGGCCTAGTGGTGCTGGGGCCTGGGGGCCACTGGGACTGTCCCCAGTGAGCTCAGGGATCCAACTTAGGGCCTAGCAAAATCCAGGCAGGTGCTCCAGTCCTTTGAATTACCTCTCTGGTTCCTAGTTTTCATTTTTTTCATTTCTTATCTTAGACCAAAAATCACTGGTGGTTGTCCCTCAATTCATAGTGTGTATACGGAGCTGGTGTTGGCCTGAATGATGGAGCCAGTTGCTCAGCAACGTAAATCCTAGATGTGGAAGTAGCAGAGATAATTCAGGCCATCTGGATGTGCTTCTTATGCTGTGTATAGAGATGCTCCAGTCACATGACCAAGTTCATCTGCATGCCACTGTTTCCATAGAAACCCCGGAGGAATCGACAGATAAAGGGCCTACAATTATAGGGAAAGCTGAAAGACACTTCAATGACTTCATTCACTTGTTCTATTTCATTTGGTGCTTTCAAACTAGGTGACGGCTAGAGACAGAAATAAAATGCACACAGCTTTGATGGGGCTTTGGTAATGAGCTATTTTCTTCCTTCCACATGCCCATATGTGGCAATGGGGAAATTTAGAGGGTAGTGATAAAATGCTGATCAGTTCCCTGCACATCTAAGCAGAGACCACACAGCTAATTTCATTTATGACAGGAAGTAGTAATTATGGGAAGAAAAGAATGAAAAATAAGAATAAAAGACACTGACTTCTAGCCTATTGGAACTTGAAGTAGAAAATCTAACACTGGATACTTCTGGGATCCTTCCTGAATTTTGTTGACAAACTTGTTAAGCGCTGCTCCTATAAAAAAACAAGTTAGTACCCTATCCAAACAATAGGAAATCCACTGAAAAAGGTGAAAACAGTACCAAATAATTAAGAAAACATTTTTTCCCCCTTAAAATACCCTCTTTCTAATGAGGTCACAGGGAAGTAATTTCTTCCATTTTTTTTTGGGGGGGGGGGAAGCTTGGGTTTGGACCATACCAAGTGGTGCTCAAGGGTCATTCTTGGTGATGCTCTGGGGATCATATGGTGCTGGGAATAGAAATGTGGTGAGCCACATGCAAAGCATGTGCCTTTACTAATCCTGGGACTGTCTTTCGGACCCATATGTTAATTCTTTAGGATTATTCATACATACCACGGTTGGTAAACTGTGGCTGACTAGCAGATTTTGTAAAAAAAAAAAAAAAAAACCTTTATTAAAATATAGTTTGCTGCAGGTTTACTTTAAGTTGACCTTGCTACCACTCACTACTTTCGGGCTGGAGCAACAGAACAGCAGTAGGGCATTTGCTTTGCCCGTGGCCGGCCGGACTGACCCAGGTTCGATTCCTCCGTCCCTCTCAGAGAGCCCGGCATGCTACCGAGAGTATCTCGCCCGCACAGCAAAGCCTGGCAAGCTACCCATGATGTATTCGATATGCCAAACACAGTAACAAGTCTCACAATGGAGACGTTACTGGGCCTGCTCGAGCAAATCAATGAACAACGGGAGGGCAGTGCTATGACAGTGCTATTAAAATATAGCCAATACACATTTGTTTATGGTTGGGCTAAGTTTCTGTGACAGAGGCCACTTTGTTTTCTAAGCCTAAAACTGTCTGGGGCTGAAGAGATAACTTATGGGGATAGAGTACACACTTTACCTGCTGAAGGCCTGGGTTTTATCCCTGTTACAGTGTGGTACCCTGAGGACAGCCACCAAAATCAGAGACCCTAAAATAAAAATAGAGCCGTCCTTTAAGTCTGACCCATCAAATGCTCAATTTAACTTGTAAGGAAATGACAGTAACCACTTGCTACATACTTACTCTCTATCCAACCATATCATTGGTCTGAGGTGAGTACAGAGGAGGAGGAGATGAGAATAGGTGTGGACTCACCTCCCCAAGTACCATAGGAAACTACAGTATTCAGAGAGGAGTGGGAAAGATCCAGGCTTCAGAATGTAGGTTTATTTAGTATACTGTCTCGCTATGTGTAATTTGTTCAGCTTTCTTCAGTTTTCCGGGCATGTGAAATGAGAAAAACACAAATGATAAGCCTAGGAAAAACATCCATATGCATACAAACAACTCACCGGATCACCCTCACTGGTTCGAGAAACAGTTCGGGGACCTTCAACTGGAACCTGGTTGTCCAAAGCAGCAAGATGTTGGGGTGTTTGGGTTCCTGTATGTAAATAATGTCGAGGGTCCAGCTGGAAAATAGATCATTTTAGTGTTTTGGAATTATCAGACTTTTCACACTTGTTTGTTACAACACCCCATTTTTTTGCTGTTGCTTTTGTGGTGCTGGGAAATGTAAAGTGGGGTTTTAAACATACAAGGCAAGGGCTGTACTGCTGAACAACATCTCCAGCCCACACTGAAATAAAAACCACTTTTTTTTGACCGGGGGGGGGGGGGGGGGGGGAGGGCTTAGCACAGTGCTTGGGTGCTCAGGGGAATCACCCGGGGCAGGATTTGAACCTGGGCCTCTGGCATGCAAAGCACAATCACTAGCCCTTTGAGTAAGCTCTGCCCCCAACTCTGAGATTTTGATTTTTCTGTTGTCTGTTGGTTTTGTTTTTGGGTCACATCAGTGGTGTTCAAGGGACTCTGGGATATTGGGGATTGAACTGGGTCAGCTGTGTGCAAGGCAAGCCAGGCACCATAACCCCTGTACTTCTCTCTGGCTTACCCCAACATTGAGGTTTTAAATCTTGCCTGCAAAGAGGAAAAATTACATCTGTTTTTCTGTAAAAGGGAGATCCTTGTTAGTAAAGTCCAAACACATTACTCATACTTTAAATCTGTTCCAGCTTGTGTTGCATTGTCAGAGCTCTGTCCCACACGGAAACAAACAATTCTGTTAGAGACTATTCTGGAGCAGGACACAGCCACTGACAGCCTAAAGCAGGAAACTTCTTTTTAAAGCTGCTGCCCACAGAGACGAATCTTGGCCTCTCCCGTACAACTCTTCGATGTCCAGTACTCAGTCACCTCAGTTTAGAGGGGGGTTACTGCAGCGCTCCTATTTGATAGGTATAATTACCCTCCCTGCAACACCTTCCCCACTAGCCGTGTCCTAAAATAAAACCTATTTTACTGGAGACTTGTAAAGAGGGAGTGTATCAAGCATCTAGTTAAGGAAAGTAAACTGCTCTCTTGGCCAGTCAGTGGTGTACAGAAATCTCTCACCCAGGAAGGAGAAGGGGTGGGTAAGATTTCATCTGAGGAAATACTAAGTAGAAGGGGAAAGATGCTTACTAATGAACCTGGATGTAACTCAGTGTTAGAAGCACGTGTAGAATGTTTGAGGCACTGGGCTTACCTCCCAGCACGTGTGTGTGTACACACACGCGCGCGCGATGCGCATGCACCTGCACACACAAGTGAAATGTCCAGAGTGCTAGTGCAGGATTAGTTTTGATCCATGGTACCACCTGGTCCCCCAGCACTGCCAACTGCATCACCTTCATCAGATGCATCGGAAGCGGAGCTATATTCACTCATCAGCCTGAGAAATGTTTTTACTATGAAAACCCTTTCGAAATTTAGGTATGGGAGAAGCTGAGGCCTTGCTATCCCTAATATTCTCCTCCTCCTCCTCGACTGTGCTTTTCCAAAGCAGGAGAACAGAATCAACAATCTCCCATGTAATTCAGAATTCCAGGGGGATCTTAGTCCCTTCCTTAGATGCCTTATAGACATTTTTCTTAACTTTTCCCCAAATCTTGGTTTCTAGAGTCCCTTCATCCAGGAACCATGGGTTTACCTCATGAACTACTTTAAAGCAGGACCGGACCTGGTCTCTGGAAATGCAGAGTTCCCTGTCTTGCAGGAGAGACACTGAATCAAATCCATAAACGTCTTAGCCTGTTCAGTCTGGCTCGAGAAACTATGAAAGATCTTGGGAAGGCCCAGAATCTGTCTCATCTTAGTGGGGGATTGCTGCTAGAATTCTAACTCCCAGCAAACTAAAAAATCCTATTCTCCCACTCACTTTCTAGAGTGGGGGTGCACTGAACGTTATTCTTACCTTTAGTTAGCAGCGTCCCACCCAGGGGACGCCAGCTTTAAAATCTTAGAATGCTTAGCAATAGGCCACACCTGGCAATGCTCAGGGATTCCTACTGACAGACTCAGGGACCCATATGGAGTGTGGTAAATCCAGCCCATTTTGGTCGTGTGCAAGGCAAGCAAGCACCTTTCCAGCCCAAATATGTATTATTTTAGTATCCACTGTTACAACACTCATACACACCTTTTATTTTTTGCATGGGAGTTGTGGGGAGGTTTGGACCACACCCAATAAGGCTCCAGTCCCTTGCATGGCATTTTTTAACTATCTGTTTGAAACTAGGCATTGTAGTGCTTTACGCACATTGTTTCAAAATGAAGATTCTGGAAGATAAACAGTATTATGCTGTTTTCTGATGGAGGAAACATAAGTTCAGGGAAGTCAGTATAGGTGCTGAAACCAGAATCCATATATAAGTTTGACTCCCAAATCTCCATTCTATTTTATTTATTCTTATTCTCGGGGCCTTCCCAGTGTTGCTGGCGTGGGACCCCAGGGTGCCCCTCTCTGCAGTGGTCTGGTAGAGGTGTAAACCTGATGCTCTTGGTGACTGGATCTAGTGGTGCTGGGAACCTGGCCGTACAGGGGCTCATGAATGTATTTCCATACACAGTGGAAGAGGAAGAATCAAATGTTATTAATAATGGGTTTTGTTTTTGGCCCACACAGAGGTGCTTGTGGGCTACTACTGGGTCAGTGCTTGAGGGAGTCAATTCTTGGCAGTGCTCAGGGGAGCATGTGGTGGCAGGCATCAACCTTGGGGGCTCCCACATACAAAGCATTCACTCCAGCCTTTTGAGCCATCTCCCCAGACCAACTGCAAACTGTTTTGAAAATGGAGCACATCATGGGCTGGAGAGACAGTACAGGGGTTAAGGCACTTGTCTTGCATGTGCCAGGTTCCATCCTGGCACTGCATATGTCCTCCAACCACCACCAGGAGTGATTCCTGAGTAAAGAGGGAGGAGTAAGCCTTGCCACTGCTGGGTGTGGCCCTCAACACCCAATAAAATAAATAAATAAAAACAAAAAGGGTGTGTGTGTGTGTGTGTGTGTGTGTGTGTGTGTGCTGGAAAGAGTGCTTACCTAGCCTGTATGCAACTGATCCTGTTTTGTCCCTGGCACCATATACTGTTACCTAAGAAAAGTCAGTAGCCTCTCCTGAGTAAAGAGCTAGGAGTAGCCCCTGAGCACCACCAGATATGACCAAAAAACCCAACCCTCTCCTAAATAGTTGAAAAAACAACAATCTAAAAACAAAAAACTGTGGTTAAGAGTCCAAATGTTTCCATGAGCACTGCCAGAAATAGTAACCCTAGTACTGCTGGGTGTGGTCCCCAAACAATACATAAACAAATGAACAAACAAGGGCTGGGGATGTGGCTCAGTAGTAAAGCACAAACAAGGCCTTGCACACAAGAGAAAAAATAGTGGCAGTCAAGTAGAAAATCAAAGATACTTAAGGGTCACTAGGTGGTGCTATTCCCACAAAAATTCCATGACTAGTTCAAGGCTTTTTGCAACAAATGAAGAGTGAGCAAAATGGATTCCTTCATCAGGCATCCTCCCAGCTAGTCTCTTGTTCACAGGGAAAACACCCATATGCACAATGGCCTTCGCACAGTTCCAGAACGAACATCACAGCAGGCAGTTCCTGGAAGAACAGCATTCCTGAGCCAATCAGTTACTCGAAATGAGAGGCCCCCAAATTCATCTGGCCTTCAGCCCCTTTTAGGAAAAAAGCATAAAAGAAAACCACCCAGTGCCCCCTGGAAATCTACCCTCTTGAAGAGAGCCACAGAAAGTGTCCCCTGATTGCATGGGAAGCTAGCAGCATCCCCTGTGGGAGTGGGACACACATTATGGCCCACTGGGGACGGCAGGGAGAATTTATAAACAGCAACATGGGGCAGGGAGTTGAAGGAGCAGAGGGTGGGATGCTCTGCAAGTGGGAGCCCCAGGCTCTGTGGGCCGGAGGGGAGGGAGGTGGTGAGTCAGGGGCACTGCTGAGAAAAAAACAGGAAGGTGGTACAAAACATATTCCCACCCCCTACTCCTCCACACCACCGCCCACCTCTCTATAGTTTGAGTCAGTCTTCCTCACCTGCTATTAGGGAAGAAAAAAAATGTTTTCGCTTTTTCTGGTTTTCTTTTGTTGAACTGTTTCGGTTTTTTTGTTTTGTTTTGTCTTTTTGGTTTTGGTTACACCCTGCAATGCTCAGGGGTTACTCCTGGCTCTGCTGTCAGGGATCACTCCTGACAGTGCTCAAAGGACCATAGGGGATGCCAGAGATCAAACTTGGGTCAGCTACATGCAAGGCAAGTGCCCTACCCACTGTACTGTCTCTCTGGCCCCTTTAGTTTTATTTTTCCTTTTCTAATAATGGGTTATTACACAGGCTTATTAGGAAACCTTGAAGAGAAGAATTCCTCAGAAGGAAGGGTTCAGATGGAAGTGACTGACTGACTGACTTGCATCTTCCACCTCAGTTCTCCTCTTGCAGACAATGTGGTAACTGCACCAGCTGTCCCTCATTTCCTCACAGTTTCACAGCTGGACTCTGAAGTCCTGGGGAAGGTGGACCATTGCATGTAGAAGTGCACTATGGTGAAGACCAGAGGCTTTGAAGTTGGTGTCTAGTCGAATCCCTCAACCTCACAGCCTGTGAATTTGGCCAAGTGACTTAGCTTTTTTTCCTACTTCTTTTTATCTTCCCTTTCCTTTCTGGGTCACAGCCAGCGATGCTCAAGGGTTCCTCCTGGCTCTGCACTCAGGAATTACTCCTGGCAATGCTCCGGGGACTATATGGGATGCCGGGGATCGAACCTGGGCAGCCGCATGCAAGGCAAATGCCCTCCCCTCTGTGCTATAGTTCTGATCCCTTTCTTCTATTTCTATACCTGTGAAACAAACACTATTCAAACACTCATAACACTATTATGAGTTGGTCACGAGGAGTAAAAACAAATAAGCACAGAGAACAGTGCTTGGCACAGGCTAAACAACAAACAATAGTAACCATTGTTAGTGAAAGAGCCATCTTAGAATCTTAAGTACCTGCCATATGGAGGAACTAAAAAACAATTAGCTCAATAAATGAAAGAATGAAGTTAAGATTAAGAGACACAAAGGGCTGGAGCGATAGCACAGCGGGCAGGGTGTTTGCCTTGTACAGCAGAGTTGGCATCCCATATGGTCCCCCAAGCACCGCCAGGAGTAATTCCTGAGTGCAGAGCCAGGAGTAACCCCTGAGCAGTGCTGGGTACGACCCAAAAAGAAAAAAAAAAGAGACAGAGCAAACTATTATTATTATTATTATTATTATTTTAATGGTTTTTGTAGGTGCCTAGGATAAAATCCAGGACTTCAACACATGTGAAATATGCATTCTATTGCTGAGTTACATCTTTGATCCTTAGGGTATATATATGTACACACACACACACACACACATATATATACACACACACACATATACATGTATATGTGTGTGTGTGTGTGTGTGTTTGTGGGGGTGAGAAGGGGGGTGGGAGGGTTTTAGGCCACACCCAGAGATACTCAAGAAATATTCCCGGCTCTGTTCTGAGGAGTAACCACTGGCAATGCTCAGGGCCACTGACTTTATGCAGCATTGGGGATTGAATGGAGATTGGCTGCATACTGGAGGTGAGGGTCTGATGGTTCAGTGCTCTGGACCAGCAATGCTTGGGGACCATTGGGACCATACCCAGCAGTGGTAGGGAGACAGTGCAGTGCCAGGAACTGAATTCAGGGCCATGATATGCTAGGCATATGTTCTATAACTCAAGCTATCTCTTTAAGCTGAGAATTGTCTTTTTATTTACTTATTGGTATACTTATTTAATGTCTTGGCCATACCTGCCAGCTGTCAGGGGCTATCTCAGGCTCAGTGCTCGAGGTTGCTCCTGCTAGTGCTCTGGGGGAATACATGGTGCCAGCGATGGCATTTGGGCATCCTGCATGTAAAACACATGTTCTAGTCCTGGGAATTATCTAACTAAACAACTGACATTTTGATAAATGATTTTATCAATTTTTTTTTGAGGGGAACGCACCTGTGTTAGTGCTCAGAGCTGACTCCTGGGTCTGTGCTCAGAGATCATTCCTGGAGGGGCTCAGGGAATCAGATGGGGTGCCAGAGATCAGACCTGGATGAGCTACATGCAAGGAAAGTGCTGTACTCACTATACTATCTCTCCAGCCTACCCATTTATCTATCTATTTTTTAAAAACAGTTAATTCTATCACACAATAAATTCCCAAGCACAACTATTCTACTGAGACCGATTACTTAAGAATTTTTAAGGCAGCTGGAAGTGTAGTATGATGGCCAGATAAGTAATAATACATTCTTTGGAGTAACCTTACAGAAAATGAGAAATCCATGTGAAGACAGTTTTGCACATGCATTTAGGTCAATACTCACCTTATGGGCCCTGGCGATTAGCCGTATAATTCCTTTCAGCATTGTAGCTGCACTTCTAGACAATAAAAAGAAAACACAAACATTGTCATGCCAGAAAAAGATGGTTGGATCCACAGTGGGTTTGTACCTAGGGTGGATAAGGAATGCCTACAAAGTGCTGGAAGAAGAGAGAAAACACAAATAGACATTCTATAGGAAAGGAAAGATGGATGGCTGGAAGGCTGGGAGGAGGTTCATTGGGGAGCCCAGGGCTCCCTCCCTGCCTGGCCCCCAGCACTGCTGGGTGTTGCCCCTTCCTCCAAAAACATAGTAAATCCATGGGAACTGCCCCCCCCCCCCCCCGGTCAGGAAAATGTATATTTAGACCACCACGCCCAGAAAACTGGGGAAACAAAGAATGTGTGCAAGCACATTCACCTAAAGGTGAAGGCAGAGAGATAGCACAGCAGGTAGCCTGCTTGCTATATGGTCCCCAGAGTACTGCTGGGGTGATTCCCTCCTCCCCAAGGCATGGCCCCTCTCCCTCTGTCCCAAACAACAAACATAAAAAAAACATATTGTTATCTATCAAAATCCTACTGTCCTCCCGCTGTTCATCGATTTGCTCGAGCGGGCCCAGTAACGTCTCCATCGTGAGACTTGTTGTTACTGCGTTTGGCATATTGAATACGTCACAGGTAGCTTGTAGCTTGCCAGGCTTTGCCATGCGGGTGAGATACTCTCAGTAGCTTGCTAGGCTCTCCGAGAGGGGCGGAGGAATCGAACCCGGCTCGGCTGGGCTGGCTGCGTGCAAGGCAAACGTCCTACCGCTGTGCTATCGCTCCAGCCCCATCAAAATCCCAATGATTCTTTAATAGAAATTTTCTTTCTAGCTCACTTAAAATTCATATGGAGGGGCTAGTGAGCTAGTACAGGGGTTAAGGCGGACACAGCCAACCCTTATTTAATCTGTGGCACCCCCTGTTCCCAGAACATGGCTGGGTGCAGTTTAGGTAATCCCACGCGCCTCAGGGCCCGAGCAGCTTCGTACCCCTAGACTCCAGCATTGAACTGCAGGCCTGCTTGGTTAAAAATTGCCAGGAGGAGCTACCAGTCTCCTGAGCACTGCTAGGGAGATGCCAGCCCCCAAGAGAAATTCACACAGAGGGCTGAGGATAGAACTTAATGGTGAAGCTCATGCTCTGCATGCATGACACAGGGTCACTCCTCAGTACACACAAACATAATGGACCCAAAATAGCCCCAACTTAAAAAATGTTGGGGGGAAGGGGGTCCCCTATTCTGGATCACCAGCATCTCAGCCATATGTGGGTGCTGAAGACAGAATTCAGGTCTTCTGCATACAAGGCAAGTCCTTACCCGCTGTACTCTCTCCAGCCCTCTTTTCCTTTTATAAAGAAAGGGATATTCTCTTGCTCCTTATTCTTATTTCCTAAATAAAACTATTTATAGGAGGAAACATGTTGGAAGGCTTTATATTTCCTGATGAAAATCTATAAAGCTATAATAATGAAGAGAGTATGGCACTGGGTGGGAGCTAGTACAGCAGGAAAGCAGATGTCTGGTACAGAGCTGGCTCTGGCTCAGTGTTGGCATTGCATAAGTCCCTGGACCTCCATCAGAAGTGATCCCTGAACACAGAACCAGCAGTAAGCCCTGAGCACAGCCAGGTTTGGTTCAAATCCTTCCCCTCATAAGACACTATGATATTAATGTGTCTATCGATGATTTAGGTTTAATCTGTTTGTCTCTCTGATTTAAACTGATTTGCCATTTACATCAAAGTAAATTGATTTTTAACATGGACACCAAGGCAACTGAATGGGGGACAATTCAACAGTCTTTTTATGGTAGTGTTGGAACTACTAGATATCTGATTTAAAACAGTGATGGGGAACGTCTGCAGGATGTATAGAATAGTCTGATTCTATACATGATGGGACAGGTATTATGCATCTTTTTTGTGGTCTGCTACCCATTGGTCTGTCTGTATTGTATGGCACATGAATGATATTTTAAATAACCAAAAAAGCTGCTGTTAGAAAAAGGTTCAAGACCACAGGTAAAAAGAAATAGAAACTGGACCCCTACCTAATATCATACAAAAATTCACTGAGAACAGGCCATTGACCCAAATGAAACTCTAAAACCATAAAGACCTTAAGAAGAAAATATGAGTGAATCTTCATGACCTTGTATTAAGCAATGGTTTCTTAATGATGCCAAAAGATCAAGTGACAAAAATAAAAATAGATACTTGGACAAAATGAAAAACTTCTGCTTCAAGGGACATCATCAAGAAAGTAAAGACTACTTACAGAATGGGAGAAGATACCTGTGAATCCTATGTGATAAAGGATGTGTATGCACAATATATAAAGAACTCTACAACTCAACAATAGAGACAACTCAATAATGGGGCAAAGACTTAAATTGATTATTTCCCCAAGAAGAACCTTTGTGGCCAATGAGAATTCCTTTAAAAGATGCTCAGCAAGTTTATCTTTTTCTGGTTTTGGGCCACACCCATGGGTGCTCAGTGGGCTATTCTTGGCTCTGTGCTTAGGAGTGACACCGGGTCATGACTGGGGGACCATAGGTGGTGTTAGGAATTCAAACTGGGGTTGGTCTCCCAAACACCACCAAGAGCAACCCCCTGAGTATGGAGCCAGGAGTATCCCTCAAACCAAACCAAACCAAACCAAACCAAACCAAACCAAACCGTGGAATCCACATTGTTGGTACTGTGAAATAGTAGAACCACTGTGATAAAACAATTCTGAAGTTCCTTAAAAGGACACGGAGCTACAAATGACCCAGCAATTCTATTCTTATATATTCAAGAAAAGTTAAAACCTAAAAAGTTACGCACACCAAAAACTTATGCACAAATAACACACAGCAGCATGATTCACTGTAGCCAAAATGTGGAAACAATCCAAACATTCAGGAATTGAATGAATAAGCAAAATGTGGTATAACCACAAGATGGAATATAATTTGGCAGAAATACAAAAATCAAGTGTTGGGGCCAGATAGTACAGGGGATTAAAAAAACTGCCTTTCATGCAGCTGACTCTGGTTTGGTCCCCAGCACTATATATGGCACTTTAAGGACCACCTAGGAGTGATCCCTGAACAGAGAACCAGGAATAGGGCCTGAGCACCACTGGGTGTGAACAAGCATGGTTGAATATTTTATTTTTCCTTTTTGGATTACACCCAGAGATGCTCAGGGGTTGCTCCTGGCTCTGTACTCAGTAATTACTCTTGGTGCTTGTCCGGGTCAGGGAACCATATGGGATGCCGGGAGTGAACCTGGGTTGGCTGTATGCAAAGCAGATGCCTACCTACCCACTGTACTGTTGCCCTGGCCCTGCATGGTTGAATCTTAAAGGGAAAGAAATATTGCAAACAAACAAACAAAAAAACCCCTAAACAACAGCAACAATTGTAGTGGGGGAGACAGGCCCAGCGGTGCTGAGGGTCACCAGGCCCCATTTTTCTGTGCTCAGAGGGGATATGCAGTGTCTAAGGGACTAAGTGATAGCCCTGACCACATAGAATTTTGAGACAGAAAATCAGTCATCGTCAGGGGTTAAGAGATAGAAGAATGGAGAGTGAATATTGGTAGTTATTTTGGGAGGGTGTTAAAGATGCTTTGAAATTAGAGTTTGTACTTATCACTTAATCCCCGTTATTCATCGATTTATTCGAGCGGGTGCCAGTAACGTCTCCATTCATCCCGGTTGCGTGCTAGCGTAGCCCAATGGTATCTGTTCGTTCTAGGAACATGCAGAGCCTCAAACCGATCATTTAGGGTCTTGATGAAGAAGTCTGACCATCTTATAGGTGGGCGTCCACGTGATCTTTTGATGTCCCGTGAAATCCAATCAGTAATGGCTCTAGTCCAGCGGTTGTCTGTAAACCTCATTATGTGTCTAGCCCATCTGATTTTTGATGTCTTGGCAAATGAGACAGCGTCCCTGATTCTTGAGCGCTGACGAAGATCAGAACTCCGGATTCTATCTCTCATTTGAGTGAATCGTGATATTCCAAGCATAGTTCTTTCGATTCCTCTTTGAGAGACCCGAATAGCGTTCTCATCCTGTTTTCGTAGGGTCCAGGTCTCTGAGGCATATGTTAATGCAGGAAGAACAGTGGAATCAAAGAGATGTGCTCGTAGCTGGAGGTTCTTTGTCCTTTTAGTTATTTCTTCAATGCTCTTGAAGGCATTCCAAGCCGCTCTCTTCCTCCTGCGCAACTCAGGTGCCAGGTCATTCATCATGTTGATTTCTCGACCTAGGTATATATAACTGTTGCATTCGGAGATGGTGGTTCCGTTGAGAGCGAATGGAGCGTCAGGAACAAGGCTGTTTCTCATAAACATTGTCTTCGAAAGATTCAGCTGTAGTCCGGCCTTTCCACATTCACGGTCAAAGTCGTTCAGCATTTGTGCCACTTGGCTGATGTTTGGTGTTATTAGAACGATGTCATCAGCAAAGCGGAGGTGTGTAGTTGCCGACCATCTATCTTCACTCCCATGTTTTCCCATTCCAGTCGTCGCATGATGTTCTCGAGGGTGGCACTGAAGAGTTTCGGTGATATGGTATCACCCTGCCAAACCCCTCTCTTGATATGGATGATTACTTCTTTGTAGAATGGTGAGATTTTGGTAGTGAATCCGCAATAGAGCTCACGAAGGATCCTGATGTATTGAGTTTGTACGCCCTGATTGGTTTGTACAACTTGGGGAATACATAGGAACTCACTCAACTGTAGCCTTCTGGCAGCCTCAGAGGACCAATATTGGGTGCTGGAGATTGAACCCAGGTGGGCCAATTTCAAGGCAAACCTCCTACCCCTTGTATTATTGCTCCAATTCCAATTTTTTTTTTTAAAGAAGGGACTTTGTGGATACCAGGAGGTAGAAGAGGGAAGAATGAGAAGCACGGTCTTTTGTTTTATTTTGGGGGGCATACCTGAATATGTTCAGAGATTACTCCTGGCAGGGCTCAAGGAACCATATGTGGTACCAGGGATCAACTCGTGTCT